CCTCTTATTTCCCATTCACTTCTAATTCAAAAAAAAATGAGAAAGACAATAAAAATAAGCAAAAATATTTAAAATTATTTCAAATTCCTTTCAAAAGATTGCAAAATTTCTTCAATTTCAATTAACTGTAAATGTTGTAGCAGTAACTATAGCTTTTGTTGGTGCCTGTTCAATTAAAAATTTACCTTTTCGAGCAGTTCAAATGCTTTGGGTTAATTTAATTATGGACACATTAGCTTCTTTAGCATTAGCCACAGAAATGCCGACAGAAGATTTGGTTAAGAAATAAATAAATTTAAATAATAATTTCTCTTTTTAGCTTAAAAGAAAGCCTTATGGACGGACAAAGTCATTAATTTCTCGAACTATGGTGAAAAGAATTTTTTTTGATTAATTTTAGAAAATAGAGAAATAATCGAAGTTTCCTCTTACTATTAGCCTAGTAAATAAAGAAAAAATGAAAACGATCCTTTGGTGAGGGGATGGAGTGGTAGATAATCTTGTATCGGATAAAGTCCCATCTAATCTTTTTCTGAGATGTATTGAACGCTTTATTATAAACAACGAGATTAGGACAAAATTAGTAAAAACCCCCATAGATCACCGGCCATAGGCTCTCAATTCTTTTATATTTAACCAAAACCGCTTTTAATCAGGGCATAGCAAATCGAAGTTTTCTGTTTTTTTAATAAATAAAAAAATATTTTTAAAGGTAAAAAACATAATTGGACATGCAATATATCAATTATCTGTTCTTTTTGGACTTTTATTTTTTGCTGAAAGATTTATTCCCGGTTTGGAAGGAGAAAAAGCAAGAGAACAACCACATGAAGCACCCCCAACAAAACATTTTACAATTATATTTAATTCTTTTGTTTTAATGACTTTGGCTAATGAAATTAATTCGAGAAAAATACATAATGAAAGAAATGTTTTTAAAGTAAGAAATTTTTTTAATTATCTTCTTTACTTTAATCAAAATTATTTTCTTTTAAAAAATAATTTTCTTTTTATTTAAAAAGGGACTTCTTTCAAATCCAATTTTTTGTATAATTTGGTTATTAACATTAATTTCACAAATTTTAATTGTTCAATTTGCTGGTGAATGGTTTTTTACAAAAAGTTTAGATTTAATACATTGGGGATTTTGTTTTCTTTTTGCTATTTGTGAATTAATTTGGGGACAGGTAAATGGAAGGGGGAGGGGGAAAAAGATTTAAATCTTTTTTTAAAAGATAATTATAACAATTCCTTCAAATGTTTTACCCAAATTTTTTGCTTTTGGAAGAGGAGAGGTTAGGCCAACATCTATACTTGTAACTGGAGAATATGATATACTCGAAGTCTTTTTAATTAATTAATTTTTGTGTAAATTAATTTTAAAGGTTCGACAAACAGCTGGACGTGAAATTGGTGGGGTGCCAGCAGGGAGTAGTGGGGCTAGACCTGGACAGATATTGTGGTTACTTGGACTTACTAGATTACAAACACAAGTAAATTAATTTTAAATTTAAATTGTTTTTTTTTGTTTTTTAATGTTTTTTGTTTATTTGTAAATTATTTTTTTAAACCACAACTACTAACAATTAATTATAAGGAAAAAAGATATTTTTAAATGCACAGACAAAAATATTTCTTTTTTATTTTTTTGTTTTTGTTGTTTTTAGATGAGAGTTATACGTGCTTTTCAATCTAATATAAACAATTCACACCCATCTTCTTTAACAATCCAAGCTGGGGATAGACTTAGACAATCATATAGAAGATTGAGAATTGCTAAAGAATTAGAACGTAAATTTAATTTTTAATTAATCCCCTTCTTCTTCTTCTTTTTTCTGTTTGGCACTATTTAAATAAAAATAATCACTTTGAGTGGATGCTTATTTTTTGTGTGCTGTGAATTTAAAAAAAAAAGTTAGTTAAACTAATAAAAAGAAATATTCTTAAAATTAAAAGAAGAAGAGGGAATTTATTTTTTAATAAATTAATTAAAAATTATTTTTTTTATTTATTTAAATTTTAAAGGCGCTAACGAACTACGCGCGGGCGGACCCGTACGAGTTTTGGATTCCTCCGACAGCCGTGACAAGAAGAAATCAGAATTCAACTTCACTTAATATTGAAAATAATAAAAGAAATGTAGAAAATGAAGAAGAAAAAGAAAATAATAATTAATTATTTTTAAACTCTTTCGAGCTTTTTTATTTAAAAATTTCCCTTCCCCTTCCTCCCCTACCCACAATTTATATCTTCTAAATCCTTAACTAAATATATACGGGTATTTTATAGTTTTAATTAAATTTATTTATTTTTTGAAAATTAAATTAAGGGGAAAAGAATATTTATATAGAGAATTTTTTTAAGGGGAAAAGAATTTTTTAAAAAAAGAATATTTTGATAAAAAAAATTTAGTAAAGGGAATAGTTGCTGTAAATTGTTTACTTTCTTATCATTATACACTCTACTACAAATTTGTTGCCTTAAAAACGATTAAATTTTTATTGTCAATTCAATTTTGAATTGACACATTTTTATGTAAAAAAGTGTCTTTTTTTAATATTTTTCTCAATTAAATTTTGTAATTTTTTGATACAAAAATTTATTTTATAAATATATTTTTTTATATTATTATTAAAGATTGGTACTTTTCCGTTATGGGGCCACACATTTAAAATGCTTAAAAATTACCTAAAAATGCAAGATATTAAGAGAATAAATGTGACCATACGTTGGGAAATTATATACCGATTTTAGTTTCAAAGTTTAAAATGTGAGTAGGATAATTATTTAAAGAGATGTTAGCAAAACTTTTGATGTACTTATTATCTTTTTGTAAATAACACAGTGTAATAAACTTTTAAAATTTATTTTTATTAAAAAATTTTTGAGACTACAACATTTTAATTTTGTATAGACGAAGTGGAAGGAGCTGATGAGTCATCATTAGTTGTTTGCAAAGCACGTTTAATATCAAAAGAACAAACAAAATGAAAAGGTAAAGAGCCCAAAAGGTGAGCAGTACCGGGAATTGAATGATGTGAAGTTGAAATTCCTTTAAATTTTCTTTTGAAAAATTTGTAAAAAATTAATATTAAAACCATTATTTAAGCTAAATGGAAGTCCACACAAATTAATATCTTTTGAATTTTGTTGCTGTTGTCGACCGGCAACTTCTACTCGAAGTAGAGTCTAAAAGAAAATAATTTTTTTTAATTAAATAAAAACAAAAGAAAATCTCTTACCTCAAAACTTTCACTGTTAATTGATTCAGAAATGTCCATTTGATGCCCCCCAATATTTAAAACAGCCTTTCCACTACGCAAAAATTGTAATTTTCCAATTTTTGTACCTTCACTCGGAAATGATTCTAAACAATTTTTATTTTTTAATTGAGGTTCTTGAATTAATTTATTTGAAGATTTTTTTGGTTGTTGTTCATCTTCTAATATATTTTGCTTTCGTGCCTCTGCTATCCGCAATAAAGGAATAGAAGGAAGTTGAAAAAGAAGTAATTGATTATTTGAATTATTATCTTTAAAAATATTAAAATTAATTTAAAAAAAATTTATTTTTAAAACCATTTGCCAGTCTTTGTATTGTATTCGAAGCTGATTGGAATTTTTCTTCTCTTAAACAAATTTTTGATTGTTTTGAAGCTTCTTCCATTGCTAACATTTCTTTCCTTAAAATAAATTTATTTAAAAATAAAACCATTTTCTTTACAATTTTATATCTTTAATATCTTTTTGGCATTCTTCCCCATCTTCTTCCTTTCTCCTTTTTTTAATTATTCTATTAAATTGTTGAGCTTCATTATTTGGGAGAACAAATGGCAATTGTTCACATTTCTTTAAATCAGCAATAAACTAAAAATATTTTTGAAAACTAAATTTTATTTTTGAAAATTCTTACACTTCCCCCGCAAAGTTCATCTAACTCTTCGCGGTCCAATTCATCATCTGATTGCCAAAATTCCTCATAAAGATTTTCTGATGTACTAAGCTCCAATTTAATTTTCTTTTTCTTTGGCTTCTTTTCTTTATCTTTTTCATTTAATTTATCGTCATCTTTGGTGTCCTCCTGCAGCGAACTTTCTAATTTCCCAATAATTTCCTCATCTAAAAATTAAATTTATAAATTAAAAGGATGCCAAAAACCTTTGTTTTTCAATCGAACTCCTCTCGTTCTCTGATTTCCGAAAGCATCCTCGCCAATTCCCTGAGAAAAAACACCTTCAGAAGCAATGAATTGTTTTGTTGAACCGCCTCGTCCCTTTCCACGTCCAGGAGGCCTTCCACGACCTCGTCCTTTTTCACTTTTAACTGAACTTGACTCTCCATTAATGTGCTCAGATTTTACTGCATCAGAAGCATTAGGCCTTTTTAAACAAATTAAAAAGTTGTGAAAAATATTTATAAAATCTTTATGTTCAAGTTATATGTATACCAGGGTACAACCAACAGAAAAATTCGGTATTTAGACTCGGGAAAATGATTCTTCCAGACATTTTTTATTATTAAAAAATTTTGAAAAATACTTTGTATCTGCCCACTTTGGCGCGAGAATACGACTCGCTGCGGCTGCAATATTTGGCACTACAATGCGTTTACTTCCACTATTCGAGTTTAAAGTTGAGTTTGCTTTCACACCTCGACCTCTATCCTTTGGTCCCATTACTAGATGATAACACTAAAAATAAATTAGAGAACAACAAAAAATGTAGAAATCTTCCTCTAATAAAAAATAAAAAACTTAACTTCTGACAAAATGAGTAATTTATCATTATTTGACATTTTGAAATGTAATAAAATGAAATAAAATTTCGTTTTAAAATTTTCAGCTCAAAAATTTTTAAATTTAAAAAGCTTGGGATGCTGGTTAATTTTGGTTTACGAAAATTAGTAAACTTTAATTTGTTTATTCATTATTGATTTTATAAAAATAATTTTAAAGTTTTCCATTGGATTTATTTTATAGACTAATTTTTTGGTAAATTTGATATGCCAAAAGGTGAAAACATGGATTGCGGTGCTAATCTCATTTGTTCTAATGACATTCCTTCAATACAAACAGAATCTAGACAACGCCAAATACTTTCTAATAAGATCAATAATTATTATGAATCTGAAAATTATTCTTCCGATCAGAATTGTATGGAAAGAATGTACCTCTTTCTGGATGAATTAGGTTCTGGTGGTTTCGGGAAGGTTAAATTGGCAAAGCATATCCTCACGGGGGACCAAGTTGCGATTAAAATTATTGATAAGAAGAGCATTCCTGTATGTTTTATTTTTTATCTATGACTACTTTTTTAATTTAAGAATGATTTACCGCGAGTATTCAGCGAGATGGAAGCCTTAAAGCTACTGGCTCACCAAAATATTTGTCGTCTATTCCAATTCCGCGAAACGGAAGACAGGTTAGTTGATGGAATTGATTATTGGTAAAATAATCTTAATCCTTCGTAGGTTTTATATTGTGATGGAGTATTGCAATGGTGGAGAGATGTTTGATTATATTGTTCGCAAGGAGCGGCTTGGAGAATCTGAGGCACGCCATTTCTTTAGACAGTTTGTTTAATTTTAACTTGTTTTTTTATAAATTCTTTCTTACAATCAGACTGGTTCAAGGAGTGGCATACATTCATTCAATGGGTTTGTTGTGATTTCAATGGTTTGTTTAAAAAATTTAGGTTTTGCTCATCGAGATTTAAAACCTGAAAATTTGTTGTTGACCCAAGAGCTCCAATTAAAGGTGATTGATTTCGGGCTTTGTGCAAGACCTTTAAATGGGTTGACTAGGCCACTTGAAACTTGTTGTGGTTCCCCTGCCTATGCTGCGCCCGAACTTATCCAGGTAAATAATTTTGAATTAATTGTTGAAAATCATACTTATTAGAATCAATCCTATTTTGGGAACGAAGCTGATATTTGGTCAATGGGTGTTTTGTTATATGCATTGCTCTGTGGTACCTTGCCCTTTGGTTTGAATGGTTTTTTTAATAATTAAAAGTTTTTAACAGATGACACAAATATGCCTCGATTGTACAAACAAATTACGGTAAATTTTTGGATGATTTTTGGCGTTATTTTCTCATTTTTAGCTGGGACAATATTTTGAACCTGATTTCTTGTCACAATCTTGCAAAGATTTATTACGTTCAATGCTCACTGTTGACCCAAAGAAACGTGCAACTATTCAACAAATACTTGTCCATCCTTGGCTTAATTCCAATTATGAACAACAAATTAAATGGCAAAGTATTTATAATCGAGATGTAGTGGATGATGAAATTATTAGAGAATTAGTTTGCTTTTTTAAAATAAATACCGAGGATATGATTGCGCGAATTAAACAGTGGCGCTTTGACTATATTTGTGCAACTTATCTTATTCTTTTACAAAGGAGTATGTTTTTAAATAAATTTAAAAAATTTTCTTTTTTATTCAGAGGAGCAAAAAAAGAATTTTGCACTTCCTTTCTACGATAAGAATTTCAATTGCAATTTTCCATGCTCATCAACTATTCACTCTTCATTGGAAAATGATTTGGATTTATCTGGCTTTGAAGATATTATTAAATTCTCTAATTCCGATGACGCAAATGAAATTATGACAGAGGTTTTTGTTTTACTTTTTTTTAATATTTTTTTCTTAAGAAGTTGAAGTCCTTGGCTCTACTTTCTCCACCTGTCTTCACAAATACAAAACAAATGCCTTCAATTGTTTGTTTCAAAAATAATTATATTTTCCGAAATTAATATTAATTAAAAGCCAATATTAAATTTAACTTTTTAACTTATCCAGCCTTCCACATTCTCTCCATATGAAGGTGGTAAACAAGGCCAAAGACTTGACGCTAATTCCATCACGCCACGTAAACCACAGCAACGTAAACCTTCTTATGAGGCACCCACACATCATAGACCAACACCTTCGAACAAAGGTGGTTGTAGTGTTTATACAACACCTAGAAGAGGCACTGTTGAATTTCCTGGACCGATTGTAGGAGGATTTGCTTATCGCCGTCCGAATTCTGTTGATAGACCGCCTTCCTGTTTGTTTTTCAACTTTGCAATATAAAAGTCTTATTAAATTTTAGTGAGATTAGAGAAGAATGATCCTGCTGATGAAAATTCTCCACCAAGTCTTCATTTTAACAACAATACCCAAAAGTCCGAAAGTTGTGAAAGAAGATCGCGTATTGATATGTGCCGAGTTTATAACAGTTGTAATAACAATAGTAAACAGTTACAAAATAACAAATCACCGCATCGGTTCCGCCAACGCGTGTTTTCGTCATTAGAACGAAAAGCTGATAAAATGATTAGTTTGCTAACTCCAAAGAAGATTAAATCAGAAGCTCCAACTAAACTTAAATGTACAGAGGTCGGTAGTTTGATTTGATTTTAAATTTACTTTTTGTTTCTTTTAAATTTATAGCCAATGGCTAACGTTTCGGTTACATCGTCTAGTGATCCAGTAAAAGTGCGTGAGGAATTGTGGAAGGTACTTTGCAATTTGGGAATGAATGCTACGCAGAATGGGTTTTTATAATACAATTAAAAACTTATAATTTATAAAATAGATGGAAGGTTAGTGGATCTCGAAAAAATTCAAATAACCCGAAAAAAGATGCCACTGTCGAACTTGAAGTTGTTTCTATTGAGGGTTTACAATATGTTGGTGTGAAACGCAGAAGAGTTCATGGTGAACCATTCACCTATAAAAGAATTTGCGAAGAAGTAAGTCCTATATAAAATAGAATTTGAAATTAAAATTTCAGGTGTTGCGTTTGGCTGGTCTTTAAAAGATTAGAATTATAATAGTTAAAAATGAAGGTTGTGAAGGATTAATTAAAAAGTGGTATTTACGGGACAAATAAATTATCTAATATTTTATAAAAAAATAATTGGCGTTCTTTTTTTAATATTGTTAAGTTCTGAAATTTTCAATTTTTTGTAATTTTGCTTTTTTGAACAAAAATTCTAAAGGCATTAAATTTTGAGAAAATAGTTTAGAAACAAAATTTCTGGTTTTTCTAGCAATAAACATTTCAATCAAAATTACTATTGAAAAATTCAGACTTTTGCTTTATTGATTGTTGTTGTTCCTACTTCCGCCGTTTGACTTTATTAATATGTCTCGCCGCTTTTACTATATTATATTGACTTTTAATTATTAAAATATAATCCTACATATCTTTAAATTGTAGATACATAGTATATAATAGTTAATTTTTAACTATAAAAATATTTTTTATTTAATCTGTTTACATCTAGATAAACGAGATTTAATTTTAAAAATTAAAATCTCTAATACCCTCTTTTGGTCTATAGGTTGTTACTAGTGCCTGTCTCCGGACACGGCTGAATTTTTCCGGAGTTCTGGCCCTTAATCCTGGGATTTTCTCGAGATCTTTGGACTTTCGAACCGGATCACTAAATTCTTATATCGCATTTAGGATCGCGGTTGTGTGATTTCCCATTTTTTTGTTCTGACAGCTTTCTGAAAAAAATACCGTCTGCGGCTTTTTGGCCTTATGGAATTTCCAAAATTTTGCATAGGGCGCATGAAAGCAATTGCATTATTATACTCTATTTACGTCAATAAGACATAAAGTCAGCACCCAACGAAAGTGTTGCTTTTGTCCTTCAGCGTTAAAATGGAACAATTTTATTTTTACATAAATACAATATTTTTTCTTTTTGGTTTAGATTTTTTTATTATTTTTATAATTTCTCACAATGAACAACGAGCCAGATGTTAAGCGTGCTAAGATTGAAAATTCTGAAAAAGCAAATGACGATAAACAGGCAAAATACGTATTTAATTAAAAATAAATTTATTCCTTTAAGGATCATGGCACAGAAACTCAAAAAGCTTTAGAAGAGTTGGACAATGTGCAAAGTGCTTTGGACAATTTAAATGAGATTGCCAGCGAAGAAATTCTTAAAGTTGAACAAAAATATAATCAACAAAGAAAACCTTATTTCGAACAGCGAAGTGAATTAATCAAAAAAATTACAAATTTTTGGGTCACAGTGGTAAATTTTTGGTTTTGAATTTTTTGTTGTGAATATATGAATTTGTTTAGTTTATCAACCATCCACAAATTAGCTCCATTATGGAGGAAGAAGAGGAGGAATGTTTGCATTATTTGACTAAATTAGAGGTTTTTGTTTTTAAAAATTCCCTAATTTGGGGGTATTGTTATTTTAATATGTTTTTTTAATTGTTGTAGTCGATACGTTTTGTATTAAATAAGAAATATAATTCAATCAAATTTTAGGACTTTGAAAAATTTATGATCAATGGATGATAAATTACTAAGAATTGTTTTTAATTTTTCCTAGCAAACCTCCCCTCTCGTAAAACCGAAACAATTTTTTTAATTTTTTGTATTTAAATTAGAATTTTCTTCAGATTGAAGAATTTGAGGATATTAAAGCTGGTTATAAAATTAAGGTTTCTTTAAATTATTTAAATTTTAATATTGTTTTTTCTAAAGTTTACTTTTGATGTCAATCCTTATTTTGAAAATACTGAAATTTTCAAAGAATATAATTGGTCAGGTGCTGACCCGCGTTGTTCTTCTACTCCAATCCAATGGAAACCGGGAAAACAAAAGGTAAAGGAAAAATTTAAATACCAAAATTCTTTTGTTCCATTATTACAACATTTTGAGGTCGAAACTAATTTTTAAATTTAGCAATTAATGAATGGTGCTGGAAAGAATGGTGGAGAAAATAGAAGCTTTTTTAAATGGTTATGTGAAGAATCTGATCCAATGGCTGATGATATTGCGGAAGTTTGTTTTTATTTATTTATTAGGTCAGAGCATAATTAGATGCATATTTTTTATTCACTCTGAAAAAATCTCGCAAACATATAAAGCCGTAAGTTTTGCAAATGCTTTCATTAGAATGCTAACTTTCCCTAAAATGTTTTCATTTTGGTTTATTCAGAGATTTTGGTAGAAAATATCAAAAGTTTCAAAACTATCGGTATTCGAAATTTCTTGAGCATATTTAATTGATGATTGTAATAATCATTCACAATCTAATAATTTTTTACAAAAAAATATTTATTTTAATTTTAAAGGTAATTAAAGACGATATTTGGCCAAATCCACTTCAATATTATTTGGCACCAGAAGTTGAGGCAGCTGACGAAGAAGGGTGTGAGGAAGACGATGATGGTGGTTTGACTGAGGAATATGGTGGATATGAAGATGGAAATGGTAATTTTGGGGGTGAATAGAAATTTTAAGTAAATTTGGTTTTTTTTGAGAAATTAAATCCTCCTCTATTTTTATTGGTTTTAACAGTTCTGTTTTTAAAATACTAAAATAAAATTAATTTAATTAATTAATTGTATTTTTTAGAATTAAATAAATAAACAGAACATTAAAAATTGACCTCCTCTTTCCCTACATTCATCTGCATATTTTTGCATTTTTGTCATGTTTAACATTCTCTCCCATTTTTTGCTTTTTCTGTTATGGGAATATTTAATAAACTATTTAATTGATATTTAATTTTTTTGAATTTCAAATAGGTTAAATAAAAAATTTAATTAAAAAAGCTTTGAGGAAATATTTTTCTTAATAATTCCTCGTAATGGTCAATTTTCTTTGCTATAACTTTTTAAAATGTCCTTCAAATTTATAATTTAATTTTGTTCTTTCCTGTTATCCGCAACAAATATACTTCAAAGAGAAATCTTCGTATTGTTGTCCAGCCTGTCCAATCAAAATTTATGTGCCCAATCGGTTCCTAGCCTACCATTTTTTCAAACGGTTAGGCTTTGAAAATAATTAGAAAATATGAGATAATCGACTCTGTGAAAATAGTGCCGGCTTTATATTTTTACTTCTCACTTCCTTGGATTGGCCAGAATGGTCAATTTCCCTTGGTCCTTGATGTTTGATATTTGACGTAAGGAAAAATTGTGGAAAGAAAAGAAGGAAAAATAAGTGTGAACGACAGAAAGAGTTTGCAAAAGTTTAGCCACCGGGCAGGATTCGAACCTGCGACCACCTGCTAGTTGTTGCTAGGCGCTTTCGCTCACCATATGCAGGAGCTCTACCTCTGAGCTACCGGGGCATCGACTAATGCTTTCTCTTTTTCCTTTTTAGATCGTTTATCCCCCGCCTAAGCGTTTTAAATGCTGCTAGGTGAATCATCCTTACACGACTTAACCCATGGCAATAAGTGCCGCTCTGCGTTTAGAATCTAAGGTCCGGTAACTCTAGATGAGTAGCTCCCTATTTCCATATTTTCTGAGAATAACTAATACATATAATCGACTTCCAACACATAAATTCTAAATAATCAAAAACAAAATTTTAACTTTTATTTATGAAAAAATAAAAATGTAATTGCAAGGACAAATAATTATGACAAAAATTACATTTTAAACAAAATAAAGATTGCATTAATTAATTAGTATTTTAAACAATAATTTTACAAATAATTTGGACTGTTCGATGGAAGTTTTTATTTACAACTTCTCCTTAAATTGTTTTAATGTAAATTTAATTATTTATTAAAAGGGGGGAAACATTTTTTGATGATATATTTCTTGATAAATTTAAACGTTCATTCTTAAAATATGAAAGATTGTTAAAGAAAGAAAATAGAGATTTTATTTAAATTTTGTTGAGAAAAAACGATCAAAGTTAAATTACTTCGGCAGGTGTGCTGGAAAATTACAAAACATTTTAATATTTTTTTAAATTAAAATGTGTAATAAATAATATATGTATATATTACACTAATAAAGCAAAAAATAAAAGCGAAATGAAGGAAGCCGAATGAATTAAAAAGTCGTTAACCGCATAGTTAGGAAATATCTAGGGAACTATATTTCTTGCTGTAACCAACCAAATTTAAAAAAAAATTTTATACCATCGTGTAGAAAATTATCAATCTCCTTCCTTAGATATCTTATTTGTTTGTGAGATAAATTCAACTAATTATTGGTTATAATTATTGGCTAAATTTGTTATAGGAAATCGTCCTTCCTCTATGCGATAGTACAAAAATTTTTCGATTTGTTTGGTTACAGAAGGATATAATTCTGATTTATACTTAAAACTACTATTCCCTGCGGCAACTGGGCAGCGGCAGTTCAGGGCGCAACCATTTTAAAAAATTTTAATATTCCATTCGTATCCCAACCCGCACAATCGAAAATCTGAATATGTATTAAAAATGCAAAATTTTAAAAAACGGGCTACTCTGAATATTGTCTGAGTTATTTGACAATTATTGACATTTGATAACATCCTAAACCAAATTTTAACTCGACGAAATCTTAAGTAGCCCATATTTAAAAATTTTTCAAAATACAAAAATACAAAGAGATAAAAATAAAACAAAAATTTAAAATAGGGGGGAAACAAAAGAAATGCCCGACAAAATTATTTTTGATAAGTTTCTGCATAAATCTTTTTGCAGAAAAAAGAAGAAAATTTAATAGTAGATAAAATATATTAATAGATAAAATTGCCTTAAAAACAAAAAGAAAATCAAATATTTTTAAATAACAAAAATCAATACAGACAAGTGTAATTAATTAATTACCCAAAATTTATTTTAAAATTCCAGAACTTATAGTTAATGAATTATCTAAACCATTTCCATTACCAGAAATAATTCCCCCACCATTTCCACCCAATGGAGCTCTTGGTAGCCTTCTACGTAACCAAGGATGTTTGAGCGCTTGCATCGGTGTTAAACGTGCATCTGGATCCCAATCCAAACAATGCTTTAAAAAATCCAAAAAAAGTTCATCTGCCTAAAAAATTTTGTTAATTTTAAAAATTAATAATTTTTATTTTTGACTTGATTCTTTAAAGCATTTTGCATTGATCTAGATGCTGGAGGGCCTCTTAATTTTCCTCTTTTAGATCTCCCACCAGTTAAAACCTTTAAAAAAGTTTATATCAAAATTTAATTTATTCATTATTAATTTACAGTAGTTCCATCCATTAATTGTGTTACTTGACAATAACGAGGATGGCCTTTGGAAGTAAAAAAGTTTTTTGTTCTTTTTCCACCCTCCAAAAGTTTGGAACTAGGCATTCCCAGTAATTCAATTATGAGGGCTAATTGGTCTCCTTCATCCTCCCCTGGCAAGAGGGGATATCCGGTAAGTAATTCAGCCAAAATACATCCAAGTGACCACATATCGATTGGCATTCCATATTTTGCACCGAGAATAACTTTAAAAAAATAAATTTAAAATTTGAAGGACTTTCACAATTCCCCCCAATTTTAATTTAAAAAACACCTTCCGGCGCCCGATAAAATCTTGATTGAATATAGGAATATATCCGTTGATCATCAAAACAAGAAGATCCAAAGTCGATAACTTTTATTGAGGAACGATTTGGAGTTTTTAACAAAACATTTTCTGGTTTCAAGTCACAATGAATTAAACGATTTAAATGTAATAATTCTAAACATTGAAGAATTGAATGGGCAAATTTACGAACAAGCTAAGAAAAATTTTTTAAATATTTTTATTTTATTTAAAACTTACAGCCAAACTAAATCCTTGAAATTTATTTTTCTTTATTAATTCGTAAAGATTAATACTGAGACATTCAAAAGTAATACATTTGTGATTTCGAAAAGTAAAATGATCCAACATATGAATAACATTAAATACACCATCAACATCCTGTTTCTTTAAATGATCCAAAATTCGAACTTCTTCTTCTGCCTAAAATTAATTTTATTTTTTCAAAAATATTCTTTTTTACTTGACGATGAAAACGTTTCTCATTTCTAACAATTTTTAAAGCAACATACTTAAAAATAAATATTCCTTTTTTTAATTTAAAATAATTAATTACTTGTTGATATTTGTGATCAAAAGCTTTAATAACCTTTTTTAAAAAAATATATTAATTTTTTTCTTTTTCAAAAATTTACCTGTCCAAAACTTCCTTTTCCAATAATTTTTAAAATTTCATATCTATAAGCAATATGATCGTGTAAAACCAAAACATAAGATCCATTCTCGTCATCAAAATTATTATTATTAGAGCCCCCAACCACGCATTGACGTTTCTTTGCTTGAGAACCAACAAAATAAATCTAAAGATTTTTAAAAATTAAATTTCTTTAAACAAACCCGTTGATAATTGTAAATTTCAGTACTTTCAAAAGGGGTGAGTTTTGAGGTAAAAATTCTAGTTGCATCATCTGGTCGATGTCCTTTAGTTCCCAAACTGACTTTTAAACCCTAAAAAATTAAAAAAAAATAAATTTATTAATTTTTCCAAATTTTCTACTTGTGTGGACGAGGAAGAGGCAGAAGAGGCTGTAGAGGAAGAAGTTGCTGGTAATTGAACATTTGCCGAAGAAGGCTCGTGTCCAATGCTGACAGCCCCCTCGGCAATAGCTATTGTACCCGAGGAAGGCAGTTTGACTTTAAAAAAAGAAAAAAGAAAATATATTTTAATTTTAAATATTTTTTGCTCTAATTTTGTATATTAATTCCCAAAACACGTGAAACAATTGGGGATGACAAAATTAAATAAAAAACAGTTGTTTTTATTTAATAAAAAGACGCCAATTTTTGCAAAAATATTTTTTAATCTTTTAATTTAAAAATTCTATTTTTAAATTAAAAGTAAAAATAATCAATCAATATAAAGTTAAAAATAAATAAATATTTAGTTAAATATTTTAGTAATGAGTCACATTTTTAAATTTTTAATTAATTCAAAAATAAATTTCTTTCCTCTCTTCCCCTTCCCCTTACCTTTATTAACTAATAAATTGTCTCCAACCAAATGAGAATAACCACCACCTCTACTATTGCTGATATTTGCTACAAAAGATGAGGAACAAGGAGAGGAAATATTAATTGTTGAATGATTGTTGATAGAAGAGGATTGGTCAGCAAATGAAGAGAAATAATTATTTTTAACTTTGGCCTAAAAATAAATAATTTTAAAAAAATCAAAAAAATGTAACTAGTTATTCTTTCAGAAAATTTATTTAAAAAATCAAAATAAAATAAAAATAACCAAATCTACTCGTTGTTCTGTTTTATTTAAAATGTTGCATTGACATTCAATATTATTTGGTGTTTGTTGGATAAAAGAAGTTTGTGAATTTGGAAATTGTTTTTGTTTTGTAGAAGAAGGTGAAGATTTTAAATTTAAAGAGGAAGTGTCAACAACACTGGATGAGTTTGTTGGTGGTTGGAAATTAAGCAAAAATGAAGAGGGAATATCTCTAAAAAATTAAATTTTTAAAATAAGTAAACTTTCATAAATTTTACAACAAAATAAATATGTATATAAACTAAACACACAAATTAAATAACAAAAAAAATAAAAATGGTCAAAAACAACTTTTCCAGTAAATTGATTTTTATTTCCCTCTACTAATGTCTCTTTATATGTGCTAAAGTGCCAATATGCAAAGCACGCAGCTTTACGTGTGGCGTACGCCAATTTATGTCCCTTGAAATAAAATTGGCCTGGAAAGGATAAAAGAAAGCTTTTTCCCTTTTTCTAATAGAAAAGAGATAAAAAGATAGAGGGAAGTTAATAAATACATATAAATTTACATAAAGTTGATGAAGTGTCCGAAATTGTCCGAATTTTCTGACATAGTACCTGCTACTAACAAGATACAAATACATAATTATCTCATTTAAAGTACAAAAATTGAAGAAATATAATAAAAAACTAACTAGGTCATTCCATATATTAAGAAAACGATTAAAAGAAAAACCCCAGACCCTCATAGAATAAATTCCCTTATTTTTTCCTTTCGAAAAAGAAGGCCAAATCAAAAATATTTAATGAAAATTTTATTAAAAAAAGAAAAATTTAATTAAAAAAGTTTAATTTTCAATTGGCTACTTTATATTTTCGGCCAACAAAGCATGGCTATTTATTGACTAAAAGTTTAAAAAAAAGAAAGTGAAGAAAAATAAAAATACTGCAGAGAAAAGAAAATATCCCCGGTTTATGTTAGCAGAGAATATGGCTGTTTGTTGGAAGAAAAGTGAGGGGACACAACACTAAATAACAAGCAGTAACTAAACTAACAACCAATCATTGGCAAATAATATATAAGTATATAGAATGGCCTACGGCAAATTATTAGCTGGAAATATGAGGGAGTTTATTGGTATTGTTTAAATAAAAATGTGTTTAATTAAATTAAAATTTAATTTTATTTATAAATGGAGGTCATTTAAATTGTGTGGATATTATACAAGAATAAAAATGAGAGAGAGAGAGTAGACATCCCCCTACTCAAAAAATGCACAAAATCAATTTGTAGCTGACAACAATTTTCTTCAACAAAGCAAAATGAATTGGTCAGTATATGGATTTGTGGAGAGAGGATTGGAAAATTTATAAAATTAAATTTAATATTTGATTGTCCAATCTTTACATAATTTTTTAATTTAATTTTTACGGCTTTTTTAGAATTAATTATTGTGAAGTCCCAGCAAAGAAATTGCTACCAAAAAAATATAAAATTGAAAAATAATTGGAATAAGATTAATACAAATTTAAGAAAATATGAAGAAATGGAAAGATAAATATTAATTGAGTTATGGTATATGTATAAAATATATTTATTTTCTAAATAGATATTTTCAAAATTAATAAAATTCTTAAAATTAAAAATTTTTTTAAAGAAATCAATAAATAAATAAAAAAATGTAGACCACCGGTCATTTCAAGAAAGACAGGTGGGGGAGATTCGAAGGATGAGGAAATGATGAATACAACAAAATAATATAAAAAGAGATTGAAGGGAGGGAGAGGAGAAGGATGGCGGAGCTAGGAGCAAGCAAGCCAAGGTTAAAAATCGGACGTACAAAGCAAAGCAACGGTGACAACAACAAACACACGTTAAGAGGGGGAAGTGGACGATAGTGAAGTAAATGATGAAAAAAAAGAGAGAAGGAGGGAGGGGATGTTTTAGTAGAAAATCAATGTTTTTATTAAATATTTGGAAGTATTAGAAGATGAAAAAGGGAAAAAAATAATTTTTTTGTAAAAAATTTTAGAGAAAAAAATTAAAAAAAAATTCTCTTTTGTTAAAAAATAAATTTATTTCAATAGTTGCAGATAGGTAATTAAATTTTTTTCAAATTTTACCTAAAATTAAACAGAATAAAATTCTTTTTCCCTTTTTTATTAAAAACCGAACATATTTTTAAAATAAAAGATTTTTTTAAATAATTAATAAAAAGTAGATAAGTCGAGGGGAGGGGAAGAGGATTTGTTGTCTTGACAACTAAAAATAAATAAATATATTATAGCTTTTTTAAAAAAATAAATTTTTTAAATGAGAGAGAAAAGGAAGAGATTTATTTTAAAAGGTTTCGGAATTAATCAGAAAATTATATTTTAATAAGCCTTCACAATAAAAATTGTGTTTACATTTTTAATTTTAATAATTCAATACTAAAAAAAAGAAGATAAAATTTAAAAAAAAAGAAAAAGAAAATTATTTAAAAAATCTTTTAGACAAATAAGTATATTAATTTGAAAAAATTTTTAGTTTTCAAAGACAATATTTTCATTTAACGGCTTGCTGAGTTATACATAAGTATATACTTAGTGTTAATTAGAAAAATAACTGTTAACTGTTAGTTAAAAGTATAAATTAAATTACTGTTACACATAAAGAAAAAACAAAAAATAAATAAACCCACATACCTAATTCTTTTCTTTGATTTTCGCGGTTTGATCCAAAATAATAAATTTCTTTCACCAATTCTGCCACTTTTTATTTTGCTAATTTGAAAGTGAGTTTTTAAATTAGTAGACGATTTTGAATTAATTTGTTGTTGGGGTTGTTGGGGTTGTTGTAACATTTAAATAAAACTTTAAAAAGAAAACAAAAAAAACAATAAATAAATTAAACAAGTAAATGATTTAAAAATCAAATTTAACAAAAAAAGAGAGAGAAGGACTAAACACAAAAAGAGAATTTAAATATTTAAAAATATCAGAAAATACCCACTTATTAAGCGATTCATTACTTGAACATTTATTTTGAAGCAATTTTTTGGCTGAAAATTTGTCTAAAATTGAATTTGTGGCATTCTGTAAAATTGAAGAAGAAGGCGCCAATTCAATTAAACTCGAGGAGAGTGTGTGGGTAGGGGGCCTTTTAAGAGAAAATAGTGTTTCTGACAACTTTTTTCGAATTGAAAAACGTTCGCTGTTTGGTGAATTTTTTCCAATAAATGGCTCTGCACTACATAAACGTGAAATTAATGAAGTTGTTGATTGAGTATTTGATTTTGTATTTGGTGGATAGTTATAACTGCTAATAATGCCTCCTAAAAATAAAAATTAAAATATTTAAATTAAATTATTAATTTACCTTTTGTTTTAAACTCATTATTAGTACATTTAGCATCACCAAATAATTCATTTTCATGCATTTTTTGTTGTTGTTAATTTTTAAAAATTAATTTTTATGAATAAATATATGTTTGTTATTTTAATTTCTGTATTTACTCTCAAAAAAACATTTAAATTTTAATTTTTATTAATTTTTAATTTTTAAATATTTAATAATTTATTAAAGCTATGAAACATTCTCCTTATTTTCAATTTTTATGTATCTCTTCAAAATAGGGGGCATTCAAGCGGACATTGGTTGGATTATATAAATATTAAAGAGGTGTAGAAGAAAAAGATTTATCCAAGTGCTTAGGAGTTATAGGCAAACTGTGCAGCGGGCATCAACGTGAATGCCATTAATGTGCCACTAAAACGGCATAAAGCTGTTCTAAGGCAGCGCGCATATGCACAAATGCCGTTTTTTGCCTTAAAAAAGAATAAAAAGAAAATCTTTACTGAATATATTTTTGTATTTAATTTCAATTTTTAAAAATTTATTTTTTACTTTAAAATTTTATTTGTATTTCTTTAAATAATAAAATGTCAACTAACAAAAATATTTTAATTTGCATTTTAAATTTTTTAAATTACAGTATTTTTTCCAGTATTTTTTTGAATTTTTTATTGAAACGAAAATCTGTATTTTTATTAAATGATCTTTAGTTAACAGAATAATAAACATTTTTTGTCAAGTTTTAATCAAAAATTTATTCGATTTTGATACTTTTTTCAAATCTTTTAACTAAAAATATTTTTTCGGATAATTAAAGGAAATTATGGGTATTTCTGATAATGATGTTCAAAAACAATTACGCCACATGATGGCATTTATTGAGCAAGAAGCTAATGAAAAAGCTGAAGAAATTGATGCTAAAGCTGAGGAAGAATTTAATATGGAAAAGGTTTGGAAATAAAAATAATTTTTAAATTTTTCTTTTCAAGGGTCGTTTAGTTCAACAGCAACGACAAAAAATAATGGAATATTATGAAAAGAAGGAAAAACAAGTCGAACTTCAACGAAAAATTCAGGTTATTTTAAATTAAAATTAATTAAATTTTAATTATATTTTAGCGTTCTAATATGCAAAATCAAGGCCGTCTTCAGTGTTTAAAAGCTCGAGATGAACATGTTAAGAGTGTTTTAAATGAGGCCCGTTCTAATCTTTCAAAGATTTCTGCTGATCGAAATCGTTATCCGCCTATTTTGAAAGGATTAATTTTACAGGTATTTTGAATATAGTCTCGTTTATGCCCATTTTTCTTCTTGCTATTTTGTATTGAAGAAAGGGAAGATTAAAATTATCAGACTTGACTCCTTTATTTCACTCTCCTTAGGTGTACTTAATGTTAATAAGAGATAATAAGAGAGTTTTAATAAGAGAGTTTTTCATTTATTTTTAGGGTCTTTTTCAATTGTTGGAGAAACAAGTAGTAATTCGTTGCCGTAAAAATGATGCTGATTTGGTTGAGCAATTGTTACCTGAATGTATCGAAGAATTGCAAAAAGCTTGGGGTGATACTTCACAGGTTTGTTGCTTTTTTAAATAACGGCAAACTTCTCAGGTCGGGAATCCACTGACGAGGGATCAAAGAAGTTTGACCGCTAAAATAAGAAGATGGGGTTGAGGGTGTTGATGAGGTCTTAATCCCAAAGATTAAGACAGGGCAAACCAAACGAGGAGACAAAGGGTTTTAGACGGCCAAGTTTAGACGTAGACGAAAGTTAGGCGAATATTCCCAAAGAATATTAACAAAAGAATATTTTAATAATATTTATTTAATTCAAAGAAATTTACAATTGTGAGTGCGTGTTTTATTTAAAATGATTGGATAAGGGATTTGGGTTAATGATTGGAAAAAATGGTTATGTCAGAACATAAAAATGATAGAAAATGATTAAGCTTAAATAGGCCACAATCAATGTGTGTGGTATGGAATGTGGGCAATGGAAAAAGTAAAAGGCATTAAAAAAATTATATGTTTGCGGTTAAAAAGTTGGGCGGAAGTGGACAAAATGGATGAAATTATTAAAAATTTAGATAAATTGTTGAAAAATATGGATGATTAGTACTTTTCATCCATTTATGGAAAAAGGGAAAAAAGAGCAAAAATAGGCGATAACGATCAAAAATGATGTCATACAAAAAATGAAAAATTATTATTTTAATAATTTTATCCTTCGACGAAAGTTTCGTCAGAAATTTTCGACATTGCCGCGGGCAGGCACATCAGTGGGTCCTTAGTTGTTAAGATTATGTTGATTAGTCGATTTAAAGTTTTAGTCGATATTCCATTTGACGATTTTGAATTCGATAAGTTGTTTTAAATATTTGGTTTGAAGGTTTAGCTTTTTATTTGATGAGGTTGAAATTTAAGATTATGATGTTTCACCACGTTCTTATTTAATTTAGTTTGTTTGGCTTCGCCAATAACATTAATTTGAAGATGCTTTTGATGATTACTTCTTAAATTTAAACTTGACGATTTTGTTGTGATTTTCTTTTGTTGAGTTTTGACGTTAAGGTTTAGACGGTTAAGGTTTGGGCGTTAAGGTTTAGACGTTAAAGTTTAGGCGTTAAGGTTTAGACGTTAAGGTTAGACGTTTAGACGAAATGCTGTGACATTTGATGAGGACCCATTATTGTGACATTTGAGTTGATGTTCATCCATTCCAAACGTTTGAAAAAATTACAAAAAAAGATTAAGAATTTGAGAGGGGCAGATACAAATATATGAATGAGGGAAAAGGATAAAGAGAAAGATAAAATTTACAAAAAATTTCTTTACGGTTTCCTCCATTCCAATTCCATTGACCTCATTGGTTTCATCTGTGGGTGGTGGATCAAATGTAGATATCCATTTGTCGAAAATCTGTCCATTTGACGCAAATCTTTCCTTTTTCTGGAAGGAACATCCGGCCGGCCACACAGAAAGTAAATTGAATGGAAGTCGTTGAATTGAATGGTAAAAATAGGCGCAGTCGTTTTGTTGTCGAAATGGTCGAAAGGGTTTAGGCGTATTAGTCGACGCATCCGCGATTCCAAATAAATTACATCCAAACGTATATTCTGGTGATATAGACGTAGACGAGATTGGTTTGGTTTTGCGATTGCTGTGTTGCATCCAGTTGACGATAAATTCGAGTTGTTTGATAGTCGCATAAAAAGGTATTTATATCCAATTGACGTTTTGCAGAGTATCCATATTCCACTCTTCATCAATGTTTCAGGTCCGTTGCAGAAGTTGGCGCGGGGATTTAAAAATAACAGTCCATCGTCGTTAATCGGTGCCTTATGTGATGATTCGTCGTTATTGATTTTAGTTTGGTATGTTGCAAAGTTTGCCAACAATGAATATTGATCATGTCGTATACTCCAGATACATACTGCTTTGTCGTCTTGTTTGCTATAAGAATCGTGCATAGGTTGTTTGATATAAGCTTTAGACGTTTTGAATACATGTAGTTGACGTGGTCGTAGGTATTGAATAATCCCAATTACAACTCGAAGAATAAGGATTAAGCAAAACCATCCTGGATTGGTTGACGGATCTAGTTCGATTTTGTCGTTGTTGATATTATCTTTTCCTGACGGGTGGTATTGGTCGATTATTGAATCATGACAGGTTTTCCATTTGACGTTCTTTCGGTTTATCTGAACTTTGATCGGCGGTAATGTCGTTGGATGTTGGAGTATTGGTTGTGACGATTCTTTAGTCGATCTGTCAGGATTTACTGAGGTGTTGTCATTGTCGTTTTTGAGTGTCATTTCGCTGGTTTTCAGTTCATTAAATTTTGCCAAAGTATGTATACGAATGTCTTCGGATTGCTTCGATTGGTGAACACTATCAATTAATGATTTGGGTTGCCGAGGTATGTTGTCAAAAGCCTCTTGTGGTGATTTTCGTGGTTTCACTTGAACAACTGGTTCTTTGACGGTATAACTGATCTGACTTCTTGGATCAAGGCGAACAATAGTTGAAACACATTCACTCCGAATTACTCTGCATGAAAACTCGATCTCGTTGGATGAGAACTGCTCTTTGTTGTTATAAGTTGATGAATCGAGAGTCGGTTTTGATTCTTCTTTAAATGCTTCAGGTTCCATTGTGTCCTTCTGAGTTTCCATGACTGGTTTAATCTCTTCTTTGACGTCTTTAGCAGAAGCTATTGACTGATGAAGCGAGCACATTGCGGTCGTATCTCGCTGACTGTTAAACATCGTTGCACTTCCCACTGTTACATCCGGGTTTGGTTTTTCATTTCGACGTGGTGGTGTTTGGCGTCGGGACATATTTGAATTCGACGTTGGCGGTAATGTGGAAGACTGAACCCCAAACGATTGCACATCTAGACGTGGTGCAGGGTAACAGACTTGAGTTGTTGAATAGTCGTTTGGAGTCGGCGGTGGTGCGCAAATAAGGAAATTATGTTGACCACTTCCACACTTTCGGCAATTAATTAGACGTTGGCATTGCTCGGTTGTGTGATTTTGTTGCAGGCACTTCAAACATCGGCCCTGTTCCAATAGACGAACTTCACGTTGTTGAGGTGTTGAATATGTTGAACATTGGCTCGGTTTATGACCAGGATTACAACATAACGAACAGAACGGTTCATTGTTTTCACGATAATTGTTGTTTTCGCTGACTCCAGGAACTGTTATCGTTTGTTCCATTGGACGTGGTGTTGGTCGTATTTCTTGTCGTACTTCAATTCTTTCCCATCCATAAGCTTCATAATTCATTTGATCTCGATGTTGTTCTCTTCGTGGTTCATGTTGAAACGATGCTATACATTCTTCCGTCGCTTGTCGTATGTTGACGATATCTGCTAATGCGTTTCGAAGATCCCTATCATCCCACTTTCTTCTCGAACGCAACTCCTCTGTGATGAGTTGTTGCACGATTTCTCGAGGAAGTTTTGATTTGATTATGTTGCAGACGAAACGTTGTTTTGGGCCTCCTAGGCTTTCAAGCTGCAAACAAATTCTTTCCACTTCCTTTTCAAATTGGGATAATTCTCGAAGGTTGTTTCGAATTGGCTGTAGTTTTAAGAGTTGTGCTTCTAATTGGTCGCGGAGTTGGTCGTCGTTTCCATATTTATCCTTCAAGATTTCTTTGACGATTGGGTAATTGGTATCTGATGGTGGATATCCAATGATGGCTTCACGAGCTGCCGATCCTTCTCTAAGATTTTGCAAGAGCAAAAGGTGTTTCTGGAAGAGAGGGTATGGTTGTCGATCGACGGCATGTTCGAATGCTGCCCAAAATGTACGCCACTCTCTAATGTCGCCGCCGAACGTAGGTAGACGCACACTGTCGACTTTAAGAGCATTCAATGATGAAATGGTCGTTTGTGACGGTTCCTGACGAATTCTTAATTCTGGCTCGTAAGCATCTCTGTCGTTTTGTCGTACGTTTCGTCGCAGTCGTGTCCATTCTCTTTCTTCTTTTTCATCCGAATATAACTGACATCTTTCCTGGTTTGGCCAAATAATATGTGTACGTTGCGATTCGTTGAGGTTGATAGATCCTTGCGCACTTGGTGAATTATTACTGTTGCTATCTGTCATTTGACGCATGACTCGATAAGCCTTTAGATGGTTGATTGCCTCATTTGCCCGGTTGACCAAACTGGTGATTGGCCAATGATGTTGGATTTCATTTCGGTCTGATTTCTCGTCGTCAGTCAAGTAGTTGACTAAAAAATTCTCTTCCTCATCTTGCTTCGCTTCGCTTAAACCTTCCATATACTGATGATAGTGACGAATAACTGATTGGAGCTTCTCGGTCCTCTGAGATAGATGTACGAGTTCCATCTCAACTTCGATTAGGAGTTCCCGTTCCTCCTCTTCCGTGGGTGTCGATTTGATTTTGTCGATATACGAATCGGCATTCTTTAGACGTTCTACGAGTGACGTCACCGCTACACTGAGCTCTTGACGAAGTATTCGTGACATGTTGAAAGGTTAAGTGTTGTTAATACGTTGACGGAATTAACCAATATACGAATTTAGAATTTAGACGAGTTGATTAGACGAAAGGGCTGCCAATAAAATAAATTCAAGGTGTACAGTTGGACGGCTTGAGGTCGCTGTACTGGTTCAACTATAGTCGTTTGTTCTGCTGGGAATGTTGGTCTTTGTCGACGGCTGATCCTTTCGGCGCAGACGAAATATAGTCGAATTGTTGTTTGAATTTGTGTTGACTGATGAATGTCGACGGCAGTCCCGGGTCGTGGCACCAATTTTAACGGCAAACTTCTCAGGTCGGGAATCCACTGACGAGGGATCAAAGAAGTTTGACCGCTAAAATAAGAAGATGGGGTTGAGGGTGTTGATGAGGTCTTAATCCCAAAGATTAAGACAGGGCAAACCAAACGAGGAGACAAAGGGTTTTAGACGGCCAAGTTTAGACGTAGACGAAAGTTAGGCGAATATTCCCAAAGAATATTAACAAAAGAATATTTTAATAATATTTATTTAATTCAAAGAAATTTACAATTGTGAGTGCGTGTTTTATTTAAAATGATTGGATAAGGGATTTGGGTTAATGATTGGAAAAAATGGTTATGTCAGAACATAAAAATGATAGAAAATGATTAAGCTTAAATAGGCCACAATCAATGTGTGTGGTATGGAATGTGGGCAATGGAAAAAGTAAAAGGCATTAAAAAAATTATATGTTTGCGGTTAAAAAGTTGGGCGGAAGTGGACAAAATGGATGAAATTATTAAAAATTTAGATAAATTGTTGAAAAATATGGATGATTAGTACTTTTCATCCATTTATGGAAAAAGGGAAAAAAGAGCAAAAATAGGCGATAACGATCAAAAATGATGTCATACAAAAAATGAAAAATTATTATTTTAATAATTTTATCCTTCGACGAAAGTTTCGTCAGAAATTTTCGACATTAAATAAATAATTTACTTAAATAAAAAGGGAGATGTCCCTATCTTCTTTCCTTCGTTCTTTTCTCGAAAATAAGGTTAAGAACCTAAAATTAGTATCGGAATTGAGAATATAGGAACCAATCCCGATATCTGAATAATAAAAAAAATTTCTTTTAAAAATATTATTTTTTAGGTAGTTATTGATAATGACCAATATTTGTCTCCAGAAAATGCTGGGGGAGTTGAGTTATTGGCAAGAAATGGCAAGATACGGTTATTTTATGGGAAATATTTTTTTAAATAATTTTATAATTTTTTAGAGTTTCTTCAACATTAGAATCTAGATTGGATTTAATTGCTGATCAAATTGTTCCACATATTCGGACTGCTTTGTTTGGACCTAACCCGAATAGAAAATTTTTTGATTAAAGAAATTATTAAATAAATTTAAATTACTTTTACTATTATTTTTTTTAAAAATAAATATATAGGTGTAATTAAATAAAGATTAAATTCTTGTGAGAAAAAAAGAATGTGAAATTATTTAAAAAATTGGCTAAATATTTTTACATTTTTTAAAAAAATCAAACCTCGTAAATAGAAAAATTGTAAAACAAGAAAAAAAACATCTCTTCTAATATGTCTTGAGATATATATACATATATCTTGTTTTTATGGAAACGGCGAAACAAATTAGGAAAAGATGTTATGGGGGTCGCATTTCCTTATTGGTACCGTCAAATCCAGCCCCAGGTTGCCTCAATGCCAGCAATGGGATTCCTTCCGCCGAATTCCGACTTTTTTGCTCTTACCAGAAAATCTTCTCAAGGCTCTCACAGTCAGTCTAAAAATGTCCATATCCGGTCCCTTATCCGAAATTTCCGGTTCTGATATTAAGACTAGTTTTTTCAGTCATTATTTTGGGGGTGAAGTCTTGGTCTTTGTCACTTGTATTGTATTTTTACTGTAATTATTATGTAATACTATTGTATATTTAAATATATTTAGAATAATCAAAATTCGAATAATACAAATAAAAATTTAAAATTGAAAAAGAATTTAATAATTTTATATAATATTTATTTAAATGTAAGAAATATAGCAAGCAGCTCCTTGTGCAGGGAAATATCCTCGAACATATGCTTAAATTAAAAATAAATATAGCCAAATTAATTAGAACATTTACCAAGTATTTCGCATTTAAATTGGAATTCCCCGACTTGATATAAATTAACTGCTTGACAGTTTTTATGAAAACAAGCAGCTTTACATTCATCTATATCCTATAAAAAATATTAAAAGAAATTTAAAAAAATATTTCTTTTTTCTAACTTGAACATCATTAATTTCATATATTTTACCGCCTCTACATTCTGTTTGTTGCATTAAATGATAAGGTTTATCATTTACATATTGAATTTGTGGAAGTGCTTAAATGGATTTTAAATAATAAAATATTAAAGCATTTAAAGATTTTTGAGTAAACACAATTATCGGGGGTTGCTGTTTCAGCTTAATTACCCCCTCGTCCTCTGCCTTCTTCCCTTCCACACATCCTTAAATTAAAATCTAAACAAAAGTTCTTACAAATACAACAAGCAGCAAGTCCAACCAAAATTGTTAATGAACACAAAGGTGAACACATATTAAGGATAGATAAATATCGAGAAGGAAATAAATGTTTATTGAGAATTGATGGAATAATAGAGAAAGTTTTATAATTCATATTTTAATGTTTATATATTTATTTCCTTTTTAAAGTAAATATATAATTAAATGCCAATGTCAACAACAATAATTTTTATTTATTTATTTTTTATTATTTCTTTTTTTATTAATTTTAAAAGAATTATTTTATATTCATTTTAAATAAAAGAGAAAATGCTTATAATAAAAACTATTAAAAAACTTATTATATTTAAATAAATAATAGTACAATTATTAAAAGATAAAAGGAAATGTTGGAAAGGAAAACAATACTTTCTTTTATAATTCCCGAAAATTTGAATTATAAAATATAAAAATGTTAATTTTATTTAATTTAAAGATAATCGCCATTCTCTCCAATCAGCCCTGCTCCATAAAAGTATCAGTTAAATTTTCAGAAAATTTGCATAACTGCAAACGAAAAAAATTCCGAAAGAAGAGTGGACATACATGGACATACATATACTTTTGTGGGGCAGTGTATTTAGGTCATTTTTTTATTTTAATACTAAATTTTTGGCAAAAACATTTGTCTTTACATAAATTTTATTTTAATACTTATCAGCTCAATTTATATTTAGGTCATAATTTTGGACAAAAAATAAGATAAATTATATTTCCTAATTTGAATTAGAAACCGAAATACTAAGGACAATGGTAACGTTGCAGCCCGACCTTTCAGGGTCGAAAACCTCTGGTCGAGATTTAAAATATTTGGGTCGGATTCGATTAAAGTGTTGGGGTTGAAAGGAAAAATATTGAGAAAATTTAGCTTAAAATACAGCCTAAGAGTCCATAAATTCACTTTCTTATCGAGTTAGACAGAATTAATGGAGATAATAGGTCAAAATTTTAGATTAAATAGAAGAAAACTCACCCATTTAGTTTTGCTTACGAATTCACTACTTTGGATTTTGAGAAGGACAGGAAGTTAAAAGGAGTTAGACTTCTTTATTTGTAACGTCACATGTGAAGATTTTAAATTTTGGAAGGACAAGAGATCAGAATTAGCAACAAAAATTAATTTAAGGTTAAAAATATTTTGCATTCTATCATTTTTTAAAAATCCCTTGCTGATATTTCTTGCTTGTGTTTAAAAAAAGAGACCCCCACCCCCCCCCCCCGCCCCGAACACTTGGAATAATTGTAAGGTTAGGATTTTATCAGGGATAACGAAGTATTAAATTATAGGCATAATTTTAACATAAAAGTCATAAAATATTAATAAGAAACAAAGTAAAAATATTTAAAAAAAAGGGGATTTAAAATTTTTAATATATTTATAAAAAAACTCTTTTGTGTTAAATCTGGATTTTCAACAAGAAGTTGTAGGACCTTTTGATCTCTCATTTCCCTTTATTTTTCCGGTGCAGCAAATATTGTTAAAATATTTTCTCTCATTTTTAAGTTATTTTACTTTCTCTTTTTTTTATTATTGGGACAACAAAAATATTTTCAGTAAAAATAAAAGAGAATTTTAAAAAGAGGGAGAGGGAAAAGTTTGACTGAGCAATTGAGTTGAAACAACCGGATTTGGGGATTGGATTTGTGAAATATTAAAAGAAGGGTAATTTTTAAATAAAATCAATTTTTAATTACAAAATTGATTTTATTAGGAAGTCTTTAAAGCCTTTCTCTAGTAATTTTTCTAGATTTTTCAAATTAGATAGAAATTTCCCAAAAACTTTTAGTGAAATGTTCAATCCTTATATTTTAGTAAATTTTTTAAAAATATTTTTTTATAAAATTTATTCAAGTATTTTTTTAAATTAAATTAACACACAATGATATGTTTTGTATTCTAAACAAAAAATAACAATTTATTATTTATATAGTTAATCATATGTATTAGTTAAAATATTAACAACTAAAGTTGTCCAACCCGTAAATGGATGTGTTCCAAGCCCCTCACCATTTGTATCATTATAATTCTCCCAGAAAAACCCAGTTTTTGAATATTGATTTGCTATATTTTGTATTAAATTTGAACGAAGTTGGAAGTAAAGTTCATTTGCTAAATGTGCATATTGACCATCAGATTTTGAATAATGATTTAAAGCATCCAAAGTTAAATAATTCATCTATTAGAATAAAAATATTTTTTTAAAAATTAATTAAAAAAAAATAACATTTATCCAAATAGGCGCTCTCCAATAAGGTTTATTATGTTCTGTATTCTTAACCATATAATATGAAGATTTTTTAGAAAGTGAACGAAGACCAAAATTTGTCCATAAATCCTCTGTTCTATTTAATGAATTCAAAACTATTCCCAATTTTGGACTGTCAGAAGGCAAAAGTTTAAGAAGTAAAGGAAATAAATTAACATATCCAAAAACATCATCAACAAAGCGTAGATGAGGTTCCTCAATTATTTTTCGTTGTAATTGTATTTCTTGGTCACTTAATTTAACAGGAACCTTGAAAAAATAAAAAAAATTTATTTATAAATACAAACAAACCATCTTAAATTTATAACTATGCAAACCAAAATCAGAATATTGCTGTTTTTTCTCATTCCAATGAAGTTTATCAAGTGTTGTAATATCTCCAAATTCTTTAATATCTTCTTCTACTATTGGCACCCAATCGGAATCGTCGAACGTTTCAGCTAATTGTCTTAGTATTTTTGAACTGAGAGCCATCCAACAACGCAAATCTAGATGGTATTCTTCACATGACGGATTTGATGCTCGAGGAAAATCGTCTAAACCACTTGGTAATGTCATTGGGTTAACTTCAAGATTTGTGGTTCTGTTACGGCCCTAACATTTGTAAATATTTTTTCTAAAGAGAAAAGGCACCTGCCATTGCATTGTGCCAAACTTTGGACCACGTTGAGAATCCCTTAACCAAATATACCAACGTTTTAAACGTGGATAAAGAGCATTAATTCGTTTTTGATGATATTTAAATAACTTGAATTATGGAACAATAAGGCTAGTAACATTATTTAAAAGTTGAAAAATAAACCTCGGAATTTCTCAAGAATTTATCCAATAGAAAGAAAAACATTGGCGGGTTAGCCACTTCTGGACTTTGAACCAAAAACTCTGAAGGTATTCGTGCTCGTGCCTCATCATCCAAAACCAACTCTCGTGGAATCCAGCCATCAACATTCATCGTGTCAAGCCAAGACGCAATAATCTATCAAATTGAAAGAATTATCCAATGTTTAAGCTAATTATCTAAACAAAAATAAAAACCTGTAAGGTTAAAAGTGGATCAAATTTTCTTATCAAAAGATTGTGAAAACCCTCATCCCATAGAAATCCACGCGGAAAAAAGGGTCGAGAAGGAACGGCAGAAAACAGAGACAATGGACCATAATAACGTGCATCTTCATTAGGATTTTCAGATGTCCTGACAAGAGAATAGCCATGCCATACACCAATACCACCTAATAAAATAAATTATTTTAAAGAAAAACTTTTACCCAATAAATTAGCCAAAGCAGTTTTTGCCAATTTTCGATAATTTCTATCATTAACATCATTTTTATTTGGTTCAAGTCCTTCTTCGTTTTTTAAATCAATAGGAAAGGCATCATCAAAACGATCTCCAAATTCCTTCAACTTCTTATCAAAAACTGTCTGAAAATAATCATTCAAAATCCCATCATTTGCAGAATTCAACTCGACAATAAAGTCAAAATCACCTAAAAATTAAGTACAAAATTCATGGTAAGAATATAATATTTCAAAAATACCAGAAACTGTTATCTGAACAACACTAAAATCAACATTTCCTGAAGATGACTCAAACGAAGCGATTCGTTCATTTTGATGCAAAATCAAATCTAATTGGTTTTCTGGACGCGCAAATGAGCCAAGAATAACATCCTTTATATGAACCATTCCCAAATAAGCAGGAAGTTTGTAAGCAACATTTGAAAATTTTTCAGTTGTCATTGGATTTGTAAAAAGAATTTTAATGTCAAATTGACCGATGCTACGAGAATGACCATTAATAAATTTATAAGTAAGTCCTCCATCTTCTAGAAGGTTTAATGGAGTTAACACTCCGTCCTCAATTTCACCATTATTGCTAATATTTTTCTGAAAAATTTAATTAATTTAATAAAAAAATATACGTACTTGAAGTGCCAAATAAAGAAGAAAAGAAAAACTAGAATTTTGCTCAGCTTTTCCAAACATACGAACTGCCCAAGATTTTTCACCTTTGGAGATCCAGTCAATAAAAAAAGATAAATCTCCGTCAGTAATTTTTTGCCTTCCAAAGGTACGTCCATCATGCGCCTCCCAACCATATTTAACAGGATCAGCTGGAAAAATGTCAAATCTCAAAAATATCAAAAAAGCACTTCTTCCCCATTTTTCTAGAGAGATGGGAAAATGAGAAAAAATGTATCATACATATGTACAAACCGAAGTTTTACCAATAAATAATCTAATTGAAATTGCTATATAATCCCTAGATTAAACCAAATTATGGTAAATTAAAGATTTGATTAACTGACACAATAAATTAAGGAAATGACAAAAACAATTTAAGTAATTTCTTGAATTTTATATAATTTCTAGTTTTATTACCATGATCGCACCAATGGCGTAAAGGAAGATTTTGAATAAATTGTTGACGAGGTTGTTCGTACCATAGTAAACCAAACAGTGGTGAAAGTATTTGTTTAGTTTTCAGACCAAAATAAAGATGAGGACGAAGAGTACCCCAACTCGTCTGAAAAAATAAAAAAAATATTTTTAGATACTTTAAAATAAATACTTCTTTATAAATATCCTCAATTTCACTTTTTGGAAGTTCAGATTTTTGTAAAACATTGGTAGGAATAAAGAAAGAATTTCGTATATAAACATAAAGAAATATGGAAAATAATATTGATAATAGTAAAAATATTTTAGAACGCCAATTTTTTATTAATTGACTGGCCATTGTTTCCCTTTTTAATGGAATGCGTTCAGAAAATTTGTCTTTACGTCTTCGTCTTATTTCAGACATGGCTGAAATTACAACCTAAATTAAAATAAAATTTTTGATTCATTACATCTTTAAAGTAAAACCGGTTAAAATGTTATGTACAAAAAGTTCGGAAGCAAATTTAAAAAAAAAAGAAAATAAGAAGCAAATAAAAAAATTAAAAAATAAAGGGTAGATCAAGTTTGAAAATAGTGGATTCGGAAATTACTGCTTCAGGATAATAAATAAACGGTCTAAAAATAATTATCTATATATAAAAAAATTTTACCAAAAAGTAGCTTTTTTTTAAATAACTTTTTTTCTGAGTCTCCGATTTGGATGAAATTTTTTTTGTTGAACCGGAAATTCAGTTAGCTACAAAAAGTCTGTTGATGAAAAATTTCGAAAATTTCGGGAATGTCGAAATGTCGAAAAGTCGAAACACGAAACTGAGGATGAATGTCCAAAAACGAAAATAGAAAAATAAGGTGCTGGGAGATGAAATGTAGCCCGTTTAATTCTGCACCGATTAACCGGAGCACTTTTTCGAAACCGACTTCCCTAACCCGAAATATTTTCGGTCAAAATAGGCACTACCCACTTTTTTTCACTTTTTGTAAAATTGACCGTTTTTTCGACATTTCGACATGAAGACGAAATGCGAAAAAAACGATTTTGATTACTGCGATAGAGAAGAGAATTCTCTATCGAATGACCGAGAGACTTTGAAATTTGGACTTTCCGTTCGAAAGTTATGGCCCCCCAAAGTGTCAAAATTTGCCAAAAATTTTTTGAAAATTTTTGAACTTTTTTATGTACCATCTACGAAATCAAAGATCACAAGAAAGGGCGGTTCGATCCAAAAAGTGTTTTTTTTGTTATATGGCTAATATGGTGTAGTATATGGGAAAATTATGGAAAAGTTCGAAAAGTCGACTTAAGTTGGTCAAAAGTCGATTGAGACGAAAATGTCGAAAAAAATTTTCGACATTTCGACATGATCCCGAACCCTGACGAGTTCGGCCCCAACTAAAGGGCAAAACTCCCTCGAATTTCCTTTCGAATAAAAAAAAGATTTCGAAAATCGGACTATCCGTTCGGCACTTATGCGTGACACAACGAAACGGGGTAAGGGCAAATTGGGATTTTATAGGGGTGAATTAGTACAAAACGTCGGCGCGACAAAAGATCACTTTTTTCATGCTGATATAAAAATTCTAAATTTTATCCTGTATTAGGTTATCGAATACGGCGAGTTAGAAAAAAATAGTTTTAGGTCGGACACTTGAGTCTCAAAAGAGATATTTGAGTCTGAGGGAAAAAAATGATAATTTTTTGATTTTTCGTCGACATTTCGACATAAAGGCGAAATCCTAAAAATATGTTTTTTAGTGCATTTGAATGGGCTTTTAATTCTCTATCAAGCAACAGAAGAATTATGTAAAACGGATTATTTTTTGGGAAGTTATGAAAGGGTAAATTGTCAATAGTTGGATAAATTTTTTTGTTTTCACTTTTTCAACCCAAAAAACGCATGTGTACCTAATAAAATTTTTGTGTTTTTGATTTAATTTGAAGCAAAGTTTTTTGCTTTAGATTTAATTTTTAGCAAATTTTTTTAGCTTCAATTTTTTATTGAAGCCCATTTTTGTGCTTCGGATTTAATTTGAAGAACATTTCTTTGCTTCAGATTTAAAAATTTTTTTCGTAAAATAAAAAAATATTTTATATGATTTATTTTTTAAAAAAATTTTATCCAAAATTTTTATTTAAAGTATTAGATAACAAAAGCAACTTTAGCTGTTCAACCTTATATTAATTAAGGATTTAAATTTTTTATATTAAGTATTTGCTTTTAATTTTCGCAACTAAAATTATTTTTAGATTGAATTATTATATATTAAGTAAAATGGGTACTAATTTAAACTAAAATTCTAATATTTACTAATTTCGTTTTGAAATTTTATATATTATGTATTTTTTTACATGTTTTAAATTGAAGCTGAAACTACTACAAATTTTATTTGAAATTTTATATATTATGTATTTTTTTGACATTTTTGCGGTTATGTTCATTTTTCCGCAATTTTGCTATGACGAAGAAATCGAAACTTCTGATTTTGACTACTGCGACGAAGCAGCTAATTATCTATCGAATGATGGTAAATTTGTGCAATTTGGACTACCCGTTCGGGAGTTATAGTTCGAAAAGTGTCGAAATACCCTTTTTTTAAATTTTTCTCGATTTTGTCCGTTTATTCAAAATTTCGTCAGGAAGACGAAACCGAAAAAGTTGATTTTGACTACTGCGACAAAGCAGATAATTCTATATCGAATGGTGTTAAAATTGTGCAATTCGGACCATTCGTTCGGGAGTTATGATCCGTCAAATTGTCAAAATTTGCCAAAAAAGAATAAATTACAAAGCTAGGCTTCGATTGACATAAATATTCGAATCAAAACTCAACCGACGCAGTTGAAATAAGTTTTAAAAAATTTCCCATATTTTAGTACATATTCTGACAAATTTTTTCACAAATCTGATTATCTGCCAAAAAATTATTACGGTTTAATTGTCAAAAAATCATTAAAAAATAGACACAAGTATCAAAAACTTTTGCAAATTAATGGGATAAAATTGCCTAATTTTAACGAAAAAGGTGTTTTATAGTGAAATAATACATGCAGAATTTAAATCCGTTGTCAAAAAATTTTTAAAAAAATTTTCCTCTATGTTGAGTCAACTTAGAAGTTTGAGTCTCAGATAATTTCATAGACCTATATCTCTCTGAGACTAAATTGTATTCCATACAAACCATATATTTTTTGAATCAGTAGAAGATGCCCTACAAAATAGGCTATTTAAATCTCATTTCAATTTTTTGACCCGAAAAAATTTCCGAGCATTTTCGACACTTAGACTCTAATATCACGGCCCTGACTCAACTGACCCTTTTAAAACTTTTTTTAAAAAATTCCCCATATTCGATTACATATTCGTACCAATTTTCATCCAGATCGGCTGATCCGTTAGAAAGTTATGTTGAAATTAAAAACCCCAAAAATCGTAGAAATATATAATATTTCAATTAAGTTTTTATATATGGATTTGGAATTTTTCACTATTTTAAGCATAATTCCTTCTGAATTTTGGTTATGGGGTAGTACCGCGAGGTCCGTTGGGACCGTTTGAGCGGGATCCAGAAAAACCCTTAGGCACACCAGTGCAGGGACGTGCGATCTTCCAATTCGGGGATCGGAGTGAACCTGTTTCCCTTTATGGGGTATAGGATGACTTCCCCCGACGGGAGTGAGCCTTTGGATGGTGTGCATCCAATGTGTCCCGGCTCTCGGAGGGCGCGGGTGGGGTGAGCCCGGTGGCCGTGCTGGATGAACGAAGGCGCTATGCGGAGACTTCGTCTCTGGGCTCTTAGCCGAGTTCTGAAGGATCACACGGTCAGCGGTACGGAGTAAGAAAAAGCATGGTATCACCGGCCATGCTACCCCACTGGAATCCCTGCCAGGATCGTGGATAAGCTTCGGCTTATTCACCTCACCCTGACGTCCGAAGCGTATGGGGTCTGCTGGCATATTCCAAACGCACCGGATGAAATCCTGGCAGCTCGATGTTCGCCCTGGTGTGGCAACTCCCGAGGCGTGCGACAGGTCCTTGATCTCCGGGGGTCAAAGCCAACTGATGGCTAAGCTATCAGGAGGCATGAACTTGGTTGATAAGTTCGCTTATCAACCTGTAGTTCGCGGGAGCTACAGGGACAGGTTCATGCACTCTTGCATCATGTATTGGATGCACTGGCCATATCTCTTTAAGGATGTATGTCTGGTGGATTCACGGCATTCTCTATGTGGTGTAAGACTCCTGGTACGTTTGGTCCTCTCGGTTTGAATCCACTGGGCATGCATCCGAAATTATCACTTTATGTCAACATGCAATATGGTACATTTACCTCGTCTACAATCAATATGTCAGAACATGCAACAAGAAGGAACTGTACAATGGATACGTGGGTAAAAAAGTTTCATTTGAGTGTTAAAAATTTTAAATGTTTATTTAGTCATTAGAAGTTCTAAAACAGTATAGGGAAGGGTTTTTGAGTCTTTAGAAGACATTTTTGTCAAGTTGAATTTTTGAAGAATTTGGGGGTTTTCTGAGTCTCTGAGCAGAGATACGGACTTCTAAGTGTGTTTTTCGGATTCCTCGACCAAAGTTTACCCCCCTTTAATAAACCCCCAAATTTTAACGGCTAAGCTCGATCTTTAACGGGAAAAAAGTTATGCTCGAAAGTTTGATATCTCAGGGTAACTTTTTCAATTTTGGGTATAATTGAAAAGGATGGTTTTAAATAAGCTTATTTATCATAATATTGATAATTAATAACAAAATTAACCGTTAAGTGTCACTAAAATTCCGTTTTATTGAAAATTTGGCTAAATTCGTGTTCACGGTTTTGAGTCGACTTGCCTTCACTTTTTCGTCTATAACTCTGTCAAAAATTGAAACAGGGAGAATGTTTATATATCATTTGAAAGCTAATAAATAGGGCTTCAAAACGTACCCTAAATTATAAAATTAAAAAAATTTTTAGTGCCAAAAATGTTGGGTGCCGGACGATTGACCCCCTAAAAATTAAGAAATATTTTTTTGAAAAATTTTTGTTTTGATGCAATTTTTTGATTTAAGACTAAAAGTGTGTTATTTTTAATTGTTGAAAAATTTTTAAATAACCATTTGAGTATTGGGAAGCCCATTTGAGTATTTTTAAAATTATAAAAATTTAAAACATTTTTCAGCTTAGTTGCGTTGATTTGCTAAGTGTATTTTATTGTTGGCTTCATTATGCTTTATAATTACAGTTAGTTAACGTTTTTTAAAATTTAATTATTTTTTTTTATTATTTTTTGGCTAAATTCGTGTTCGCGGTTTTGGTTCGACTTGCCTTTACTTTTTCAATTATAACTTTGTCTAAGATCATACTACTGAGGTTGTTTATATATCATTTGAAAGCTAATAAATAAGCCTTCAAAACTCACCATAAATTATGGGATTAAAAATTTTTCAGTGCCAAAAATGTTGGGTGCCGGACGTATGACCCCCTAAAAATTAAAAAAATTATTTTCAAAATTTTTGTTTTAATGCGGTTTTTTGTTTAAGAATATAGAATAATTGTCTTTAGTTGGCAAAAAATATTTTAATTTTCGTTAGCATCTTTGAACACACATTTGAGTATTTTTAAAATTATAAAAATTTTAACATTTTTAAGTTCAGTTCGGTTTATATGATAATTATATTACGTTAAATCATCGTATGGTTGGATTATATTAATTTCAGTAAGTCAACGTTTTTAACTTTATTATTATTGTTTTCATTAGTGATTTACTCTATTATTGAAATATTACCTCGTGTGATTGATCATAAAACAATTATTTAACATTTGTTTACATATTTAATGTATGTTTGATTTTTGTTTGTTTTTAGTTGTATAATTTCAAGCTATTATAATTGATATTATAATTTTTTATAATTGAATATTTTTAAGTTTAAATTTTTGTGACAATTTATTTACATCAATCAATTTGCTTCACGTATTTTTTGCATTGTTACCTGTTTAATTATTTGACGATTTTTCAATCAATTATGATTTGCCTTAATTTATTAGTTAGTTTTGTTTTGATTTCCAATTTTTATAGTTTAATTTAAAGTTCAATTGTTGTGTAATATTAATGCATATATTAACGAGTTTGAGGCTTTGGATTACCATTTGCTAAGTTTGTTAGCATTTGTTTGATTTAATATTAATTTTATTAGCGATTTAATTCAATTATTACTTGGTGGTATTGATTATTTGGTTTATTTGGCGATTGTTTCATTTCAATATTTATAATTTGTTACAATTAATTTGAGTTAGTTTTATTTTTGTTTGCCTGATTTTAATATTTTACTTTTAAGTTGTTTGCATTGATTGTTTTACTTACTTAAGTGTACAGGTTTTTAGTTTAATTAGGGACCCTGAGAATCCGACGGTATAATGTTAATCAATAGCTGTCGGGGGAGGGTGGTGCGCGTTTCCGCAAGCCTCCACGAAGGTGAATAGCACCGGGCTGCGCACTGGGCAACTTTTATCCATTTTTCGTTGATATTGGATAAAAGGCTAAGTCAACCTCAAAAAGAGGAAGACAGCGGAATAGTCTTTGAGGGAATATTTTATAAATAGTTTTCATTAGAAATACGCTTTGTTTTCGACTTATTCAATTTTATAAGTAACATTTATTTTACGTTTTCTCTTATACATTTTTGATTTATATTGATTTTATTTTTTCACTGTTAAATAATTTTTTTTATTTTTAGATATAAAATTTAATAATTTAATATTCTTTCTATAAAATGGTTTCAAAAGACCGGAAGCGTTGTGAGAAAAAGAAAGAAGCTTCAAGAAAACGAAGAAGTGAAAATGCTTCAAGTAGTTCGTTGGATGATATTAGTGAAAAACGATTAAATGTTCACGATGATGATCTAAGTATTTAATAGTCCATTTCTTAAGTTTTTGGTTTATTTTAGATCCTGTATGCTCAGAAGTTTTTTTGTTGCCTGACAATTCAGAAAATATTTTGCGTGAAATGATTCGTCCAATTGATGATATGCCTTTAAATCTCGATAATTTAGGTTATTTTCTTCTACAATATTTGATTTAGTTATATCTAGATTCTGAAAATATCACTGTTGATAAATCTTCCGGAAAAAGTAATGTTGGTAGACCGCGAAAAATAAAAGGGGGTATACGAGAAGGTTCGGGTAGAAAACTGCAAGATCAACATCCTGTTGGACTGGCATCAGATGATTTTGAAAATGAAGTTTTCCAAGGAATATGTCGTGATTTGGATATAAATGAAAGTCTTGATGAAATTGGTTACAAACTTTATTAGCTTTTTGATAATGATCTATTTTAAGAATTTTCTACCCAGATTAGTGTTTCGACAGTATCATTGCGCCGTTCCACTCGCCATTCAAGCACAATTTCACGGTTTTCTGACATATCTTTTGATGACAAGTGGCCAGCACACCGCCCTATCACTAATGCCTGTTTTCGGAACCACCATGGTCTTGGATGCGCTGCTAAGAATTCGAAACATATGCCAAAATATTATAATTCTCTTTGCAGAGTATATTTCATTAAAGTGTCTAACTTACAATTATTTTAGAATGATGTTATAATTGACTGCCGCTGTCCCTTTTGCAAGGCCTTATTGTTACCATCGGAGACACTTGGTCCTTCCGCATTTGTTAAATGTTGTGCAAAAGGACGAGTAAATTTACATGACCGCTTTACTTCTCTGCAAGATCTTCCAATTGGCATCGATCTTATGTTACACAACCCTTCCAATTCTGCGACACGAGATCGTCTTATGAAAAAAATTTTGCGGTACAACGACCAACTTTCGTTCGGCCAAATTCGTATGGAGAGAACTTTTGACTTTTCTGACTCATATCGGATTGTCAAAACAAATAACATGATTAGCTATATGCTATTTGATTTTCGACAGCCTGGTGGACAACATCAACCTGAATTACGAGGTCAACTCTACACAATACCGCCAAATTCTTCTGAAATTCGACTAAATGATTTATCTTCTGAAAATGAATTAGATGTTTGTTTAAATATATAAAAAAAGTTGTAAAATATTTTTGATTTTAGCCTATTATTCTGCAAGAGCTGTTTAACATTTTGAAACAAAATCATTGGATGGCTGAACTCTTCAAAATTGCCTCAGACGTTTATCAAGATCTTTCGGCCGACTTACAGCTTCAGTTCCGAATGCTTGTAGTTGATGCCAATAAACGCGGAACTGAGCGCACTATTGAAAACGTATTTATTAAATTTTATTTTAAATTAATAAACAATTTTAGGTTCCACCACTTGATATTAATCCATCTGATGCTTCTGTGTTACACCAAATTCATCCTGGACGCCTTAGTGTTGAGACTGCCGCAGGAAGCCAGCTTGTCGCGCAATTTTATTTGGATAATGGGGAGAATGTTACACCAGAAGGAAAATATGACGTAATTCTAACAGGGCAAAAAGGAACAGGTCAAGTCAGTCTGAAATGGTGGCACCGTGCAGCTGATGCAGCATGTTTCCCTATTCTATTTCCAAAAGGACAAAATGGATTTGGTATTTAATGATCAATAATTTAATAAAAATATATTTTAAGAAAATGGTATTAAGCTTATTTTGCGAACTGGAGAAAGTTTACAAGGAGCTAGACGTATAATTGTTGGATGTGATGGAGAACTTGACCCAGAAATCGATCTTGGAGAGGGCGAGGAATTTCTCCATGACGTTGGCACACAACAAGAACATCAACGTGAACATGTTTCAAGAGCTCAATACTTTCGTTACATGTGTCAACAGAGAGGCACCTCCTGGAAAGCAACACATTGGCTTTGGGAGTGGGGTCAACTTTCCCAACTCTACACGATCACGTACAATCAAAGAATGGAAGCTCAGAAAGTCCAATATATGAAACAACTTCAAGGAAAATACCGATATGTTCGCCAGGCTGCTTTATTGGATTGGCTTAAAAAACTTTTGGAAAAACAAGGCATATAAACATACTTAATAATTATAATATACGTTATAGGATTACAAGGACCCATTGGCCAGGTGTACATGACAAATGAACATTTTAGAGGATCTCGACAATATTACCAAAAGCAATATGCTGCATGCATGACCATCTGCAGGGAAATTGGCTCGATTGATCTGCTTATCACTTACACTATGGACCCTTCTGCACCAGAATTAGAAAACATACTTCTTGAACATCAAACCTGGTCAGACCGTCCAATGGAAGTCTGTCGCATTTTTATCGATAAGCTTGCCGAACTTGTAAAGGACATTACTGAGCGTGAAGTACTTGGACCTGTCAAAGGATGGTTTCATAGTCTTGAACACCAGAAACGGTATTTATTAGTTTATATGTCTATATTGCTTTTTAGTGGACTTCCTCATGTTCATTTCGCCGTTATCTTGGATTGGGAAAAAATTCGCAAATCTGGCTTTATAACATCAAAAGAAGATTATATGTCACAATATATTTCTGCTGAAATACCGGATTTGCCACTACCAGAAGATCGCAGAGAATCAGCAGTTTTACAACGGCTTTTGCATCAAATTGTTGTGACAAAACATGTTCATACATGTAATCAACATTGCCTGCGAGAAGGAATAAGAAGATGTGCTAAACGTTTTCCTGTAAGAATCTTTAAATGTAGTGTTTAATATTTTTATATTAGCACGCCTATTCCGATATTAACATCTATTCGGATAATGCTTACCCGAAATATCGCCGCCGTCCTCCACCACCATCGGAGATTGAACGCAAAAATAATCCTGACTTATATGGAAATTCTCATGAATATACAGATCGTTATGGCAAACATCACGTTGTCACAAATCAATATGTTGTTCCCTATAACCATTTTCTTCTTTCAAAATACAGATCACAGTATCTTTATTTTTTAATACAATTTAATTTGTTGTTTAGCATTAATGTTGAGCTTGTAGCAGGAGATGGATGCGTGAAATATGTAACAAAGTATGTGATGAAAGGAGCAGATATGGCTTTTATTAAAGTTGAACAAGAAGGAATTGAAGGAAGTACTTGGCGCTATGATGAGTTTCATCAACTGCGACTCGCACGATACATCACATCTATGGAGGCTTTTTTGTCCCTTTGGGGTACAAAATTGGTCGTGAGATCTCATATTGTATTTATTTTTTCTATTTTATTTTTTATTTCTTTTGTTTAGGTTGACGAGCTTGACATTCACGGCCCTCAGGGTCATCATGTTGCTATTGAAGAAGGTAGAGAGTTAGAAATTGCTGAAGACGTACAAAGGAGATTAAACGAAGGAGAAGAACGCCGCACCCAATTAACTGCCTATTTCGATTTCAATCGTCAAAGACAATTAATTGGTGAACCACCTGCTGGCTTGACTTATAGTAATGCGTACAAACAACTTCGCTATAATGTCCATAAAAAGAACTGGCAATTTTCTATATACCATCATGAGAAGAAACTTTGTCGAATGCGGACAGTTTCGCCAACTAATTTGGAGCTTCTTGCAATTAGAGTATTTAAAATCAAATTTTTAAATTTACTTTAAATTTAGATCTTGCTAACTGCCGTTGTTGATCCCACTTGCTGGGAGGCTCTGCGCACTTTTGAAGATGTTGTCTACCCAACATTTTTAGAAGCTGCTAAGGCTAGAGGACTAATGTCAGACGATGTAATTTGGAGAAGAACGATTCAAGAAGCTTTTGATTCTAATAAGCGCATTCAACAGCGCATTCGTTGGCTTGCCATGTTCTTTGGATCTACGAATCTGACTAATCCAACTGCTTTGCTAGACTATGTTATTCAATTACCGGAAGATTGGCTTGTATGTATCATCTAAAATATTTTGTTGTATTTTAAATTTAGTATGGGACTCGTGTTGCTCAATTGGATTTTGAAGCTCGACGTGATTATGTTTTGTGTAATATTGAGTGGTTTTTGAGAGCTAATGGTATACGCCCTGATGAGATTGAAAGGGAGGATGGTACGTTTGAAACGGCTTGTGAAAGAATTCGGTAAAGATTATAGCTTTTAATTTAATCTATATTTGTTATAATAGTCTTCCACGTCCATCTTTACGAAATGTCCAACCAGAACTGCTTAATGACGCCGAAATTGATCCTGAAATGATGATACGGACGCATGTTGATAAGCCCTTCTTGGAAGAACATCAAAGAGGCTCAACACAAGATTATTATCTCCGTCTGTTTTACAACGATCCTCGCCCAACTGAGGAACAACAACATTTTATTGATGAAATTGTTCGAGGTATGTGGAGCGCACGTCACGTCATCGACGGTGAAGAATCATCTTTTGCGCAAGACATTCCAAGATATTTCTTCATAACTGGAGAAGGAGGTTCAGGAAAAACGTTCATGTATAATGTAATTTTATGTACTTGAATTTAGTTTCAAATTTATATTTATAGAAATTGATTGCTTTTCTGCATGCGAATGAATTTATGATAATGTCTATGGCAAGTACTGGTATAGCTGCTGAGCTTCTTTATGGTGGAGCAACTGTCCATAAAAGACTTTGCCGCCAAAAACACGTTGATTCGTCTACTCAAACATTTGTCGACTATCGAAGCCAGTTCGCAGATACCATCCGAAAACTTCATGGAATTATTATTGATGAAATTAGTATGCAGCATAAGGATGTCATTGACTTTGTCGATCGCCTTTTTCGATCAGTTGCTCCTCGAACACTGAAGAATGTACCATTTGGTGGAAAGGTAACTTTACAAATAATTTTTATATATAATTCAATTTTTAAGTGTGTTGTTCTTGGAGGAGATTGGAAACAACTGCTCCCTGTCGTCGCTGGTGGTACTTTGTTACATCAATTTGACGCGTCGATAAAGAACACGACACTTTTCAAAAACTTTGTTACCCGAAAATTACATTCAAATCTCCGATTACAGCCTGGTCAAGATCAATACAGAACATTATTGAAATGCATTGGAAGCGGAATGTTAAATGATGCAGATGAGCGAGTTCAACTCCCAGTTGGCATTTGTGTTAACTCGAGAGAAGAACTGATAAACTTTGTTTATCCGCAAGATTTGCTTCAATCAGCAATTCATCGTTGGGAAGAGTTCTGTGGACGTGCCATCTTGTGCCCACTCAACACTGAAACGTTTGAAATGAATAATATTATTTTGGTAATATTAAATTTTATGTTTAAAATTTAATTTATAAATAGGATCGCATTGCCGGACATGAGCAAACTTATTACTCGATTACAACACCGATTATGGATGAAGACAGGCTTGAAAACAATGCTTCTGATATTGATTATGAAAACTTAACAAGGCAAACACCGCCAGGCATTCCAGAACATGTACTACGCGTTCGTATTGGAGCTATAATGATGATCATTATTAACTTATCTGTATTAATTATTATTTTTAAAAATGCTATTTATACATTAAGGTTCAAAATGGGTTGTGTAATGGAACTAGAGTGCAGATTGTTGGTTTGGGCCAAAATCTTATTCGTTGTCGTATTCTAACTGGCTCAGGAAAAGGAAATGAACATGATTTGTTTAGAACGCGCTTCCAATATGGTGCCGATCCTAAAGCCCCACAAGAAGGCATGGTTCGAGTTGAACGAGTTCAGTTTCCGTTGCGTCCAGGTGCCGTCATGACTATTAACAAGTCTCAAGGGTAAATAGTTTTTTAAAACTATTTATGAAAATTATATTCTAGACAAACTCTTTCTCGCGTTGGCGTTGCACTCGACCATTCACAGTGCTTCTCCCATGGACAACTTTATGTTGCTCTTTCGAGAGCCCGTGACGCAGAAAGTGTGAAGGTTGCAACACTCCGCAAAGATCGCAGAGTCAAGAATCCAGTCATTCCTGCAATGATTGATGCTGAAGACTTCAACGAACTTGGGCCAATGGAAATTGCAATGTCATCAGGTGACGAACCTGTTCTCATTGAACGCATTCCTCGCGAACAGGTACATTTGTTAATTATATAAAAACGAATTAATTAAGACAATAACACCGTTTAATTATTTGCCTACACAACAGCCAACAACATCGGCTAATGAATTAACCACACAACAGCCAACAACATCGGCTACTGAATCTACACAGGCAACAACATCGCCAAATTTTGAACAAGATACACAGCAAAGATCTGCTGATTTACCAAATTATTTTCTTGATAATGTGCTCGGAGATGGAGATTGTCTATTTCGGTTAATTGATTAATCCTATTTTTATAATAAATAATATAGGTCTATTGTTCGTGCTTTATACGCTGGATCGGAAGGCTTAGCTTTACACATGAATTATTTATATGAAGACTACCAACGAGGACTAAGAAGGCTTATTGCACGCCGATACCAAGAAGACCTGCACAACACCGCAGATGAACAACTCACAGATGAGCGCATTCACGAGATCGAATGGGACGCTCCACATATTCGACAGGCTGGACTTCGTTTGGATGTGACTGATCCTCGAAGATCTATGCGAGAATATAGTCTACATATGATGCAACCGGCTAACAACAACAACACACGCTATGGATCTCATCTTGAAATCCGATATGCTGAAATTGTTCTTGGACGCCGCATTCTTATCATTGAAAATCTCCGACGACGTGTGGTTGATGGAAATGGCCGTGTTCAGTGGAGAATTATGCCCAACGAATATCAAGGGATATTCCTCTCTCCTGGTCTTTCAGCAGAAGAGATGGGGTTGACAAACATCACAGACTTTGGACAGGTATTTCAAATACTCCGTGCACATAATATGGACAACACCATCGTCCTTAGACTTGAAGGATTACATTATCGGCCAATTTATTTGGTAGCTATTTTTAATGTAACATAGATTAAATTAAAAATTTAAGCGTCCAATGCCTATTGAACATGGTGAAGAGAATATTAGGATTTTAGAACTGCTAAGCGACGTTCCAGCTGAACCTTGGACTCCCCAATGATTATTTTGAAAATGCTATTTTGATGTTTGGAAAGTTTTGCGAAATTTGATTGTGTTCGGATTGTCTATGATTTGATTGGAAAAATTGTAAGCTGTTGAAATTTGTTAAGTATATTTATAAAATTTTGTTTTTAAGGAATTTGTATGTTGTGTTATTTTTTTGGATTATATTTGTTCGGAATTTTTATTTTATTTGGATATTTTGGATTCTTTATTTCTTTTGATGTTTTGGTTAACAATTTGTTTGGGTTTTAAGTATTGGATTTTTGGATGTTATGTTCTATGGATTTTTTATGTTACTTTCTTTTGGTTTTTGGAAATTAGGAACGCGCTGGAAGTTGGAGCTGGGTATATCCCGCCTGATTACGGGTATTTTTTTTAATGGTAACTAAATACAAAGTATTAAATAGCCTGTTCTTTGTGTTTGGATTGTTAGTTCTTTGGATTTTATGGATGGTTAGTTCTTTGGATTTTATGGATGTTGAGTTCGTTGGATTTGTGGATGTTAAGTTCTTTTGGTTTTTGGGAATTAGGAACACGCTGGAAGTTGGAGCTGGGTATATCCCGCCTGATTACGGGTATTTTTTTAATGGTAGCTAAATACAAAGTATTAAATAGCCTGTTCTTTGTGTTTGGATTGTTAGTTCTTTGGATTTTATGGATCGTTAGTTCTTTGGATTTTATGGATGTTGAGTTCGTTGGATTTGTGGATGTTAAGTTCTTTTGGTTCTTGGATGTTAAGTTCTTTTGGTTTATGGGAATTAGGAACACGCTGGAAGTTGGAGCTGGGTATATCCCGTCTGATTACAGGTATTTTTTTAATAATAACTATAAAAAGTATTAAATAGCCTGTTCTTATTGTTTGAATGGTTAGTTCTTTGGATTGGATGTTAAGTGCGTTGGATTTTTGGATTTTGTTCTTTGGATTTTACGGATGTTCAGCTCTTTTGGTTATTAAATTTTTGGATCTTTTGGAATTGGAAAGTATTTTGTTTAGAAGCGATGTTATGGTTATTCTTTTTTGTTTAGTTGATTTTTTATTTTAATTAAATATGTTAGTTTTTTTATATATTGAGCCATTAAAATTTTTTTATCTAAATTTAGTTTTTAAGTTACAATAAATATTTATTTTAGGTTTGGGGAGGGATGTGTAATGCATCTCACTCATTCCTAAGAATTAAATTTTTATTACTTCTTGGCTCCTTATATTTATTTTGCTAAGTTTATTATGTTATTATTTTTATCCTTTTGTTTGCTGTTTATCTATTTTAATTGAATGTTTTTTGCTTTTTATATATTGAGCCAGAAAATTTTTATTTCCATTTTGTTAATTAAAGTTACAATAACTTTTCTTTTAGGTTTGGGGAGGGATGTGTAACGCATCTCACTCATTCCTAAGAATTTAAATTTTTTCCAATTTTTGGCTCCTTATATTTTTAAATTTTATTTTGTTTTAATTATTTTTTGTTAAATTATTTTATTTTACTGTTTGTTTAAAAAAGTTTTTTAATATAATAAAATTTTGAAAATTCATTGTATTAAATATTATTTTAAATAGTATTGATTTCTAATGATCTAAAACTTACTTTATATTAATTTATTTATTTATATAGAATTTTCTTCATACATTAAAATGTACAGTCAGATTTTTTTAACTTTAATCTCGATCAAAAATTTTTAATGAAAATTTTTTTAAAAATGTCCAGGTCTGAAATGTTTCTAAGACTCTGACTTTGTGGAAAAATTTTTTAGAGTATTTCTGTCAACGGATTCGGATTGAGCGCATGCGGTTCCACTACAAATGACATTTTTTAGCTAAGATTCGAAAAGTTTGTTTTCCCGGTTTTTTCCAAAGGGGTACCCCTTATCAAAAAAATCGAAAATGATAGATTTGACATAACTTTTTAATAAATTGCTATTTTTGTATGAGGTTTCTTTTAGAAATAAGATAAAAAAACTAGCAATTTTTTAATATCAATAATCTCTGAAAAGTTTCTTACATGGAGACGTAGGGTTCAATTTTTATAAAATTCAAAATTTTTCAGTTTTTTTCGAAAAATTTTGGAATTTTTAATGGTAGCTAAGTGAAAATATTTTTACTGTAAAAAGCCAATTTTTCTATATATTATAAAATTTCAAAATATTCAAAAAAGTTATAATTTGAAAAAGTTATGATTTTTTAAAAATTTTGAGTAATTTTTTGACCATGATTTTCGTCCAAAAAATAATTTTTTCGAAAATAAAGAAAAATGGGTCAATTGATATATCATTCGAAAGCTCTTATCAAGCTGAGTCTAAAATAATTTTTATAAAATTTTCTGATCAACTGTGCTCAAGCAAAAAAATAAAATTTTTCAAATTAAACAATATCCTCATAAAAGTCTGAGGCTGAATATTTCTCATACTCTAACGTTGTGAGAAAATTTTTTATCATTTTTCTGTGAACGGATTCGAATTCAGCGTATGCGGTTGCACTATAAATTATATTTTTTAGCTAAAATTATAATAAAATTTTTCCCCCGATTTTTTTCAAAAGGGTACCCCTTTTCAAAAATATTCGGAAATGTTTGAATTGCAATAACTTTTTAATACATTTATATTTTTGTATGTTGTTTCTTTTATAAATAAGAGCAAAAAATTACAAATTTTTTAAGCTAAAGAAACTTTGAAAATTTTCTTACCTAGAGGAGTGGGGGTCAATTTTTAAAAAATCCAAAATTTTTTGGTTTTTCGCAAATTTTTGGTTTTTTGTAATTGGAGCTGAGTGAAATTATTTTTCCTTTAAAGAGCTTATTTTTCTACATATAATGGAACTTTAAAATATTCAAAAAAGTTATACTTTGAAAAATTATGATTTTTTAAAAATTTCAGACAATTTTTCGACCATGATTTTCGGCCAAAAAATAATTTTTTCGAAAATATAGATAAATGGGTCAAATGATATATCATTCGAAAGCTCTTATCAAGCTGTCTAAAAATAATTTTTGTAAAATTTTCTGATCAACTGTCCTCAAGTAAAAAATTAATTTAATTTCAAAATAAACAATGATCCTCATAAAAGTATTAATAAAAATTGTTTACGTGTTTTCTCAAAATTTTTATATACCAACCCATATACCCACAACCAAAAACGCTAGAGACAGCAGTTTCTCCCATGCCCAGTGGCAACGCCCCAGACGCTAGTTTTTCATGTACATAAAAAAACAATTAAAAAATACTTATGAGTGATTTGAGGGGAATAAATCACTGCTTTTAAAAAATTGTTAATGCACAAAAAATGCATAGACGATAAGCACAAGCTCGGAACCGAAAAACCGAAGAGTTCGGGTCGAGTGGTAAGTGGCTCGCGACTAAGTGGGCCGTACCCAACTAAATACGTGGTTTCGCGATTAACTGTCGCGACTAAGTAGGGGTGGAGGACGATTTAGTATCGCCGATTCAGTATTTGGGGCATATTCTGGGCCATACTTTTTTGATTCTTAACCCATTTAAATAATTATTAATCAATCGAAAGCTCTAAAAGTAAGGATTATTTTACTTAGCAGGATTGATTTGATCAGATCATCCTACAAAAAGTTACAGCCGAATAGGAGAGGTCAATCGTGATTTTCAGTCTTTATTTGGCTTTAACTTTTTGTTGAATGTTCAGATCAGATCAGTTTATTATTAAAAAGATGCCGCAACTCGATACCTTTCGAATAACATGAGAATTACTCGAATCGGAGGAAAATAAAGAAAGTTATGGCCCAAAATATGCCACAAATACTCAATCGGCGATACTGAATCGTCCTTATCAGATTAGGCAGACAGAACCACGACTATATGGGACGTACCCGAATTTTCAGCTTGAAGCGTTTATGAAAAACTAACAATAAATTTACCCGTTGAATAAAGATTTTTGTAATTTTCAGATTTGAATATTTTGATTTTAAATTGTTAGAACTTGTTTTTTGGTAGTTTATTGATTTATGTACGAGGACCTATCCAAACTGATTGTTTCAAGACGTAATTCTGATGAATTTTCGCAACAGAGTGACAGCACTCCGTTAATGCAGGCTTGTAATTGTGGACATGCCGATGTTGTTAGAACTTTGATTCAAGCCGGAGCTGATGTTAATGCTTTAAGTTCAACACGAGATACTGCATTACTTTATGCTTGTGCTTCTGGACACCTTGAGGTTATTTTAATTAAAATATATAATCACTTTGTATCTCAAATAAAAATTCTTAATTTAGTGTATTAAAGATTTAGTCAACTCTGGGTGTTGTGATTTAACTTTACGAAACGAGGCAGGACATGATGCATTAATGGAAGCAGCAAACTTTGGAGATGTTGAAATAATGAAATTTTTGATTGAGCATGGTGCAAAGCCTTCATACACGATGGATGGCGCTGATTATAAGGTTGGTTATTAAATTATAAGGTTATTAAAAATTTCTGTTATCTTAATAGTGTTCCACTTTTTATTTCTATAATTAAAAAATTATTTTTAGGAGTCTGCACTAACACTAGCCGCATATAAAGGCCATTGTGAAGCTGTTGATTTTCTTCTTTCGTTGATGCCCAAGGAAAAAAATGCTCAGGATGAGGAAGAACTGCACACTGCTTTGATGGTAATTTACATTAACATTTGGGCTCTTGGCTAGTTTATAGTCAGAACTTTACCGATATATGTTTTGACGTTTTCATAACAAATTTAATTTTACCTACATTATGGGATGCGTTTTTTTTTCTCATTTTTCTTCTAGCTAGAAAAATGTAGAAGTGATTTTTTGATATTTTAGAATTTTGCCAGTAGATAATTAAGTGTTTTGTGGCTAATCTGACACGTCTCTTCGAGCTCAAATTCGGGTCTGGGGTTCGAAATAAATAATATTTGACCTCAAATTCGAACTCATGTCAACACACTTAATTACCCACTGGCACCCCTAAAAATGCCAAAAAAAGCGTTTCTTCTTCGTTTTTTCTAGGGAGATGAAAAAATGAATGCGTCACAAAAACCGAAATATTACCTAGCAGGGTTTAACAATTAAAAGATTGGTTATATAAACTAGACAATAGTTGACATTTTTTAAATTATATTTCTATTTCATTTCGTTTAAAGGAAGCAGCAATGGATGGACATGTGGGTGTAGCTAAATTATTGCTGGCTGTTGGCTCTAAAGTTAATTTGTCTACTGAATCCTTTGAAAATCCTTTAACATTGGCTTCTTGTGGTGGTCATCTTGAATATGTTTTTTTTAATTTAAGAAAAAATTTGACAAATTTAATTATTTATAGGTTACACTTCTTTGTGACGCTGGTGCCATTATAGAAGAGGCAAATGATGAAGGTTTTACTCCTTTGATGGAAGCAAGTCGCGAGGGTCATTACGATGTAGTTAAATATTTGTTGGATCGAGGTGCAAATGTTAATGCCAAAACCGGAGATGGGCTTGAGACTTCGCTTACTTTAGCTTCTTCGGGAGGATTCTTGTAAATCAAACTAATAATATAATAAAAAGTTTCTAATCTTTTAGAAATATTGTTGAATTACTTGTTAACAGTGGTGGCGATTTAACACTCGGAGACCGTACGCCTCTTTATGAAGCTTGTCAAGAATGTTTGTTTTTCTCATTTTAATATATATTTATTTATTGTAGGCCGCGTAGAAGTGTGCAAATTTATTATAAATTGTTTGCAAAAATCTCACCCGTTATCCGAGATTCAAAAAGACCTTAACGAAGCTTTATTTTGTGCTGTGAGTATTGGAAATGAAGAGTTGTGTGATCTATTAATCGAATCTGGAGCTCAAATTGTATAAAAAATTATTACTATAGTAGTACTAATATTGTATTTTTTGTTAAGGACTGTTTTTCCAAGGAAAATCGAACTCCTCTTATGGAAGCAAGTCGACAGAACTTTCTGAACATTGTTGAATTACTTATTAAGAAGGGATCTGATGTATGTTATTTTTGTTTTATTTATATTCACACTCACAATCAGTTTAATATTTATAGGTAAACAAGATAGCCCCCAGTATCAACAAGGATTTAGAACCAGCTACCAGATGTTCACTTAAATCAAATAAAAACTCTAAGAAATTAACACAAAAGGATTGTTGTCCTGCATTAAAATGCCCGTGTTGTATTCCTCCTTCGCTTCAAAAAAGTGCAAAAGAAGTATGTACTGCTGCTGGAATTACTACTGGGCCATATTCTACAGCAAATTCTCAAATAAACATGGGTACTTACATATATAACTTATTAAAATGACCTTTTTATACAGCCACGATGTCGTTTTCTTCTGTTTGTTCTCACTCAACTGTTAATCCCTCGAATGCGTCAACAGGAGGGAAACGACATGCAGCACCGAGTCGTAGCAGTTCGCCAAACACAAACAAATGCACGAAGTCAGCATCTAACAAAGGAAATCATGTATCTGCAGCACATAGGCATCAACGTTCATTAAGCACAAGCAGCAGTAGTGCTACACTTTCAGATCCTTCTGCATGGATGGAAAATGCAACGGCATGTGATACACAAAATAATGGTATGTTGGTTTATTTTTATGGGATTATTTCCAAATGTTCCTCCAATTTAGACACTGCTCTAACACTTGCTTGTGATGGAGGACATAAAGAACTTGTCTCACTGCTGATTAAACGTGGCGCACACTTAGAACATCGTGACAAAAAGGGATTCACTCCTTTGATTTTAGCAGCCGCTAGGGGACATGAAGAAGTTTGCAGACTTCTCATTGAGGGAGGTGCGCAAGCAGATGCTCAGGCAGACAGAACCAAAGACACAGCTCTCTCTATGTCTTGTAGTGGTGGAAAAAGCAACGTAGTTGCATTACTACTTAAGCATGGGGCAAACAAGGAACATAGAAATCTGAGCGATTATACACCTTTATCACTTGCTGCTTCTGGTGGATATGTGGATGTTATACAACTTTTGCTTACACATGGAGCAGAAATCAATTCGCGAACAAACTCAAAGTTAGGCATTTCTCCCCTGATGCTTAGTGCAATGAATGGACACGAAGAGGCGACTAGAGTTTTATTGGAAAATGGTTCAGATATTAATGCTCAAATTGAAACGAACAAAAATACTGCATTAACATTAGCCTGTTTTCAAGGACGTGTTGAAGTGACTCGATTGTTGATTAGTCATGGTGCCAATGTTGAACATCGAGCAAAAGTATGACATTTGTGCATTTTTTCATTATCGACGATATTTTGTATAAAAAATATTTCAATTTTAGACTGGTCTTACACCTCTCATGGAGGCTGCTAACGGTGGATATGTTGAAGTTGGACGGGTTCTACTTCAATCTAATGCTGATGTTAATACTTCTCCTGTACCCACTAGTCGAGATACGGCACTTACTATTGCTGCAGATAAGGGTCATCATGCGTTCGTAGCACTTCTACTAGACTATGGAGCACAAATTAATGCACGAAACAAGAAGGGCTGTACCGCATTGTGGTTAGCCTGCAGTGGAGGACATTTGGAAACGACGAAAGTGTTAGTAGATTATAAAGCTGACACGGAACTGCTAGATAATCGGAAATTGACTCCTCTAATGATTGCATTTCGGAAGGGGCATTTTAAAGTATGTTTAAAATATTGCAATGATAGGGATTTTTTGGGATATGACATAGTAGTCTAACTTTTAACTTTAGGTTGTTGAGTATCTGGTTGAACATGTGCTACAGTTTCCAAGTGATGGAGATTGTCAACGATTCATTCTATCACAAACTGATCAGGTGAATTTTTGCATACATTAATAGTTTTATACTTTTTTGTTTAGGATTTAATTAACAAATGCACAAAATGCTTGATATCTATCAAAGAAGCAAAGGCTAGGCAGGCAGAACAAGCGAACAAAGCAGCAGCCTCTTTGTTGGAGATGTTGGCAAAAGAGGTAAAAAATGATTTTATATTATTTTGAATATAATTATTTAGGAAGCTTTGGAAGAGTCAAAGAAGCGTACAAAACAACGTCAGAAGGAAAAGAAAAAGGCCAAAAAGCAAGCGAAAAAGGATGATGAAGATAATTGTATTAATGAAAATGAAGTGAACAATGAATTTGAAAAGCTATCAATAAAGCCTGAGGAATCAGTAGCCACAGAAAATTTATCAATTCGGCAACAGAAATCCATAAATCAAAAATCCAATAACTTAGCAAACAACTTTCAAGCTGGAAATTGTGAAGATCAAAAGATGTCGATTAAGCAGGGGAAAGAGAATCTTAAGAATTCTAATGGGGTAGCTACAACTAAAACTGTAAAACGAACAAGAGGAACGTCAAAAAAAGAGAATATTAACGAAGATGTCTCTATCTCAACTACTGCATCAAATCATTTTAGTTCTGCAGCTATTATTTCAAAGAACTCTGAAGAAGAAGTAGAATGGCATTCTGCAAACAAAAAGAAATCCATTGTAATTCAGAGTTTAACTTTTATAAAGTACCATTATTTAGGTTAACAAGCCTGCCGAACCAAAACCCAGTGCTTCTACTCATTCCAATAGTGTGGTGACAACGAAAACTGATGTTTCTGATAAAACTGATGCCACTTCTCGAGCTTCTCCAACAACTCATTCAATAACACAAATTCCTCCACTTTTTCCTGATGACGTTTTTTTAAATGAAAATCTAAGTGCAGTTGGAAGCCGTAGACCATCATTACAGGTGTTAAACATTGCATCAAGTTCAATTCCTCGTGTAATCGGTCGTGGCGGTTCAAATGTAAATACAATTCGTGAGGCTACGGGTGCCCATGTAGAAGTAGAGAAGCAGTGTCTGCGTAAGGAGCAAACAACGCGCAAGATCACAATTAAAGGCGCTCCAGAGGCTGTTAAGTAAAAAATTTTAATTTAAATGTTTTTTGATCAATTTAATTTTCAAGAAATGCTATTATGATGATCGATTTGTTGATGAAGGACCACAATATGCTGGTCACGGATATTGTTGATCGTGTTATTTCAAGTACGTCAACAAGCAAGTCACCTTCATTTTCCGCTTCTACGGAAACAAATACGACAAACACAGAAGTTTCTAAACATCATCCGATAACATTTAAAGAAGAAGTGCAGAAATCACCCAAGCAGGTACCAAGAATTATTGGTGCTACAACAACAGCAACAATTGCTATGAATAATTCACCAAGTTATACTAAAACTTTGAAGGCCACCATTCCGTTAAATGCATCAGTAGCGCAAAAAACTCCACCTACAAACATTTGGCAAAAAAGAGCTGAAGCCATTCGTGAAAAGAAAAGTTTGTACTTGAAAAAAAAAGTTTGTAAAAAAATTCGGAAATTTGTAGATCCACAGCTCAACCTTACTATTGGAGAGAAGCCTTTTATCAATTACTCACATGATGTCGCACATTCAACGTTCGGTTCGTCAAGTGTGATTTGCAATAACGAGCTAAAATCTACAGTTGGGAAACAACAGGGAGTTGAAACATCTGACGATACTGGTGAACTAGCTGCTCTTACAAAAGAGGAACACCAACGCAAAGTATGCCTTGAAATATGAAATTATTTTTCTAAATTTATCTCCTCTAGGCTCCTGGTTATGCTCGCCCACAATCTTCAATGATTTCAATGAATTATTTACATAACAATTACAATGAAAAGGTAATTCTTTAATTATTGTACGGAAACAAAATTTATTATTTGAAGTTGACAAATCCACCAGTGGCGCCGTCTCTGTTTGATACAATAGCTGCACGTTGGACTACAAACGCCCTCGACGTCGTGGAAGAATCTGATTCGGCTGTAACTGGAGCTATACAAAATAGTTGGAGTTATTTACTAGAGGAACGAAAAAATGCTTCACCACAACTTATTTCTAACATTGTTTGAATTATAGAATTTATACCAAGTAATTCCTTTTTGCATTTAGGCTGGTGTTAGTATCCCTCCCAATACATCTAACATAACATCTGAAAAATCAAATAGGACAGAGTCACTATGGAACGTCAATAATGGTGGAACACCAACTCATAAACAGCAATATTTGCCCGGTATACCGAATGCAAACTCTTTGGATAATGGTTCCACAAATTCTTCATCACTTTCCACCCAAGCAAAACCGTTTATGGTCAGTTTAAAAAACCTTTAAAAAATTCAGCAAAATACTTTATCAGGACCTACAGACACTTAATACTATTGACTCGAACAAGTCACAAGCTCTTTACACACAAACAATGTTATACCAAGAAAAGCTACAGGCGCACCAATTTCATCAACAACAGCGAATCCAACGACATAGCAATATGCAGCCTGCACAATTTGGAGCGCTACCTGCAACGGCTTTGATGCTTCCACAAAACAGACCATCTGATATCATTCATCAACCTACGATGAATCGATATCCATCGCCTTCTCTTCCATCACATCGTCAACCTCCACCTGGGTTTAGTAATGGTATTTCTACTCACGGAGGTACTTTTACCCGAATTTTTTTTATTTTTTTACAAATAGGCCCTACCTATCTTTATTGTCAACAATATAATCAACAACAAAACACCATGCTGACATCAAACACTTTCACACAACAAACTCCTTTTACTGCCTCGGTCAACCAACAGCAACAAAATTCACCTACGCCACTTTCCGGCAACTCTTTTTCCATGAACAATTTTGGTACTCGACACTTTCCGATGCCCTTCACTCCCTCAACCACTGCCGCGACTACTTCACCGAATGTTGTTATCGCCAATGATTCAATAAATGGCAACTACTCAAACCCCTCCCCAACCACACGACTTCCGCCTTCGCTTGATCTTCGTTTGAATCATTAATTGAATGCCACAAAATACTTTGATTTGTTTTATTTCATTTTATTATATTATATCTGCCTGAGAACCAGTTGCGATCATTATAACGTACTTAACCGTGCGTAATTTTAAACTGAATAAAATATACTCATTTGTTTGAATTATCTTTAATTTTGAAATATCTTAGAAAATACAATCAATCAAGTCATAAACAATTTATTCTTCGCAACAAAGTAACAGAAGTATAACATTTCGATAAGGGAAAGATCAACTTTATTTCTTCCCAGCTTGAACTTTAGTCTTCTTTGTCCCACGGACTTTCTTCTGTCGGTTCTTACGTTCCTTTCGCTGTTTTCGGCCACCTTTCTCCACTTTCTTACCAATTCCCTGCTAAAACGGAATAATTTTATAATAAAAAAACCAATTTTATATTTAAACATACTCGAAGTAGACGGAACTTAGGCTCAAAGCGCTTCGCATAGTCTACAGAATCTAAACGACAATTTTAACATGTGCTAGTAAAAATAGTAAATTTAGATAATGCAGTATCTCTAAAAGTACTGCAGTCCTAATTTTCTGCTTATTGTTTTGAATAATGTGAGCTCTAATCTGAGTCAGTTTGAGGATGTTTTGAATAAAAATAAGAAACGAACCATAAACATTAGCGAAACCAGTGCTACGTCCACCACCGAAATGGCAACGGAATCCATACGGAATCACAACATCCGAAGTCGTTTTGAAAATTTTTGCAATCCTCTCACGCAACTCAGACTTTGGCACCGACGCGCGATTTGGGTGAAGAATGTCAACAGACTGAAAATTTTAGGTAAATTGGAAAAGCATTTTTAAATAACCATTTGTCGACGATAAAGAAGTGGATTTGTAAGCACCTTCCTTGCTTTGATTGTAATAACACCTTCCACCATTTTTGTTTTTTAAATATCCTATTAACATGCAAATTAAAATAATTGGAGAATTAATTAGGTAATGAAAGCAGAATTAATGCTAAACAATAAAAAAAGATAAATAAAGCAAATATTTTTTAAACAATGAACGACGAAAATTTAAAAATAATTGAAAATGAATTCAAAAAAGAACAATTTGTTTGTTTAAAACTTCGATTGTTACGTTGTCATTGTTGGAAGAAACATAGGAGATGGTGTTTCATGTGGAATTGTTATAGCACCACTTGGTGCAAAATTACGTGCATAATTAGAATCCTCTTGTATAGGTTTGAATGCAAATTGCATAAAATACTTTAAAATATTTTTTTTCTTTATAATTTTAAAAAATAAAAACCTGTTTGCTTTCTTTGTTCCACAAGCACCAATATTTGTCTTCTGAGCGGTCAACTTCACGTGCCGGAATTTTAAAAGCAATCGTCTCGTAAGGCTCTGCCGCAAAAAGCAAATATTGCCAACGCTTATCTGGAGGTTGAATTTTTTGTTCGTACGAGGACATAAAACGGTGACGAGGTGTAATCGTTTCAGTAATCTCAGGATAATCAATTTGGAAAAGAAGAGCTTGTTGACCAGAAGCACTGTCTCTTTCTTTTGTTACCTTTTATTTATTAAAAATAATTATTTAAAAGAAAAATACAAAAGAATAAACCTTATATCCTGGTCGTCCAATTTTGACAAACTTTTTAGGTTCAACCTTTGGTTGAGATGGAAGAGGCAGATATGGAATATCGGTAGCTTCTTTTGCCGCTCTTCTAGCTAAATTTGCTTGATGCTTCTTCCCTTGCGTGTGTGCCAGATAAGATCCTTCATTGTTGTGAAGAGTAAGACACAACTTGCATTCAAATCCACCCATATGATTGCGCATAAAATAAGGGTCCTTCTGCAAATCTATTGTTTCAAGCGCAAGCTGCCGAAGACGTTCGCGACGGTCAACATTGGCATCTGTAGCAGAAGCTACTCCTCCTCCGCCAGTCTTTCCACCAGCCCGATTCTGAAAATCCATTCGTATGTTCAAATTTACTAAGATTTAGATCTAATTTCTAAAAAAGATAAAAGAAGTTTCGTCAAATTAATACATAATTAATGTTAGATAAAAAATTTAAAGAAAATGGGCAGGGGACGACTCAGTATCGCTGATTCAGTATACCGGTTTTTAGATCATAACTTTTTGTTCGGTCAATATTATAGAAATTTTTATTTATGATCCGATAGGTCTCGATGTGCTGCATCATTTTAAAAATCAGATCGGGCAAATTATGAAAAATATGTCGAATTTCGACCCTTTCGATTATATGTTCGAATCGGAATATCAAGAAAATCGTGGCCATATTCGGAGGTACCGAATCGTCCTTTACCGATTTATGTGCAGCGGGGACGACTGAGTCCCGCCGATTGAGTCCCGGAGCCATATTTTGGGTGATCATTTTCGCTAGTTAGATTGATGTGATTAGATTCTTCCTTTTTTATATTTTAGTGATTTTTTGGGTATTTTAGTGGTGGGGCCGGATCGGGCCGGATTTTTCCGGACTTCGGGTCCCAAATCCGGGTTTTTGCGATCATCGGATTAAAGCCGGGCCAGTTTAATCCGGAAAAATCCGGTTGGACCAAGTCCGGCATGAGTGTGAAATCCAAAATCCGGTTTCTGGACCTGGAAAAATGATTTCTCGTACACTAATGTATAAGAATTATTAAAGTCTAGGCTTTTGTGATTCATTTTATTACAATTTCTCTTTAGTCAATAATATTCTTTTCTTGGGAGATGTGTCATATTTTTGCTGTCATTCCTTTTCTGATTTTCAAGATTATTCATGATTAATTTCATTTTTGTGTAGCAATTTATTTTATATGAATTTTATTAGATTTAAGCTTTGAATTAAAAATATGGCTAGAACGATTCAACAAACATTAACTACAGGTGCTGCCGGGGGTTTAGATGAGCCTATCAAAAAACACAAACCTAAAGGTTAATCTAAATTAAATTTTTTCATTTTTAATTTGCTATTTTATTTTAAAGATACAAGATTAAGACAACAACGTCTTCCGGCTTGGCAGCCAATTTTAGATGCAAAAACAGTTATACCAGTTTTTATTACAATTAGCCTTCTTTTTATACCTGTTGGAATTGTTCTTATAATTACGAGCAATTCTGGTTTTTTTTAATTTTTCTTTAAATATAAATAAAAATTAATTTTAGTTAAAGAATGGGCTCAATATTATGACATTGCTTGTGAAAATCAATTAAAATTAGGATCGAATATTTGTATTTTTGATATATCCTTGGAGGAAGATTTTTTGGTTTTCTTTTCTTTGATAATTTAAAAAAAAGTTTTAAGGGAGATGTTTATTTTTATTATGAATTGGAGAATTATTATCAGAATCATAGACGGTATATGCGTAGTAGAAATGATCTTCAAATGCTTGGACGTTTAGATGTAAATTTGTTTTTAATTATTTTTGATGATTACTTTTATAAAAAAGGAAGTTTCTGATTGTTCTCCCTTTGACTACCTCGATGGCTTAAAAGTCGCACCATGCGGGGCTATAGCTAATTCAATGTTTAATGGTTTTTTTAATAAAATATTTCTTGTTTTTAAATTTAATTTTAGATACTTTTACTTTGAAAGAAAAATATACGGGAAGAACTATTGAATGGAGTTATGAAGAATTAATTTGGCCAGCTGATAGAACTAAATTTATTAATCCAAAATGTTCAAATGGTGATTGTCAAACAATTAATGATTTGTGTGGAGCTTTTCAGGTTTTTTTATTTTAAAAATAAAAAAATAATTTTGTTAGGGGTATTCAAAACCTCCCAATTGGATTAAACCTCCATGTCAATTAGACAGCCAAAATGTTCAAAATAGTGGATTTCAAAACGCTGATTTTATCATTTGGATGAGGACTGCTGCATTTCCTGATTTTAGAAAGTTTTTTTTGTTTTTTAAAAAATATTTTTAAATATTCTTTTTTAGACCTTACAGAAAATTGAAAGACCCTAATTATACACAGGGACTTTTACGTGGAAATTATACTTTAGAAATTGGATATAATTATAATGTTAGTGCCTTTTCTGGTCGAAAATCCTTTGTAATTAGTACAACAAGTTGGTTAGGTGGAAAAAATCCTTTTTTGGGTTTGTTGTTTTTAAATTATTATTTTTGTAGCGAGGAGATGGGTAATGACAGAAATTTTTTATTTAGGTTTTGCATATATTGCTGTCGGCATTCTTTGTGCCATTTTTGGTTTTGTATTTATTTTTATACATATAAAATATGGACATACGTAAATTTTTTTTTAAATTTAAAGAAAAAATATTTTTTAAAGTTTGAGAGAAATGGCTGTTGTTGAATTAAAAGAAGGAGAAGGTGCCCATTCACATTCCCAATGATAATTATTTAAAAATTTTGTATCAAAAATTAATTTTAATTCTGTGATCTGAATTTAGTTTATATATTAAAAATTATTGACACATTCTTTAATATAGTTTTTTATATTGTAAAGGGTTTAGGAAGCAATGTAAAATTGCATGAACAAAAAATTGTAAAGTGGCGACCTTCAAAAAATCCTTTTTAAATGAATGGAAATCTGGAGGAACTAAACAGCACTCCATCAATCTAAATTAGCCTTCGTTTACTTTAATCAAAATCTCACTAAAAATCAAAACCACACCTCTATCTAAGAGATGCTTTTGTAATTTAATTGAATGAGATAAGAGATGGAAGTATGGACAAGAGATGGAAGAATCTAAGAAAAACGATGTTTAAATACACCTAACAATAAGTATAGTCAACGATTTTTCAAGAACAAAGGATTTGTATGACTTATGACCTATCTGACCTAAAGCTCTGACCTATCTCTAAGAAATAAACATCAAATCAAACCAAAATTTATTTACAAAAAATCAATTTACATACATACAATTAAAAGCATACAATACAAACAAAAACAAGTTTATACAATCAAAAATGTGAACATTTTTACAACAATTAGTATCACAAAAATGAGTTTTTGGGGAGGAAAAAACACTAGAGGACGTCATTATTCTTATTGTAGCATCTCGACAATTTCCTTGAAGTGTGGCCTCTCAGATGGATTTCCATTCCAACAGCTGGTGATCAGTTCAGCAACCTTCTCAGGTGTACCCTCAGGGATCGGCATTCGGTAGCCATGAAGTAGAATGTGCGCTCTAGCCTGCATATTGCTCATGCCCGGATATGGCTCCTTCCCGTTGCTGTATATTTCCCAACAGAGGACCCCATATGACCATACGTCTGTGTGGGCGTTGTAGATGCCGAGCTCCAGCGTCTGTAAAAAGCGAAAAGAAATATTAGGGGAAGGAAACCTTGAGGCTATTTATTAGATCCCCCAGAACCCAGACCCATCTCATACCTCTTTAGCCAACCACTTGACTGGAACTTTCCCGAGGCTTTCCATCTGGGCCTGCTTCGTCTTGAGCGTGAGTCCAAAATCAGCTATCTTGAGTGTCGTCGATTCGGTCAGCAAACAGTTGCGCGCAGCGATGTCCCGATGTACGTACCCCATGGAGTTGATGTAGTCAAGGCCTTTGGCCGCCTCAAAACCCCAACGAAACTTCTCCTCGGGTGATGTCTGACGAGCACGAAGCTGATGAAGAAGGCTTCCACCTGTGCACAGTTCCATGACGATCATCATTGGGTGCTCATAGACAGCGACCCCAAACATCCGCACGACGTTCTCGTGACGAAGTTGTCGCATAAGACGAGCCTCTGAAAGGAAACTGCAAAAAAGAAAAAAATATTAATGGGGCAAAATACCCTCAGAGCCTATCTACCTCTTTTGATTGCTTACAGCTTCGCCATCCCGCAGTGTTTTGACTGCGACGTCAACCTTGGTGCCCTGTGTAGTCTTGAACTTGGCCTTGAAAACCTTAAAGAAAATGACCAAAATTTAAATAAAAGAAAAAAGGTGTGTACACACCTCTCCAAACTGTCCAGCGCCTATTTGTTCACCGAGCGTCACCGATTCGTGTGTCAAAACCCATTCCTCCCTCGCAATTGCTCTTTTTATGATGGCTCCAGATTGTTGAGTTATTGGCTTCTTTTTACGCTCATGCCATTTGACCAGGGCATCCACCTCCGGTTCGTGATGACCTTGTTCTTCGAAGAAGACGTCCTTTTCCTGCTCAAGCACAACGAAGTGACGGATTTGATCAGCCCATTTAACACTCAGAGCAAGTCGACTTTCCCCTGCGTTGGTCTTTCGAAGCAGATAGTCTCCATTCTTCACCAGAAGCTCGTTGACGTCAGCCCGCTGGATCATCCCTTAAAAAACGAGAGATTAAGCAAAGAAAGATTAAAACAGAATGAAAGAAAAAACTGACCGTGATAGAAATCCCGCCCACGGAGGCGCTGTGTTCGGGTTTTTGGCTGGCCACCAAGAGTAGAATCAGCTCCTGACATCTGCCGGTTGCGACTGCTGTAGTTGTAGACGACGGTCAATAAAGATGAGTAGAGATGAGTGGTGGTACTGACGAGGTGAAGCCGTTGCTTTTATAGCATATTTTGAGAGCTAAGAGAACGAGGAAGCCCGTAGGATCTTACTATAAAACATTCTATTCCCAATGATAATTGGGAATGAATTCACAATCACAATGATAATCATTTAAAAATTTTATATCAAAAATTAATTTTAATTCTGTGATCTGAATTTAGTTTAAAAATTATTTGATAATTTATTAATTTATATTAAAATGAGGGAAAGGAGAGAAAAGAGGGGGGGGTAAAGAACAATAAATATTCAAAAATTTATTCGTCACTGAAAAATTAATTTAAAAAAAATTTAAATATTTGTGGCACCCGCGCAATAAATCGATTTTTTCCGTTGGCGACAGATGGGCGGCATTTCTTATATGTAGTGATGATTGATGGACTTGAAGAATGGTGGGTGACAAAGATGATGACAAAAATTATTAGCACATTTTTGTTTTCCTTTGTTTCTTTTTTAATATTTTTAAAAATTAATTTTAAAATTAATTTTATTATCAATTTAAAAATATTTTTTGGAGGTTATAATTACAAAAAACAATTAATTAATATTGATTATCTATATTAAATTGTTATCAATTATTTAAAATGTATATATGTGTTATTTTTTAAATAATGAATATTTCTGTTAGGAAATATTGTTTTTGTAATTATAATGATGAATCACAAAAATGTAATTATGATGAGAAAACTTGTATTAAAGTAAGTTTAAAATTTAAATTGAAAGGGTGCGGGTTGAAAAATTTTTAAGTGGGAAAAGATTTTTTAAATTGTGTAGAAATTAACTTTTAAATTTTATTTAGGATGAATTTGCTGCTTGTTTTCGTGCTGTAAGACAGGTAAAATGTTAATTTTGTTCTGAATTAAAAGAGGAAAGCTTAATTGCAAGAAGGAAGCTTAATTGCAAGGAAAGCTTAATTGCAAAGAAGCTCTAAATTATATCCTTACCTTTCAGTATTAAAATTTGGAAAAATTAAAGGAAAAGGGCATCCACCCCTTTCCCTGCTAGCGACATAAAATTCTAAAATATTATTTTTTGAGGAGTTTAATGAGGAAACAAAAACTTTTGAATTAATACATTTATTTGGTTGTGCTCCTCTTGAAAAGGGTTCAAATGGTTCTCATTTAACGGTAAAACAAAAATAATTTTTTTAATTTTCTAAAAATAATATTTTTTAGTGTAATGCTTGGCGTTTTGCCCATTCCAGTCCAAAATCTATTTTTTGTTGTTATGAGGGTAATTATTGCAATAAACATTTGACTATACCTTCTTTTCCTTTAATTGAACGTTCTACTAAAAAAAGTTTTTTTCTTTAAATAAAAACTTTATTTTGTTTTTTAAGTTGAATTTCCTTCTTCTTATTCTTCAATTTATACTTTAGAATCTTTTATTTTTACATTTTTTGGATTTTTGATTGGTTTATGTTTAATTATTTTATTTGCAATACCTTTAATTCGAAAAAAAAGTTTTTTAAAGAAATATATATAATAATTATTTGAGAATTATATTTTTAGATAAATTAATTAAAAGAAATTTAAATAAAGGAGGAGGGAAAGAAGAAGAAAGAGAAATAATTAATTTAACAAAAAATAATTTAGAAAATTCCAAATCTTTTTTTGAAGATTCTGGGTCTGGAGCTGGGAGAATAATTTTAAATAAAAGGCGGATAGCATTAGATTTACAAATGAAAGAAATATTTTCTAAAGGAAGATATGGGGAAATTTGTAAAGCAATTTATAGAGGAAGTTATGTTGCTGTTAAAGTAAGGGGGAAAGGGGGGGGAAGAAGGGAGAAGAGAATTTAATTATTTAGATATTTAATACAACAGAAGAAGAATCTTGGAGAAATGAAAGGGATATTTACCTTAGCCAAATGTTTAATCACGAAAATATTTTACGTAAATTATTTTTTATTAAAAAAATATTTTGTTTTAATTAGAATATATAGCTGCGGATATTGTAAGTATTTTGTTTAATTTGAAGAGAAGGGGAAAAAAATATTATTTTTTAGTTAAGTAATGTTGATTCTTTAACACAAATGTAAGTTTAAAAATAAATTAAAAATATTTATTTAAAAAAAGGTTATTAATAACTGATTTTCATCCATTGGGTTCTCTTTATGATTATTTACGTTCAAATTATTCTTTAAATTTTGAAGAAGCTTTAAATCTTGTTTTAAGGTTTTTTTCTAAAATTAAAGTAAATATATTTATTTTCTTTAAAAAAGTACAATAAATGGATTAGAGCATTTACACAATCCGGTTAGAGGAACGGGGGAATGTCAAAAATTAGAGATTGCCCACAGGGATATTAAATCAAAAAATATTCTTGTCAAAAGGCCGGGTGTTTGTTGTATTGCTGATTTTGGATTGGCAATTGTTAAAAAAGAACAAAATAATTTTTTAAAAAATAATTTGGTAAATATACAAGTTGGAACTAAAGTAAAAGATTTATGAAAAAAATATATTTTTTTTTAATTAAAAAGAGATATATGGCACCAGAAATTTTAAATAAAACATTAAATCCAAATAATTTTGAAGAATTTAAATGTGCAGATATTTACTCTTTTTCTCTTGTTTTATGGGAAATAATTAATTGTATTCAATTACCAACAACAACAAATAACAATTATTCAAAACAACAATTAATTAAACAACAAAATAATTATTTAGTTAATTGTAAATATTTTTAGAAAATAATTTTTAATTTTTAATTAAAAACAAAAAAGGTCAATCAACAAATTATTCAAGTGGAATTGCAAGTGGAGGAGGAACTACAACAACAACAACATTACCTTTTATAAATAGTACAAATAATAATAATTTAATTCCTTCAACTAATTCAATTGTAAATTTTTTTTAAAAATATTTTGAAGAAAATTAATTAATTAAAAATGTATTTTTTGACTCAAATTTTTTCCTTCCTCAATATTTAGTACTAGATAATTACCCTGGGTAGGGGGGGGAGGGTAATTATTTAAGTATTGAGTAGTAATATGTATTATTCAATTCCTCTCATCGAGCTTATTGTTAATTGTCTAAAGATTTCTGAGAGGCGAAATTGTATTTAAAATTAAAAGAAAATTTTTATTTTTTAAATTAAAAAAAGGAAATAATCAACAATTCCTTTTCAAATATATCAACAATATCTACTTCTTTAAATGAAATAAATAATTTAAATAATTTAAAAGAACACCACCAACATAAACTTCCTTTTGAATTAATTGTTGAAACGGGTACTAAAAAATAAAAATAATTACCTAAATTTATTTAGATCCATCATTTGATCAAATGAGGGAAATTGTTTGTGATAAAGTTTTCTTTTAAATTTTAATTTTAAAAAATAAAAATATTTTTTTAAAGAAAATTCGTCCCCCAATTTTGAATGAATGGAAAAAAGAAGAAAATGTTTGTTGTATATTTAAATTAAATTTAAATAATTTTATATTTAGTTAATAATTGTTTGTAATTTAATGATTGAATGTTGGAGTAATTGGCCTACAAGTAGACACAAAGCTTTGAAAATCAAAAAAGAAATTACTAAAATTATTAAAAAATTTTAATAATTAATTTTAAAAAATAATAAAAGAATGACAATTAAAATATTTTTTTTCTTTTTAAATTTCTCTTTCCCTTTCCTTCCTTTTCTCTTTTTTTTCATTTTAAAAACGTCAAATGCTTTTTGAGTTGACTGACTCAGTTTGGGTCGATTGCTTTTAATGCTTATGTAAAGACCTACTCTATATATACTAGTTAGTATTTGGGAATGCTTGTGACACACGCAACGGAAAAAAATTTTTTTATTTCTCTGTCATATAACCTTTAATATATTTAAATGAACATTCCTTTCTTTTTTTTAAGTCTTGGCCATTTTCGTTTAATTTTGTCGACAATTACATATACCTATGTAGAATTTTCAAAAATATTTTTTGATTTAAATTAAGTTATTTAATTATTTTTAAGCTATATCTTCGTTTTGTCATTTTAATGCGAGAAACCATTTTTGGGGTTTTTTTGAATTTATAAAAATTTTATGGGTTTTCTTTCCGTTGTCTATTAGAGATGAGTGCGAAAATGTCAGATTTAGATGATTTCACATATTTGAAACCCCACAAAAAATAAAAATATACAATTTTCGTCAACTGTATAAGCTGTAGATTTTACATATAAGAAAATATAAATACTAGAGAGTACCGACAGCCGTATTTTATCAGTACGGAACAAAATTCCGGTCTCTAGTAAATACACATGAAAAATCCCTCGTGATAAATGGCTAAATCTAATATTTTGAATAGAAAATAAATATACTGAAAGAATTAGGTATGTTTGGGGTTTTCTTTTTTTATTTTAGAAAATCAAAAAATTCAACTATGTACTAAATATGTATATTGATGTTTTTTAAATTATAAAAATTTTATTTTCTTTTTTTTTTTCTAAATTCTTTTATTCTTCGATCTTTTTCTTGAACGTTTTCTTTCCTTCCATTTTTTTCGAAATATTTCTTTTCTTTTTTCTTTTTCAATTTTTTGATCACCTGATTGACCCATCCATTTAACGTTAAATATATAATCTATTTATTTCCGTGCTAGCAATTTAAAAGGAAAAGCTTTAGAAAAAGAAAAGAAAGAGGACAATTAATGTCAAAGAGCACAGCTGAGTGAGAGATGATCCATTCGGCCAGAACAGTCAGTCGATCGTTGATTTCCACATTTATCACTATTTTTTATTTGTCATTTATTTATTTTTTTCTTATTTTAATTAACAACTTTTATTTTGAATTTTCTTTTTTATTTTTGCGCAAATATTTTTTTTTATTTTCAAATAATTTTTAGTATTTTTGTTTCACTTAAATATACCCACATTTTCCCTCATCTAATACTAAATATCTTTTGCTGACTCAAGTTAAAGAGTAGAATGAGTCAAAGGCCAAAGGCGAATGTGAACTTCCTCCTCTCCTTCCCCTCCTTTCCTCCTCCTTCCCCTCAACCAACCAACCAAACATTCATTTTTTATTTTTTATTCTTTTCTCTTTCTCTCCTTTCACCAACACATTGATGAGATATTTTAAGTTAGTGGTTAGTTATTTTGTTGTTCTTGTTGTGTTAGTCTACGAACGGCTGACTGAAAATATATAAGAGGAAAAGAGCTGGAAACAGCAATTTTATAACACAAAAGTGACAAACAACTAATGATGCAAAAACGAGAAAAAAAATTTTTTGAAAGGGGGGGGGGGGGGGGGGAAGAAGTAAAAAGACAAATCATACACACAAATAAAATGCTGAACTCTGCAAAAAAATTCTTTTTTGTTGTAAGGACAATTGAAAAAAAAATTAAGAAATACAAAAAACAAAAAACAATTATTTTTTTCTTATATAAAACAGCTGATTTAAATTATTTTGTTGTCACAAATATATTTATTTTTAAATATTTTTAAATCTATTTTTTTCTTTTTAATTTTAAAAAAACATTCATTACTTGGCAACAGACAAAGCTTTAATATATAAATAAATATAATTAACTTAAAAAAATAATTATTATTTTTTTAGAAAAATAATTCTCTTTTTTTCTAATTAAATATTTAAAAATATATTGGGTTTTTGTATATATTTATTTGCGCAACATTATTAGAATATTTCTTTTTTAAATTAAATATTTTTATTTTTATATATTTTTGCGTCAAACAAAAATAATTTTAGGTTTAGCTTAGTAATTATTATTTAATGTTTTTTTAGTATTTTTAGAAATATTTTTAAAAATAATTATATTAATTATTGGGTAATTATTTTTTTTAAATTATTTTTAAGTAAAGATCTAAATTTAAAAAAAAAATAATATTTTTTTTTGTTTTTTGTAGTAATTGTTTGACATTTCCGGTTATTTCTTTTATTACTTTTAAACAATTGCGTGTATATATTTTAAATTATAATTTAATTATTGCGTAATATAATTACCATATTTCCTCTAAAATAATAACTTTCTTATTAGAAAATTAATGGGAAAGTTCAAAAATCGTTGTTATTTAAGAAACATCCGAATAGTGAGGAGTTGGATCATATCTACAGGATATACCTATGATAGAGGTGCCCGGCCTTAAAATGTCGAGACCAAGACTCATTCTCAAACCCTAGACCGAAAAAAACCCAAAGAAAAGTCGTGGATACGAGTCTTTCTTCCGAACCAAATTGTCAACTAACCTTAAATTTTTTTAATTTTCAAGGGATTGGAGTTTAATTTTTAATTTTCAAGGGATTGGAGTTATTTTCCGGACAATCTAAAAAAACAAAAAATAAATAAACTAATAAATTATGAGAATTACTATAATACCTTTTGATAAGTAAATTTAAGGCCGCAGTGACGAAATCAGGACATGTAATTATTTCGAATATTAGCGAGGCTGATATTCAAAATCTCAACTATAGCTTCATCCAAGATTGTTAATTAACTCTAAATGAGGATTCTTTTAATTAGTGGAGATTATTTTTTAATTTTGTAAAATAATTTTTTTTAATAAATAAATGACCGGTCATCATTATTTTTGGGGAGGAAATACGGTAATTAAAGGAAGTTGAGCTTTATTTAGTTAATTTTAAAGAGATTGGATGAGATAATGAAAAATATTTATTTTGGGTTATTAGGATTGAGAAAATTTTTTGAAAACCTTATCTGAAAATAAATATTGTCTTTTAATTATTTATTCAAAACAGTTCTAGACAAAATATTTAATTTTCAGAATTTAATTATTGTATGTAATATGACGTTAATTTACATATTTTTTATATTTAATTTAAATTTATTAAATAAATTCTCTCTTTTTTTCTTTCTTTAAACAAGCAAAACCCTTCAAAATCCCTTTTGACTTAAAGAAATATTTTTTGGATTACAGCAACTACGTAATTAATCCCCTAAATCCTCCCCAAGTGCTTCGACAACGGAAATTCTCTTTAACGAAAGCCTTTAAAAAATTTTAAATACTTTTGAGCTGATTTGAGAAAAAATTATTATTTTTTTGGTTAGAAATATTTCCGGGGAAAAAAAAATTAATGCGCAAACAAACAAAAAAATATTTAAAAGTCAAGCACGTTTAAATAAAAATTAATTAAAAATATATTTTAAATTAAAATTAATTAATTAAAAACTCTAATATTTATTTGCAAATACATAAAAATTATTTTTTTATTAAAGAAAAGCTTTTAAAATTACTTTTTTTTAATCCGATTTATATTTATTTAAATATTTTTTGTTGACATTCTTTTTAAATAAATAATTTTTTATTTATCCATTAGAGAGCTTCCGTTAATCTTTTCTGAATCCTTTCAATTTATTTAAATAAAATCTTTTAAAATATTTTCTTTTCATTTTAAATACATACATATATCTTCACATTTCTTTTAAAAATTCTTATTAAAATTTAAATAAAATTTTCTAAAAACAAAAATGTTAACTTCTCCATTATCTTTAATTCAACAATTAATAGTTAATAATGGAAATAAATTAATGTTCAACTTTTATAATCAAAAACAAATTATTGGTAAAAAATAAATAAATAAAAATTTTAAAAATATTTTTTCTAATTTTTCATCAATTAAAGCCAAAAACCACATCACAAGGTCGCCACAAAGATATATATATTTTTAGTTAAAAACCCTTAAAATTTATTTTGCGCGCCCATAACTTCTTCTTCTTCTATTAAATTTTGCACTTCCATCTTCTCCTCCTCCCCCCAATTTATTCAAAACTTAAACATAAAAAAAGTTGAAGAACGAACAGTTCTTTCTTTTTCCTTTCATGATGGGGTTAGATTAGAGTAGTTATAGTTAGTTAGGTAGTTCTTCAAAAAATTTATTTATCGTCGTTCACCTAATCAACCAATCTTTCCTTCTTTCTCTCCTTTTTTTGAAATTTTTATTTAAAATTTATTTCGTTCATTTTCTAAATAGTTTGTTCTTCTTTCCCGAATTGTTTCTCTTTTTTTTTGCTTATTTTTCACACAAAAATATATACTTACTATAAATCAGTTTATTTTAATTAATTAAATATTTTCTTTTTTAAATTAATTTTATGTTTAAAAAATGAAAAAAATTAAATTTAAAAAATATATATGTATATACAGCAAGGTGTGCCGAAACATTTTAAAAAAGCGAAAAATGAAAGGCTAAAATGCGAAAATCAATTTAAAATCGAAAGGCGAAATTTGGATTTTTAAAATTTCCATTAAGGATTATTAAAATAGTATTCGGGTCGTTTAATCGTTTCCTATTCTACTTTCTGTCGACCGGAAGTGCATTCTCTCCTATTCAATTCCCCTTTAGACATTTCTTTTTTTTTCAAAAATACAGGAAAAGTGGTTTTGCTTGTTTTAAATTTTATTTATTTTAAAATAAAATCTTATTTCACAACAAAAGTGAGAAAATCGAATAGAACATTTATTTTAATCCTTGAAAGTTCAGATTGAATGGGGAGGGGTAGGGGGGGGGGAGGGAGGGAGGGAGGGAGGGAGGTATTTAGGGAGAGAGAGAAAATTTCAAATCAGAATTTTTCTACATAATCTACTCTAAATTTTCTTTTTTAAAATTTATTTTTTAAAGACCTTCCACCCCATTCTGTTGCTAATACTGCAGCCGTACCAGCTTTTGGGCCTTTTGAAGGCGGCCAATTTTCAAGTGCCGCCAAATCCAATTTTCTTCCAAACTTTACAACAGAAACAATTGGAAATTTTCAAGTTTTGAGCGAAAAATTAGTCGAAAAAAAGGAAGAAAATAATTTGGAAGGGAAAAAAAGAACACAAGAAGAAGAGGAGTTTTTGGCATTTTTAGAAAGTTGTTATTACAATAAACAATTAAATATTGAGGAGGAAAAAGTTGGGAAAGAAACACAACAACAAAAACAATCTTTACCCATTTCTTTATTTGAACAAGAAAAAGAAAATACTGTACAAAAACAAAATTTAGATTCACTAAAAACAACAACGGAAGAAAAACAAAAATTTATTGTTAGTTTTAATAATTACAGTAATAATTAAAGTTAAATAAATTTTTATTTTAAGTCACTAACCGCGCATTCAAAAAGCAACGGTAATAACAACAACAACAAAAATAGTAATCCTTTACCTTTGCATTTTAACTGCGTGGAAGTGAAACAAAATAAATTTCTTAGTGCAATTGAATTAAATACAAAAAGTTCGAATAACGAAAGTGGGGACAACACCGCCGTTGGTGGCAGTTCCCCGGAAGAGAAGGGAAAGGAGGAGGAAGATATTTTTGATAGACAACAGATTTCCCCTTCTGCTATTGCAGTTGAAGTTAAATTAAAAATAAATGTTTCAGTTAAAAAATATTTTTTCCCCCACAGGTTCAACGGGTCAGTATTGATGATAAAAAAGAAGAAAAACAAAAAACTTTTAAAATTATTTCTAATGAAAATAAACAAAAATTGGAAATGGAAAAAGAAGAAGAAAAACAACAACAACAACAAAAGTGCAATCCAATTGAAACTCAGGGAATTGGTCGATTTGAGGGAAGAACGGGTATTAGAACATTACGGAAATATCCAGGTATTTCTAAATTTAAATTTATTCTAAATTTTTATTTTATTTAGCTGTTGAAGAAGAAGAACATTCAGTACTTTCTTTATTTGAACAACAACAACAATCTTCTTCTTCTTCTGAACATTCTAAATTCCAATCACAACAACCCCAATTTACTCATCAACAAACATCTTCAGCTATTTCCCCACCATTATCTAAATTTATACCGTCAGAAGGCCATACTTCTTTTGTTCCTTCGGTTAAAAATAAATATATTTATTTGTTAAATTTTATATTGTAAAGCATATACATATGTAGCTATTTACCGTAAAACTTTGAATAATTACCCTGGGTAATTATTGTTTCGCCCTTCCGCTGGAAGGAGTAATTAATTGAGGGAGGGTAATTATTTGAGGTTTGAAATTTGAACGTGTTTTAGGGGATTTGATGGGGGGGGTGTGATTAATAGAAGTGGGGGTAATTATTTGAGGGAGGGTAATTAATACAGGTTATACGGTAATTCCCAAATCTATGCAGGAGGTGGCGTGGATTAACGCAGCAGTCCGGCTCTCAGTGCCGATTAATCTTTTGCACTGGCTGAAGGAGAAATAGCTATAGCCCATTTCTGCTTTACTGTATTTAAATTTAAACTACTTGAAAGTCTATCATCTACTAATTCTCCCCCTACTTTTTTAGCCAACAGCTGCTGCCCTTCAGTTAGCATTACTTCACCATCATCATAATCAACAACAACAACACCACCACCAAATACCTTCCCCTTTAGCTATTTCTATCCCCGGAATTACAGAAACACAACCAACAACAAATACAAGGACAATAATTAAACAAGAATGTGAAGAACAAAGTATGTAAATATAGAGAATTTTATTTAATTTTTAAATTTTTAAAGTAAATAGAGAAGAATTATTTTCAACATTACTTCAACAACAACAATTAAATCAAGAACAAATTTCAGCAGCTAGTTGTTCTCCTTCTTGGATTAATACAAATTTATCTGTAAATACTTCACAACAACAACAACAAGCTGTGAATGTTTTGGCTAATTTAATTGGACATGTAAATAATTATTTTTTTTTTCAAATTTATTTTATTAAGATCCAACAACAAAAACAAAATTTACTAGACCAACAACAACCTTTATTTATTGAAAGTCAACAACAACACCAATTAAATACTTCCTCCTCCTCCACCTCCTCTTCAATTTCTGCCCCAACTTCTCGTTTAGCTGCCATTCAAGAAGAACAAATTAATTCACAATTACAACAACAACAATCAATTGTAGATAATATTGGGGATATTAATAATATTTTTGAGAGAAATGTAAGTTAATAAAAACAAAAATATTCACTCAAAATTCTGTTTGTGTTAAAAAATTTATTTTTTGGATTTAAAATGACAGCTTTATTCAAAATAAGGCTTTGATTTGTCTTCTTTTTTAGCAATCAACAGAGTCTACAGCAAGTACTAGTGGAGTAAAACTTTCAATAACAACCAATGTTGAACCAATTCCTCGAAAACAAGATATTCAAGTATTTTAATTAAAAAAATAAATTTATTTTCAATTAATTTTTGTAGACAGATATTCGGATGAATCGTGGTCGATTTAAATTAGTTAGAAAGCGGGGACGTTCTGAAGTTTGGAATTTATTTGGACAAGTTGTGGATACATTAACAAATGCTAGATTACCTTATGTTGCTTGTTATGCTTGTAAAGTACTTTATACAGACACGGGGGGCGGTACTGGGAATATGACAAGACACAGATGTTCGATGGGTTCTAGCTATAGAAATTCTGTTAGACGGTATACCTAACTAAAGTTGTCTTTTAAAAATGTTTCCTTTTAAAGTTCTTCTTCTGATACGACTGTTGGGAATGATTCTCTTTCCTTTAATCAATCTTCTTCTTCATTTGAATCTGTTGGGGGTAATAAGAATATTTAAATTTTAATCACAATTTTTATTACAAAAATAGTTGGCGGCGGCCCTTTTCGTCATCAAAGCGGAGAAAGTACAACTTGTATCCAACCTCCCCCAACATCCCCTCAACAAGAATTATTAACAACACAACAAGAACAAAATTTACGTATTTTAGCTCAACAACATCAAAGAAAAGTAGCTGCAGCAGCGGCGGCGGCAGCTTTGATATTAGAGCAACAACAACAACAGCAAAGAGTTTTAATCCCTCAATCAGGAAATTTTGGAAATTTTTCTGCTTCACATTCTGGCAGTAGTGGATGTAGTAATAATAGTAGTGGATTCCAATCATTGGGAAGTTTTTGTTCTTCTTCATCTACAACTACTTCAATAGAACAACAACAACATTTAACTGGACTAAATTTATCTTCATTACCTTCTGTCCCTGCTCCAACAATGCTTAATAAATTATTTGGTGGAGGAAATAATTCTTCTTCGTCTTCTTCAACAACTTCTGCTTCTTTAATTAGTCCAATTACAGCAGCTGCTGTTTGTATGTTTCAACAACAACAGCAACAACCATTAATTCAACCAATGCCTGTAGAAATTCCTCGACAATTAGAGGTGTTCTTTTTTAAAATAATTTACTTCTATTACATTTTTTGAGAGTACAACTGTTAATATTTATATAATCTACATACATATGTTAGAATCTTTGATTTTTTTGATTTTAAAAAGGGATTTAATAATAATAAAAATTTAATAATTTTAAGGAAAAACAACATCAACAAACACATTTTGGTCTACTCTCTACAATATCACCAGAATATGATTCAGCTGCTTCTGCCCCAAGTGTTGGGCAAGGAGAGATTATTAATTACTGCGGGTCAACATCTTCATTAACTGGACAGGAAGATCAATTATCAAATAAAAAAGAAGAATTACTAACTTCTTCCTTTTCTGGCCATCATTTTACTTCAACAGACCGCCAATTATTTTCCCAAGCAGTGATGAATTTTTGTTCTCAAGATTTGTTAAAATGGGAAATTGTTGAAGGGGAAGGGTTTCAAAATTTGGTTGAAACTTTAATTTTTATTGGACGTCGATCGTCTACGGGTATTTCTTCTTCTTCAACAACAATTAAACAACAATTTGATCCAATAAAAAGGCAATTAATTCAAACAGGAAATCAAATGAAAAAAGTTTTTTTAAAGGAAATGTTCTCTTTTTAAATAAGAAATCTTTTTAAAGATATTTTTATCCCAAGAAAAGGCTATTTTTCAATCAACCAAAAATGACCTTGAACAAATTAAAAATGTTGGAATTTCATTAAATTGTCATCAAATAGAATTTGGAGGGGAAATACAATTAGTTATTTCAATTAATTATATAACTGATGATTGGAGAATTACTCAGAGAATTCTTAAGTAATTAATAAATTTATAGGGGGGGGGGGGTAAATTAATAAATTATAACCCCGCCTAGTTTTTTCTGTGTTTCTAAGATCCTATTGTCCAGTTAATCTGAAATTTCTAAAGAAAATTTATAAACACTGCCACAAAATCCTTTAAGAAATATTTTACTTAATCGGTTTTTATCGAGTCTTTTTTTCTCAAAAATTATTAAGAATTTATAACTCCCCTTTAAAGAAATTGATTTTTACAGAAATTTTTGTCCGAAACTTTTTTTAACATAAGTTCCCACAATTTAACATAATCTTTGTAATCTCGCCAGTAACCATGAACAATGGGCAACTTTCAGGACAATCAGACCAACTCTTCTAGAGCCCTATTTTCTTTGCACGAGGCGCAAAAAATATTAATATAAATATATTGATAATTAAAAAAATATTAAATTTAGAGTTCAAAGTTTAAAAGAATTAAAAATTAATTATTGTAACAATCACCAACACCAACAAACAACATCAACAATAACATTTCAAATATTTAGTCAATTTATTTTGGATATTTTAAAAGAATTTAAATTAGATAAAAGTCCTTTAATAACAATTACAATTGAAGAAAATATTAAAATATTTGAAGAGGAGGAAGAGGAAGAGAAAGAAATAATTAAAACAAAATTATTAAATAATTTTTCTTCAAAAAATATAACTCTTCCAAATTTATTTTTTAATTTAAAAGAAGAATTAAATAATATTTTAATTAAATGTTTAAATAATCAACAATTAATTATTAAATTAATTAATTTATTTATTCGAATAATTGAAGTTTTGGCTAAATCAGATTTTGGGTGTGGACAGTTTTTGGAATTAGAAAATTTGGAAAAACAAATAAAGCAACAAACAACTAAAACAAAATTTGATTTTACAAATATTGTAAATTAATTAATTAGTTGAGGAGGAGGAGGGGGGGTAGTTGGATTTAAGTTTTGAATACCCTCTCTCTCTCTCTTTGAGGGGGGAGGGGGGAATAAATTGTTAAGAGGAGTATCTATCCTTAATTTAGACTAATTTAGCTAATAACTAATTTTTGTCTATTAAATATTCATAAATATATTTATTTTTTTAGATTTACCCTTCAATAAAATTTATTCGAGAGCATTGTTCTGATATTTTAACATTTTTGGAGGAAGAAAAAATTGAAAATGAAGAGGAAGGAGGAGGAGAAAAAGAGGAAAATATAAATTTATTTAAAGAATTGAGTGAAATTAATTGGCAAATAATTTATGAATTGGAAACTTTTTTGGAACCTTTTTATGAAACTTCTCAAATATTTTTAGATTTAAATAAACCACATTTCCATAAGGTATTTAATTAAATAAAAACAAAATTTTAAATTAAAAAAAAGATTTTGCCTGAATTGTTTGCTTTAATACATGAATGTCAACAATTAACAATTAAAGAAGAAGAAAAAGAAGAAGGAATATTTTGTTTATCTTCTGTTCGCCTTTCTGCTACTTTATATTTAAAAGAATGGGCAAATAAAAATATTTGTTTGGAACATCGAGTTGCGGTGAAAAATTTAAAGAAAATTTAAATAAAAATAAAATTCTTTTAGACAGCATTAAATCCTCGTCTTCGTCATTTACCCTTAATTTGTTCAGATTCTGAGCGTTTGTCTGTTTATGAAAAAATTCGAGAAATGGCTAATTTAGACAAAAAACCGAAAGAATCTATAAAAAGTTTTTTTAATAAAAATATAATAAAATTATTTATTTTATTTAAAGAAGAAGAAGAACACCACCATCAACAACCTTTTTGTAAAAGACGGCGATTTTTGGATCAGTTAGAGGGTTGTTCTTTACAAGAAGTGAAAGAAGAAGATGAATTAGATTGTTATTTAAAAGCAACATTTACATCTTCACAAACTAGGTAATTGAAGGAATATTGATAGTCCTGCTGATATCCCTTCAAATCCCTTCAAATCCCTCCATTAGAAATCAATTTCAACATATACAAGGGAGTACCTAACTGTTCATGCTAGGGTTCAACCACCGTCCCCGATGGTTCACCGGGGACGGTGGGAGGCTCTCCTCCCAGAGCTACCATCCCCGTCACTGTGGCAAAAACCACCGCAACCACTGTCCCCGTGAAAGCTGCCACATGACCGTAAATTTGGAACCCTAGTTGAAATTTAATTAAACAACACTCTTAATTTAAATTCAAAATTTTAATTAATTAATTAAGTGATATTCTTGAATTTTGGTCTTCAATTGGAGAAGAACAATTCCCTCGTTTAGCAAAACTTGCTCGGTTTCTTTTGGGTATTTCTGTTGCTCCTTTACCTTTAATAAATAAAAAAGGAGGAATAAATAGTGGATTAAATTCTGAAGAAATTGGAATTTTATTAAATTTAAGGTAAGAAATTTTTGGAGAAAATTAAATTAATTTATTTTTCAAATTTTAGACCAAATATTTTAAATTCTGTAAATCACCAATTGTTGTCTCGTTATAAACAACAACAACAACAATAATTCTTTTTGAGTTAGTTACTCAAGTTAAAACGTTCAGCAACGAGTCCTTTTTCCTTTTTTTGGCCGTTTGCTGTTCATAATTTGTATATCCCTATAATGGGATGAAATTCTCTTTTTTTCTTTTTTAAATCTCCAAATTTATTTATTTTAAAAAAGTTTTTCTTGCAATTCTTTTGTTCATTTTCTTCTTCCTTTTTTTCTTAAATAAATACTTAAAAAGTGCATATATTTTTCTTTTTTTCCTTCCAAATTCGCGCATATACTTTATTTTAAATAAACTGTAATAAATTAATTGTTGCAATGAAAACCAAAAAAATATTTTTAGAAAAGGCATTTTTCTTTTTTTTTAATTATTAAATAAATACATTTAATTAATAAGTTGTGATTTTTTTAATTATTTTTTTGTAAATGTATTTATTTATTTTATTTTTTTTCTTTTTTTAATTCCAGGTAACCACAAAATCCCATAGAACAATTACTATACTATATATATTTTTTGTATTTGTATTATTTAGTATATATTTTAAAATTCTCTCTCAATTACCGCATTATTCTAAAATAAATTTATTTATTTATAATTTAATGGAAAAAAATATAAGGTAATTTATCTTAAGGAAAACTCTGAGACTAAAAATAGGGAGGGGGACTGGATATCCATAAAGTACCTAAATTATAAATAAATAAATTTAAAAATAATTATTTATGTTGTGATTTTTAAATGTTTTTTTCTCTCCTTTTTTTCTCTTTTTTTATTCTTTCCCTATTCTCAAACTTTTTGTCGATAGTTTTTTAGAGACCGGCTTGATGTTGATTTTTTAACCGAAAAAACCAACAAATTGAAAATTAAAACAAAAATTTTAAAAAACTTTAACCCTTTCTTGTGTTTCGGTTAATCGAACAGAGTGGCACCTTTCATCGAATAATATATACAGTTTTTGAATTTTTGATTTTTTAGTATTTTTTTCATTATTTTGAATATACCTAATAAACTTCAGATTTAAAATTTCGATTTTTTTATATTTAACCGATAAATACAGACCTATGCTTCCGGCCAGTCTCTAATTTTTTCAAAAATAAGCACAATTTCAAATAAAAATAAAAAGAAATATTTTTAAAGTAAATTGAAAATATTTTGTTTTTAATTGTATGTGTTTGTGTTTGTATTATTTTAAATAAAGAGAATTTGTGTAAATAATAATTAATTAATTATCCTTTTTTAGATTTTGAATAAATATTTAAAAATATTTTTTTATTTTAATTTTTTGAATTTTTATATAAACAAAGAAAATATTTAATACTTAATTTAGCTATAAAATTAATGTAACAGACTAGAAAGGACAAATAAAAAATTTTTGGGTATTGTGACTTATACTAGGTTTTTTGTTTTTGGACCGATTAGGTCAAGTGAGGTGTCATTCGAAAGAGCTTCGAAAACTGAATCGAACTAGGTGTGGGAGAAGTTGGTACGACAATCAGGGGCCGAGTTACAGACCCCTGAAGTTTGAAAAAGAGAAGGGGGGAGTAAGCTCATTTTGGGGTGAAAAATTCGAAAATGCAAATAATAGCTCATTCGACTCCTCTCGACGAGCTGAGTCGAATGACACCAAAATCACCGAAATCCGACTTGATTGGAAAAAGATATGATCGTTTGTTTTAGCTCCTTACCTATGGTCTATGAGGAGGTTTCTGCTGCTACGGAGGCCCCAAGTACGTCCAGAACAAGAGCGATAGGAATAGGCTTATGTTACTGACCCAGACCCAGTGACCGTTGACTCCCCGCGAGGCGCGTGCCGCGAAACCCCGCGCGAAGCGCGGGGTTTCGCACAAGCGCCTCGCCGACGCTCCATAGGTTTATATTGACCATTTTGAACCTGTTTATCTTGGCTCAGAATCAAGATATCGAGCTGATTTTGGTGTCATTCGACTCAGCTCGATGAGCTGAGTCGAATGAGCTATTATTTGCATTTTCGAATTTTTCACCCCAAAATGAGCTTAAAAAAAATGAGCCCCCCTTCTCTTTTTCAAACTTCAGGGTCCGTAGAATAAGAGCTCGGTTGCTGGTTAGGTAACCACCAACCGTCGGTTTTAACCGGTAGAATAAGACGGTCGTAAGGTTAACCATGACCTTGTGGTTAGGTGACCTGGTTACCTAACCAGCAACCGGCGGTTAAAATCAACCGGTAGCATAAGAACGTTGTTGCTGGTTAGGTAACCATAACCACGTCGTCAAAAAAGCTACCATGGTCGATAGCAAGGTTGAAAAAAGTAACCATGGGCTTTTTAATTTTATAAAAAATTTCAAAATTAAAATAAAATTCTGAAATAAAATTTTTCTAATATTTCAAACAATTCTCTATCAAAAAATATAAATTTCGTGAATTTTGATCGTGAAAAAGATTTTCTATGAAATTTTTAAAAAGACACCCTAAAATCGAGCAATTTCCTTGGGTAAAAATTTGCGTTATTACGGAAATTTTTTATAAAAAATTATAGAATCATGATAAAATTAATAAATAAAAATTTTATGATATTTTAAACAATTCTCTATAAATCTTATAAATTTTGAAAATTTTCACCATGTAAAAAATTTTCTAGATATTTTTTAAAAAGTCACCACAAAATCAAGCAAATTTATGCGGTAAAAAATTTTTGTAGTGACAAAAATTTTTTATAAAAAGTTATAAATTCAGGATAAACATAGGTAATAAAAAAATTTTCGGATACTTTAAAAAATTCTCTGTCAAACTATATGATTTTTATAGATTTTTACCGACATTAAGATTTTTTATAAATTTTTGCATACACCAACCTAAGGACAAGGAATTTTCTAGAGTAAAAATTTTTTGTAAAAATTTTTTAAAATAATTCACTTAATTCCTTATTAACCTAAATAAATTTCACAATTCTTTTCCTTAAAAATTTTTTAAGCATTCTTATAAATCTAGATTAAAAAAATTTCTAATGTGAAATTTAGTGTTTAGGTTTTTTAAAATACATATTGAGACAAAAATTCTAAATTAGATATTTTTGATAGAATATGTAGAATGTGTTTTACATTTTGATAAAATATCCCAAAATTATCTTAGGAAATAAATATTTTATACACTTAAGTCATTTTATCTGCATGCAAGGGATTAGGATTATTTAAAAATCTATAATTTTATGGAAAATTTCGATATAATTTTAATTTTATGAAACAATATAAAGAAGAAATTCCTCTTATTTTGATATGAAAAATAATTTTTCATCTCGACTATAAGTAAAGTTATATAGACTTTTAAATAGCCTAATCTGTTGCACGTACATAGAACGACTATTCTCTCGGAATATTTTCGTTAATTTATTCAAAAACTAAGTAAGATTTGGAGGGATTAAGTGAGATTTTTAGGAATAAATGGTATATCTAGGGATGCAAGGTGATCTGGAGTGATTTTTGTTGGTGTCAATGGATATCAGTGATTTAGAAGGATATTGAAGTATTGCGGATCAGGGTATCTGGCGGATATCAGGGGAAATCTAGGTGATTGAACGGATTAAGGATTGAATGATTAAGGGGATTATGGAGAAGCTTAATCTCTATATTATCCAAAATTTGAAAATTTTAATTTAACTTCATTAACATACCAAAATTTCGAGGACGCCTAGTGCTAAAATTAAAATATGTTAAATTGTATAAAATATTTACTATATTTCAGAAGATAATTTGTGGATATTTTATCAAACTGTAAAACACATCCTATTATATCAAAAAATATCTAATTTATAATTTTCAGATAGTTTGGATACTTTAAAGAGTAAAAAATTGTTTCATCCAAAAATAATTTTATTTTCTGTAAACTAGAGTGGGACAAAACCGTTTAATTTTGAAAAAACACCGTTTATCTTATACCGTTTACCGTTTAGCTAAACGGTTTTGTCCCACCCTACTGTAAACTTTCTAAAAATTTAATAATTTTTTCGCGGAAAAACCATATAAAATTTATAAGACATTTTAAAAAAATGATTAGAATATCCAATAAATTTTATTTCTTTCATTTCTATTTAAAATTTATAAAAAAAATTTCGACGTCAAAAATTTCTCTAAAAATAGCTAATTTACAGTTAGACATTTTAAAAAATTCACAGAATTTTTTCAGTCGAAATCTATAAAAATTTTTAAATTTTGCTAGAAATTTGTTCAAAATATTGGAAAAATTTTATTTCAGAATTTTATTTTAATTTTAGAATTTTTTAAGAAATTTTAAAATTCAATTTTTAACCTTCTCATAAGGGAAACAAAAGTAAAAAAAGGAAAACACAAGTAATGGAAAAAGGGAGAAAATATTTCGGGATATATTTTAAATTAATTAAAATAGTCAGAATTATTTTAATTTATTTCTCCCCTAAATATTTTAATGTTAAATATAAAAAATAAAAACATTAATTAAATAAAAATTTAATTTTTATAACGGTAGAATAAGAAGCTGGTTGCTGGTTAGGTGACCTTACGACGGTGGTTAACCACGTGGTTTTCTTATTCTACCGGTTTACAATGACCTTGTGGTTACCTAACCATGGTTAGGTGACGATGGTTAGGTAACCATCGTCACCTAACCACCTTCTTATTCTACGGGCCCAGGGGTCTGTAACTCGGCCCCTGATTGTCGTACCTTCTCCCACCCCTAGTTCGATTCAGTTTTCGAAGCTCTTTCGAATGACACCTCACTTGCCCTAATCGGTCCAAAAACAAAAAACCTAGTATAAGTCACAATACCCAAAAATTTTTTAATTATTAAAATATTGAAGACTTAAATAAATAAAAGTTTGTTTTTTATAAAATTTATTTTTTATTTACACGTCCGTCCATCTTCCACTTTGTAAAAAACATTCTTTTGTTATTACTAAATAAATACTTTATATACTATAATATATTTAGTTCAACATTAAAGAGAATATCATCGATTATTTTTAAAATTCTTCGTTTTGTGAAGAGTATTACCAGCCGCATTTTAAAAAAGAGGAAGAAGATAGAGAAGTGTGTCTTCTTTTACTACTAAATATTTTATTTTGATATTATTTAATATCTTTTTCTTTTTTGCTAAATTACTAATCAATTATTGCAAATTTAAGTAAACTTTTGCTCCTTACTGTAAATATAAATTATTTAGTACTACTACAATATATTTCGATCAATTCGAGATCGGGAAGTTCAATGTCGAGATTCAACCCTACAATATATTATAGGCGAAGCTAGACATCCGGCAATTTTTAAAAATAATAAAGCAAATTCATAATTATCTAAAAATGTTTCCCGTTTAATTTGAATTTTTTTAATTTTAGAAAGTCTACTAATTAACTTTCTTTTAAATTGATTTAAAAAAATTTTATTATTATTTTATTTGTTTATAAATACATACTATTAATTTTAAACATTTTCACATTTTTGTTTAAAATTGATTGATTACCTTGCGCAGCACGTCAATTTTTATACTGTTTTATTTACCATATATTTTCTTTAAATTTATTTTTCAGAATGAATATTTAATTTAAATATTTTCTAACAAATATTTTTAAAAATTTTTATTTTTTTATTTTGAAATAATGAAGAATAATGAAGAAAAGGAATTACAGGTTAATTAATTTTTATTTAAAAGAAAGCATTATTTCTTTTTAGAGTTTGCGGGATGAAATTTTGGAAATGACTAAAAGATTGGAAATTGCTGATAAAGAAAAGGCGCAGGCTGGGGAATTGGGATTACATTTATTAAAAGAAAAAGAACAGTTGGAATTGACACACGAGGTTTTGAAATAAAAAATAATTTTTGGAAAAGTATTTTTAATTAAAAATTAATTTAAACCCATTAATAGACTGACCATTTTTCACATATTTACCGAAAAAAGCACCGGGCACCCAAATCTACAAATGACTAAATCTCCTAGTTCTTTTCTTAAATAAATTTTATTTTCTTTTAAAAGGCTCTTTTAAAAGAATTCGAAGTAATTCGTTCAGAACTTGAAAAAACACAACAAAAATTAACTTTGTTTCGTTCTTCACAATGTAATGCTGAGGCTAATGAATTAAATCAAGAAATGGATGAAGATTCGGCAGCTTTAGAGGCTCGGTTTGCTGATAAAGTGAAAACTTTGGAATTGGCTAAAAAACATTTACAAGAAGTTTTTTTTTGAAATAAATTAAAAAAAATAATTTTTTTAAGCAATTAATTGTTTATAAATCTGATTCTGAAAGACTTCAACAAGAATTAATTTTAATTCAAACAAGAGTAGAAGAATTGGAAATTGAAAGAAAAACATTAAAAGAAGAAGTTTTTAAATTGTTTTTAGAAGGTTTTTTTAAAGATTTAATTTTAGTTGAAAGAATTACGTACTCGAGAGCAGCAATTAATTGGGGAAAATTATGAATTGGAAGAAGAAAATGTTGCTTTACTTAAACAAGTTTGATTTTTTTAAATTATTTTTTTTTTATTTTCTTTTAAAGGTTTCAAATCTGAGATCTGCACAAATTGAATTTGAATCAATGAAATTACAAATAAAAGGAATGTTGGATGAAATGATTATTTTACAAACATCTGCTGAAGAAGCTGAAAAAGTATTTTCTTTTTTTATTTTTGATTTATTTAAATTTCTAAAGCTTCGTTCATTGGCTGAACATCAAGTGGCTGATGCATTGGCAACTGCTCAACATGAAAGAGAACATCGATTGGCTTTAAAAAAGGAATTTGAACAGGTTTTTAGATTTCTAACTATGTTAATCTTTTTCAAGCTTCGTAATCAAGAACATTTAGCTTCATTAAATAGTTTATATTTGGGTATTAAAGGTGCCCATGAAGTTCATGACAGAGATACTATGAAACAGGTTTTTTGAAATATTTTTGAGAATTTAAATAAATTTTATTTTTTTTAGTTGGAAAGTTCTTTTATTGCTGAAGAATCTTTAAATTGTTTAAAAGGAAATGGTAAGGGATTTATTTTTGGATTTTTTAAAAATATTTTTTAATTAAGAAATTATCAAAAACGGCAACAATGGGGGAGAGAAAGATCTTTTTTCAGAATTACACGGATCAGAATTAACAGAACAATTAAATAAATTTCAAACAGAAAATCAACGTTTAATTAATTTACGTGCAGAACAATCTAAACAATTTGCCCAAATGTTAATTCCTTTTTTTCAAAAATTGGATATTGGAATTATTGGAGTTAATTTTGGTTTGAAAATTAAATTTTAAAATTAAAAAAATAATTTCTTTTAAAGAAGAATTTGAATTAACAAAATTAAAAGAATATATGTCTTTGGCAATGGAAAGACTTGAAGAACGTATTGGCCCTCAAAAAGAAGCTAAAAATATGCAAAAACGTTTGGAAAAATTAAAAGGTTTTTTTGTTTAAAAATTCAAAAATTAATTTTTAAAATTTCAGAAAGTCTTCGAAAGGCAATAATTTTAGCAGCAAGGAAGGATGCTTGGTTATTAAATTCTCAACAGATGATTGTCCAAATGGGACAAGCTTTATATTCTTTTTATATTGAATTAATTGTTGGGGAACAAATTAATAATGAAAAAAGTTTTTTTAAAATTTTCTAAATTAAAAATAATTCTTTTCTTTAAGTAACTCCAGAATTGGATATTAAATTAAAAAATATTAGTGAATTAGTTGATAAATTAAATTCTATTGAGGAATGTTTACAAACAGAAGAAGAAAGAGAAGAAAATAAGTTTGTATTTTTTTTCTTTTTTTAAATAATTTTTTAAATTTATTTTTAAAGTTCTCATCATCAATTAAATAATTCCTCTTCTTCTTCAATTAATTCTCCCCCACTTCTAACACCATTACAAACCTCATCACAATCAAATTCTTCAATTTCTCCCCCACCAATTGTCGAAGCACCCCCAGATCCAAAACAACAACACCAACAAAATAATCGATTATTAAATGTTCGTTCCCCACGTATTACTCCATTAATGCCAGAAATTTGTCGTCCAATCTTTTCAAAAAAATTTTTAGAAGAAATTTCATCAGCTAAAATTTGTAATAATTTGGAAGAAAATTTAATTGAAGAAGAAAATATTTTATTAAAAAATTCATTTCTCGAAGAAATTGATTTAAGAGAAAGACTTCCAATAGAAGAAAAAAATAATATCCAAACATCATTTATAACAATAATTGAATTATTTAAAATAATTAAATCGGCAACCGAAGAAAAATTATTATTAAATGGAATTACTTTAAGAAATAAAAATGAAACAGAAATTAGACAAGAAAATAATAAATTAAAAGAATTATTGGCTGTTAAAAGGGAACAAGTTTCTTCTCTTCGGTCTGTTCTTCGTTCAAATAAAAGTTCAACAGAAGGGGCATTTAATTGTTTAAAAGAAAAATATGAATCAGAAAATAAATTAAAAGATGAAACTTTGGAGGTTTTTTTGTTTTTAAATTAAAAAGGAAATCTTTTTTTAAAGAATTTACGTTCCCAATTAAAACTCTTTAAAGAAGATGCTGCTACTTTTGCTTCTCACAGAGCAATGTTTACTGCTCGTACAGAAGATTTACAACAACAATTAGAATCAGCACAAAATTTATTAAAAACGGCAGACGAGGAAAAGAAAACATTAAATCAATTACTTAGAATGAGTATACAACAAAAATTAATGATTACCCAAAGAATGGAAGAATTGGAAATGACTGCTGAAAGACAATATCAACAAGTTTTTTTTAAATTTAAATTTTTTTTAAACTTTCTTTATAAGAGAACTCCAACTTCTACAGACCCCCATCATCATCACCACCAACCGCCAACATTAAAAAGAGGAGGAATGTCTTCAGGAACATCAAGAAGTGGGGGAGGTGGAGGTCAAGGGGGAGGAGGAATGACACGAACTGTTCGATATCCAGGTTTAAATTTATTTTTTTTTAATTAAAAAAACTTCTTTTAGGGCCTTCAACAGCAAACCAACAAAATGGTGGAATAAACAGAGGAAAACAATAAAAAATATTTTTACAAAAATAGATCTGCCTCTCTTATTAGAAAAATGGTAAAATATGGAAAAACGACACGACGGGTGACAGAAACCAAAAAAACCTTTTTGTAAAGAAGGAAATATTAAAAAACCTTTTCATATACATAGAATGCCTTAATTAAAATACGAGCAATTTAAAAGTATTTATGGGGATTTTAAGTTTTGGTACTTCAAATTGCTCGAAATTAATTTTTTTATCCAAAGAATTCTCAATTTTCATTTTTCAAAGAATTGTTAATAATTACATACTTAATAAATAAAAGAAATACAACCAATTTTTGGCATTAATAATTTATTAAATAATGAGATTAAAAAAAGATATTGAAATTAAAAGAAAATTTCAAAGGGAAAATAGTCCAACATTACAAACTTTTATTTGGCTGAGATTTAAAAATTATTTCTCATTATTTTGAAATCTTTTGACGTTGTTGCAAAAGACAATTTTCCAATTTGCGAGCTGCTTGTGCATGTGCAGACGGCCGGCCTCGTTGTCGATTAATGTGAGATTGACAAAAATCAGAAGAATTTGTTGGAGTTTGTATTTCTAGTTTAATAGCGTTATTTTGAGTAAACTGAAAAATGAAGAAAAATAATTTAAATATTCTAAACTTGTTTTGGACGGAGTAACAAAAATATCAGAATTTTTGATCTTAATTTAAAATTTAAATTTCAAACCAAGCTATTAGAAGATCCTTGACTAACAGAAAACATTCGTTGTTGTATTTCTTCTCGTGATAAAGCAAATGGAGAATTCCCATTATTTGTAGTAGAAGGTGCAGATGAACAACTTGAACTAAAATTTAAACGTTCTTGATGATTTGAGTGATTCTTTGTTGCTGGAAATGAAAAACGCCGCGGTTTTAAATTTGGTGGCATTCCAACAGAACCACTTTGAAGTGCATCTAATTCATTAGGTCGTTCCATTGCAATTAAAATTCCAGGCTAAATAAAATAGCATTTAATTCACCTAATAGCATGTCGAGCCAGTTTATGAATAAGAGCAACGCGTAAACGGGGAGATGTTTGTAAAATATTATACATAATTTTAGATTCGTAATTTCATAAGCTCAAAATGTTCAGTCTTTACACGATCTTTCAATTTAAATAGAATACCTCATCCCTTTCACGCCATTTTTTTAATTCGTGATCCATTTTTGCTCGGCGTGGAGGATTCATAGTCCAAAGACATGCTGAAATTAACTATTATTTTTAAATAAATGATTTAAAAAACATTTTCGTCCATGACTATTTGGCGGTTCAATTTCAATTTTTCGAAAACATTTATTTAAAGAGAGATTATGCCGAACTGAATTTTTCCAGCCACTTGGCGCTTCACGAAAAAATGGGAAATGATGACTAAAAATAAATTAAAAATTAAATGTTTTCTAACTTTAACAAACCAAAGAAAAGCGTAAATTTCCGAGACTGTCAACTTAAAAAAATTAAAAATTACAAAATAAATAAATACAGAGGCTATAGTATTTGTATTTTAAATGAAAGTACCAAATTTTACTTTAGAAGTAAATCTTGGTTTCTTGGCTTTTTTAAACCAAAAATTTTCAATACTTATTTCATTCCCCCCCCTCCCCCCAGTCCGCGATTTAGTTGAAGTACGAAATGGTCAGTCATTTTTCCTTGCATAAGTTTAAAAAATTTGCCTGTAGTCACATCATTCACTAAGTTTTCCTTTAATTCAGGCAATTTTTTTGTTTTGATTGCCTGTCTCACACATTTGCCCTGGTTATTTGTAAATGACTGAATAAATCAATGTTCCTTTTTTATATTTAAAGACGGTTACAAATGAAAAGTGCAATTATTGAAGGGAGAGTGAGTGAATTAATGTGACCACAAGCAAATTTTTTAAGCTTATGCTAGGAAAAAATGACTGACCATTTTGTACTTCAATTAAATCGCTGACGGGGGGAGGGATGAAATAAGTACCAAATTTTCCATATAATTTGGATGAAAAGTCAAATTTTTTTACAAAATAATTTTGCAAATTCAAAAACCTCTCCAGTAGTACTATTTTTAAGTGCCAGACCAATTAAGCAAGAATAGGAATAAGCTGGCTTTGCAAATCCATTAGGTGCTACAGGTAATTCTCTCGGTTGTTCAGGCTCTTTCAAATTATAATTTAAAATATTTTTTTAAATAAGATTAAAAAACCTTCTTCAACCACTTCAACAACACTATTTTCTTTTCCTTCCAATTTTATATTAACAGAGTTTTTAACAATTTTTTGTCGTTTATTAGGAAAAGTTGTCCCTTCTGCCGAATCTTCATCTAATCGCCAGTGAGCAGGAGGCCCAGAAATAAGCTTAGGTGTCTCATCAATATTATTTTCCAAAATTAATTTATTATTCGAAACTTCTTTCTTTTCCAATTTAAAATTTTGATTGTTGGAAGACAAAGAAAATTGCTTAAAAATAGAATAATTTTTTTAAAAATAAACCTTTAATCTATTTACTGGGCGTAATGAAGTATTTTCAATAATCTGAAGTCGATTAAATGGTTCACGCTTTGGGGACTGTTGATTATGCAAAATGTTTGGAATTGAAGTAATCGATCGATTGCTGTTAAGATTCTCATTGTTTACTTCATAAAATGGATCAAATTGCTCATTTTGTGAGTGTTGATTATTATTCTATTGTAATAAGAATTAATTTTAGATTAAAAATTTACAGGATAAAAAAGGTTTCCCCTTTTAAATATCTCTGACAAGTAAATCAAATGGGCTTGATAAAAGTTAAAATAGGGAACAAATAAAGAAACATAATCCAAAATAAATGGAAACTAGAAATATATTAGTCCAAAAGAGAACGAATTCAGCCCATAAGATTATCAAAAAAAAATACTTGTGTATAGAGTAAATCTTGTTGAGAATTTTCAAAAGAACAATCATCCAAACGTGGTTTCCAATACGTTGTTGTTGCTGTACTTGATCCAAATGAAGGTTGATTAAATTGTTGAAAAAGGTCAACATCAGGCCCTATAAGATTTCCAATAGGCGAAAATGGTGGAGCTGCTGGATCGTCACAACTATGTAAAAATTGTTCAAAACCTTGTTGTTGACTCATTGGTCGCGAATTAACAAACAATGGAGGATCAGCAGAAATTGAGTGTTGAGAACTATTTGATTCATCGGCATATTCATATCTAAATAATATTTTAAAGAGGTTTAGAAAATATAAAATTAATAAAACCTTATTTGTGGATAAGAAGACATATTCCCTATTTATTTTAATTAACAATGTTTTATAAAATTAATTAATAAACATTTAAATAATACAAAAAATAATAATCTAAAATAATTAAATAAAAATTGTAAAGACAAATTTACTTAAAAATAGCAAGAATATTAAAAGAAAACAATGAGAGAAAATAGGAGAGTATGGACTAGAGAACAATTTCCCGCCATTTTTTCCCTTGCAGAAAAACTGCGCATGGATCCAAATATAAACGATATTAGCTATGTATTATAGGGGATTTGAGAAGAATAAGTAAAAAATTAAATATAAAGATAATTTAATCATGAATATCAATTATTCATTTGAAGAACAAATACAAAATTTATAATAAACTTTATATTAAATTCCTACATATAATATAATCATTTTAACAATATTATCTATCATAGAAATTATTTGTTTTCTTTACATTTGCTTCATCTAAAAGCCAATTATTTTCATGAAAATCTTCAGAAAGATCAAGAAGCCTATTACGAATATATTCAACTTTAGTTCGTTCATCATCGAATGATTGAAATTGTTCCTCAGTAAACACAACAGGATGGAGACCAGCTTTCTTCAAGAGTCGTATACCTCTGGAAAAGTTTAAAAAATCTTTAAATTATTTTATAGAAACAAAGATTATATTCTAAATTTATTGTACAAGAAAATCCAACCACAAATATTAAAAAAATACAAAACAAATTTAACATACGTTTGGCAGACACCAACTAATCTAACTGGTCCAATTTCCTCTGTTGGATCATAAATTTTTGTTAATTGTCTTTTAGTAAAGAAAAGAATCGCTATTTCTTTGCATATTGTTCCTTGCTTCCTTTCAGTTTGAATTTTTGTTAAAGGAATAAATTCCCTTTTAGAGACATCGACAAAACATCGACCTTCTATTATAACACCAGTTGCTTCATGCCATTCTTGTCCAGTACTGTATAACTGTAAAATTTTACAAAAAAATTTTTGTGATTTTTATTTTAAAAATTCTTCTAAAACAATACATTCGGTAAAACAACAAGCCGCATTAAAATTTCAAAGTTTGAAAATGCTTCCATTCCTTCAGCTGTGAATTTGGTTTTTAACAAACGCCGTGTTTCCTTAATATTAAAAATAAAATAAGAAAAATATAGGAATAATAAAAAGTTGAGAATATGAACCAAAAAATGATTTCTAATTTTTGGAAAAAATGTAATCGTCAAAAATTGTCAACAGGCAATCTTTGCCGAGAGTTTAATGGAAAACTCCACCCACCATTTTAGAAAATATAAAATTTATTAAAATTTCTCAAACCTTGGGTGTCAAGTTGTCAACAAAGAATGGTCCTTTATAATTTGGCAATTCTAATTTAGCTGCACAAGAAATTGTTTTTAATCGCAAATTGTTGTAAGCACGCTCTTTTTCACTTATAAAAATTTTTTAAACAAAATTTAAAAATTTTTATAAAATACAGTTTAAATTGAAAATTCATTTTGATTGCATTAACAAAGTTTTTATTAAGAACAGATTCAGCAACAGAATTGTTTAGGGAATTTAAGCAAGTCAAAATATACGCAAATTCAAGCCAATCACTTTTTAAATTAAAATAAATAAAAAATATTTTTTAATAAAAAAACTTTGCTGAATTTGTAGAAAAGTTTTTGATAAGTGTCTGAACAAATGGAAATGTTAAACGACAATCAACATTTGTAAGAGCAAAAGCTTTTGCGATATTATATAATAATAAAGTTCTAAATAAATTAATGTAACTTATCAAATAAAATTAATTTACGGTATTTGTTTGGATTCCAATTTTGGTTCAAGCGATTCAATAATCTGACGCCAAAAATGCCGATCAGTTAGGTGAAAACGTGCTAATAAAAAGAAATATTAAATGTATTATAGAATAATTATAGAATAATTAAATTTTAGAATAATTAAATTAGAATAATTAAATTTTTACATTAAAATTAAAAAAACATACCAAGCAATGCAAGAGGAAACTGAAGTGAATAAATGTCATCCCGAAACTCTAATATTTCATGTTTTAATTTAGTGACTAGCCGTGCGTCATACCAGCCAAGTCGTAGTAATGACTGTAAGATATTACTGACAAGAATTGGATCATTTAGAGGAATACTAAAAATAATTGAAAAATAAAATGTAAATATTTTAATTAGAGAATTTAAATATGGAATTAAAGTGAATAAATAATACAAAAATTTTGATAAAAACAAAAAATACCCACAATTCTTCTATTCGTCTGCACAGAGGTTCCAAAATATTTTCGTGACAAATTCTTTCATTTCCAAAATAAATTAATAAAAATACAACAGATTTCATATCCAATCCTTTTAAATCCTTGCAAAATTTGTTGACTGTTGCTGAAGTTAATAATTCATCAGATTGTATTAACGAATTCCAATATCCACTTGCTTTCATTAATTGCAGGTGAAAATTTATAGGATTTGACAGATTCTTAAAGGAAAAATATTTTTTATAATTAAATAAACAAACATTCTTTTTTGGAGAAATACTTTCAATCGGTTGAATTAATAATTGATCAATAAAAGCCGACAATTGAAGTGTTTCATCAGATGAAATATTTCCGATTTTTTGAATATTAAATTCTTTATTTGATACTTTAGCTGTTGACGCAAAACTAAATTTTAAGTTTTCCAAAAAAATTATTTTGCAGATCTCTTCATAAAAATTTGTTAATACTAAAACAAGGTTAATTTAAAGTTCAAATATTGTTAAAGTATTACGTCAATCCCGGAGAACCATAATATAAAATTTTATTGTATATTTTAGAAACCTGACAATCCCCCGAGTCTGAAACTTTGATATATAAAACATGTCAATTCCATGTTTCACAAACGGAAAAAATCGCCAACCATTTTTCATTACAATTCGCATTTGTTTTTAATTAAATGTAAAGTTTTAAAAAACAAAAATTTTAGTTAAATTAAACAAATGCTATGAGTAGGTATATAAATCAATATTTTTCAGATTACAATTTAGTCTTTAAATTATGTAAATAAAATTTATTCTTTAAAATAAAACGTAACAAATTTTTGATAGAAAAGAATTTCTGTTATATAACAATCAAATGCCTCTGATTATTCTTAAAATTAAACTGAACTTATTAGAGAATCACCACTGTCAGTAATCTTTTACATAAGAACTTGTCGGTGAGCGAAAAAAGATTTCTTTTTTACATGTAACGTGAATAATCAGAGAATGAAGAAATAAATTAAAAGAGAAATCATTTTAAAAATTTTATAAACGATGTGCAGTTTTAACATTTTCAAAAACAGCCGCTTCCAGACATGAGTGAATTTGTGCACAAGCATCTATTGCAGATTTGAGAAATTCTGTCAAATGACTTTTATGTACCAAATTCTTTAATGATATAAGTATAATCTCTTCTCTCCCACCTTTTGAATATTTATAAAATGTATTATCTAACAAATTAAAAACATACCAACAGTTGCAATTGTGATACGAGGAATTAATTCACTTTGTTCTCGAGAACTAGTATCTGTACAAGAAACTCCATCGACACAACCACATTCAACTGCAGAAGGAAGCCCTCGCATTGGAATCCCTGCATCAGCTAATGCCAAACTCCCCGCATTTACGCACGCTGCTAAATTCCCACCATCTGCCTAAAAAATAAAAACTTTAGAAAAACTTTAACCTTTAACTTTTACGTTTAAAACTTGCCTCAATAACTTCAAAAAAAATGTCGATTTGACTGCGTGGATACAAATTAACAAAAATAACAGCCTCAAAGGCGCGTTCAAGCAGTCGTGAATTAGTATTTCCTCTTCTGTCACCACGTGGACGGTTTCGACGGTCTGGCACAGAAAACGTTGACTGGCTATATTGGCAAACAACTATTGCTGACTCTTCCTGAATTCTTGATTTAATCCTCCCCTCTCGAGGTCCATAGACAGCACAAAGAACCTTAAATAGATTCTTTAAATAATGGAAAAATTTCGGAATACTAAACAGAACGCAAATGGGTCAAACTATATGTCATTCGAAAGATCTCGTCGAGTTGAGTCGAATGGTGAAAAAATTTTCGTGCGGACTCATACAGGGGCTGAGATATAGGCCCACGAAAATCGAAAAACCATAGGGGGGACCAAGCACTTTTTTGGGGTAAAAAATTCGAATATGCAAATTATACCTCATTCGAAAGAGCTCCTCGAGCTGAATCGAATGACCCCAAAATCAGCTTGATTGTAAAAGTTTGGACAAAGTTACAATAGAAAAACAAACAACATAAACCTATGGAGCGTCGGCGAGGCGCTTGTGCAAAACCCCGCGCTTCGCGCGGGGTTTTGCGGCACGCGCCTCGCGGGGAGTCTACGGGCGCTGGGTCTGGGCTCGTAACATAAACCTATTCCTATCTCCCTTGCTCTGGACGTATTTGGGCCTCCGTAGCAGCAAAAATCTCCACAGATGCCATAGGTAAGGAGCTAAAATAAAAGATCATAACTTTGTCCAATCAAGTCGGATTTCGTTGATTTTGGTGTCATTCGACTCAGCTCGACGAGCTCTTTCGAATGAGGTATAATTTGTTTTTTCGAATTTTTTATCCCAAAAAAGTGCTTGGTCCCCCCTATGGTTTTTCGATTTTCGGGGGCCTATATCTCAGCCCCTGTATGAGTCCGCACGAAAATTTTTTCACCATTCGACACAATTCGACGAGCTCTTTCGAATGACATATAGTTTGACCCATTTGCGTTCTGTTTAGTATTCCGAAATTATACCTTAAATAATAAATAATAAAGAAACCTTTGTACCTCCTTGTTCAATATAAGCAGAGCCATCAGCATGTGAATAAATACCCGTTTGATATAATATATTACGGATTTGTTTTGGAAGTCGAGCATCTTTACGGAAACCAAACTCACTTAACATTGCGAATATCAAACAAAACTAAATAAGAAAGATAATAAAGCTGTGGCCTAAATAGGAATGTGCGTCATGGCGTTTATGATTTTTGGCCGATTTTGGCGTTTGGCGTGATTTTCATTTTTTGGCGCGCCAAAACGCCAAAAATTTACACCCCAATGATTGAAATTTTTTCAAGGAATGGGGGAAGAGTGTTCAAAATATGAACTTTTCTTTAAAAATTTTGCCTGCTGCGCAAAAAATAAGAACACTGGGTTTTAGGCCTCTATTTACCTAAAATCTTTGGCGTTTTGGCGTCGTTTTTGGCCGATTTTTGCGTTCTGGCGTTTGGCGTGATTTAAAAAATTGGCGCTTGGCGCGCCACGCAAAATATTTGCGCACATCCCTGGCTAAATATCATCGGGACTGAAACGGCGGGTTTTCGCACTTTTTTGTTCAGAATTACCTTGCGTCTAAATGGCCTATGCCTGAATATTCGTGTGCGGACTGATGTGATTTGGTGCGGAATCGTGGGCGCGGAATCATTCCCCACCGACAAATGCGGGGATGTTTCAGCTTTTCTCCTTTTCTGTAAAAAATTGAAGATCCTTTTCTTGTAGATCCCTTTTTTAAATTTTTATTTTTTAGGTTATTTTGTGAATTTCCTAAATGAAGACAAAATTCGCTACATTCGATCTCTGCGCAGTTTTGCATGATTTAAATAATTTAAAGGGAATGAGATTATCAAATGTTTATGATATAAATTCAAAAACTTATTTGCTAAAATTACAAAGGTTTTCATTAATTAATTTATTTTTATATATTTCTTTAGACCAAACGAGAAAGCTTTTATTCTTTTCGAGTCTGGAATTAGAATACATGTAACAAACTGTGAATGGCCAAAAGCTGTTATACCATCAGGATTTAGTATGAAATTTCGCAAACACATTAGAAGCAAACGTTTAACTAATGTTTCTCAGGTAAATTTTTAATGATTATTAAAATTTAATTAAAATTTAAATTATATTGAAGTGTTAATTTTATTACAAACGTGTACTTAATTGAATTGATCATAAATCCGTTTAGAGTTGTCGAAACTTTATAATTTCGATGTCTATCGACCTACTGCAGGCTTTAAAAATATCGCAAGAGCATTTTTTGCTCATTTTTTCTCGGGACCAATGATATTAATTAAGGATTACAATTGAAGATTGTAAAATAAATATATTTTTACTTTATCATTATTATGTTCTCTTTTACCAACTGAAAAAATATACACTTCGTTAAGGCTTATTCTTATGCAAAAAATGCAAAGTGGGAATGAAAAGTGCGCATTCTCTTTTCATACAAGTGAATAACCAACTGGACATTTGACGTTTTCCGACGTTTAAGCATTTTTCAAAATTATCATTTCTCAAATAGGCGGGTTCTCGAAATTTTACCTATTTTTATTTTTAAGGTCGGTATTGATCGAATTGTTGATTTGAAATTTGGAGAAGAGGAACGAAGTTGTCATGTAATTGTTGAACTATATGATAGAGGAAATGTTGTCCTAACAGACCATGAATATACAATTTTGAATATATTAAGGCCGAGAACTGATCATGATACGGATGTTCGATTTTCTGTTAGGGAAAGGTTTAATTTTATTTTTTTTTATTTTTTTGTATTATTTACTAGGTATCCTCTCGAACAGGCGAGACAATCTTCACAATTCAGACCAACAGATGAAAATATTTTGCTTTTGTTGAATGCAAAGAAGGGTGATTCACTTAAAAAATCGTTGGTTTGTAATGTTCCTTTTGGAGCACTTCTTCTTGATCATGTTTCTACAAAAATTGGTGTTCCTCTGACTGCACAGGTTATTAGCGACTTTATTCATAACTACTGCCACCTATTTGCGTTTCAAGATTAATTTTTACATTTTTTATCAATCAAAAGTGTAGATTACTTCATTTGACAATGAAAATAAAGTAAAAGAATGGTAGATTGAAAAATAATCCAACAATAGGCAATTTGACTTTTTAAAAATTATTTTCGGGTTTATTGTTAGTAAAATACTTCTTCGTTTTAGAATCTATGACCATTTGGTTCTGGGGCTTAAGACCTCATGGGTGTTGACCTTCTGGGTTGATCCCAATGTGTGTGTTTAGGTTATGAAAACTATCGTTAGTAAATTTTTAAAGAATACTTTTCGTTAAGATTGGTACTGATATTCCAGTAAATGATGAGGGCGTTAAAATAGTTGCTAAGATTTTGGAAGAAGCAGAAAAGGTGGCTGATGATATTATATCTACATCGCACGGTGGATTTATTGCATATGAGGAAAAGGAAAGTCAAGAAGGCACTCCAATCCAGTTATTTAAGGTTTTTATTTTTATAATCGATTATTAAATAAATTTTAAAGGAATACTTCCCTTATGATTTTATCCAATTTCGCAATAAATCTCTTAATAATTTGCATATTCTTGAAACAAAAACATTTAGTGAAGCAATTGACAAATATTATTGGACAAATGAAGCACGAAAAAGCAAACAGCAGGATGGGGGAGTTGAAAAAGAGGCTAATAGGAAATTAAATGTAAATTAATGTTTTTCTTTCAAACATTAATTTTTTAGAATATTAAACGTGACCATCAAAAAAGAATACAATCATTGAATGAAATAAAAGAAATTCAGAAAAAACGAGGAGAATTTATTATTTACAGTAAAGATTTAGTGGAACAAGCGCTTTTGATTGTTAGGTTGGATTTTATTAAAAATATTTTTTGAAAGATTATTTTTAGAACAGCTTTAGATAATCTCAAAAAAGTCAATAAATCATTAGCCGCGAACAATCGAGGGCCTAAATTAGCTCCAAAAACGGGAGTTGGTTTGTGGTTAGAGGAACTAGCAAATATGGGAGAACAGCCTGCAGCAAGATTGATATGCAAATTGAAGTTAGAAACAAATCGGTTAGGTTTATTTGATTTAGATCAGTTGGGGTTGTTCACAAAGGAACCGCTTGAACTTTGCGCAAAATTTTAAATGAAAATTATACTTCGTGTAGAAGCCCTGAAATCGAAAAGTTATAGGGCAAGTTGCGCACTTTTGGAGTGGCTTCTATAATTTTACTATTGGTGTAACTGAAATATTTTCAATTTTATTAGTACTGTCTCACGTCAAAGTTAAAATTCTCTTCGGAAAATTTCACTATAGCTTTACTATATAGTTTACTCAAATTAAATATTAAGATTTACAATGCGCCTTACGAATCCATATGATGAATCAGATAAAGAATTAAATGTCGAATTGGATTTATCTTTAAATGCAGAACAAAATGCCCGACGTCAATTCGAAGAGAAGAGAGCAGCCGAACAGAAAAAAGAAAAAACAGAAGCTGCTACAAATAAAGCTTTAAAATCAGCAGTTAAATCAGCCAAAATAAAAGCTGATATTAAATCTACACAGGTTTGTATATTTTAAAAGTTGATAACTTTTTTTTTAATGTTTTAGACAAAAGTTAGGAAAACAAATATTATTCATGCTCGAAAAACTTACTGGTTTGAAAAATTTCTTTGGGTAAGAATTTTCTAAAATTTAATTATGTGTTAATTTGTTTAGTTTGTAAGCTCCGATGGCTTTTTGATATTGGCTGGTCGTGATGCACAGCAAAATGAATTGTTAGTTAAGCGTTATATGCGACCAGGAGATATTTATGTTCACGCAGAAATACAGTATTGTTTAAATTAAATTATTATTTAATTTTATTTAGAGGTGGATCCTCAGTAATTATAAGGAACAGAGAAAATCATTCCTCCGAGGAATGGACGCCACCACATAAAACTTTGAACGAAGCAGGAACCTTTGCTGTTTGTTTTTCTTCTGCTTGGGAAGCAAATGTTTCGGTTACTGCTTGGTGGGTACGGCATGATCAGGTATTTCTGGTTAAAATAAGATAAATTTTCAAATCGTTTTAGGTATCAAGAACTGCCCCAGCAGGTGAATATTTAGTTGCTGGTTCATTTATGATTAGAGGAAAACGAAACTTCCTCCCCAGTTGTCCGCTTCAATTGGGATTTGGTTAGTCAAATAAATTAAAATCTTCGATCCTCTTTTTAAGGATTAATGTTTAAACTGGATGATGAATCGGTAGAAGCCAGAAAAATAAAAGAAAAGAAAACACCTGACAAAAACACACAAAATGATGATGAATCTGTAATTTGTTTGGAAGATGAATTAATTGAAGGAAGCAGTGATTCCGATACGGTAGAAGGGGCAGAAGACTTTCCTGATGTTAAGGTTGGATTTAATATGTTTAAATAATTTTTGTTTAAGGTTCGCGTTACTGGGAGTACATCGACGCAAAATGATAAGGTAAATGAATCCAGCATCAGTTATGGTGACGAAAAAGATAATGAAGACGAAAACAAAGCAAGCGATGAAGAGGCTTTAGGGGAAATGAACGAAAACGACCTTATAGACTCCTTAACTGGGCACCTATCAAATGAAGACGAGCCTGAATTTGCAGTTCCTGTTTGTGCACCATACACAGCAATGAATAAGTTCAAACTTAAGGTTTGATAAAAAAATTAATTCTCATTTGCTGGTTCTCCAGGTAAAAATTACACCAGGAAGTTGCAAACGAGGGAAAGCTGTGAAAATGGCTCTTGAACTTTTTGCCGTGACTTAAAATTTTCGATTCTAATGTAAACATATTTTTAGCAAAATAAGTCCTTGACTTTGGCCGAACGAACATTACTCAAGGCACAGACCGGGGACGACCGGTTAATTCAATTAGTTCCTGGAAAAGTCCGTGTATCAGCACCATCTTTCAATGTAAAACAAGTTGCAAAATTGATCATTTGATTAAAAAATACTACAATGTATAGAAATACAACTATTTGTTTCAGTTATGTGTAGTACCTGGGTACTTATCATTTATACTACACCCGGAGCTGTTCGACTTTTGATTGTGAGTAATTAGCTCAGACGGGAAAAGCCGCTCCAACAAGGAGCGACTTTTTGGAGCCCGTCTTTAGACTTTGGCGAAAAATCGTTGATTCGTGGGTTTTGCGTGGATTATGCGGGATTTTCATCAACTGATAAGTACCTACCAGAATCTTTTCCAAAATGAAACATTCGGGTCTATATTCTAAGAGTCAACTTCAGCCTTATTTTTATTGTCAAGACGAGATTAAAAGATAAATAAGAATGTATTTGTCCTTAATACTCCACATTCACAACGCGCATCATCAATGCCGTCGAGATGCTGTATGGCGTATAGGCGAGCCACGATAGCGTGAACGATCGGGTGAACGTCTATGGCGTCTGCTAGTTCTGATTGGTGAGCGTGAACGTTCACGACGGTGTCTCGTTCCCGATTCGCGTGAATGAATAGGCGAATTCTCACGAGGATGTTGCTTGGACTCTGAACGACTGGGCGAATGCTTACGTCGGTGCTGTATCGTTCCTAATTTTTCTTCCATTCTTTGAACCAGTTTTTGTCTGTACTTTGATACTTCCAAATCCATTTCTGATTGTAATGTATTTCCATCAGCTTCTAATTTGTCCTGTAGTTTCATCACTTTAATCTGGTAAAAATATTTTGTTAAGTTATGCTTTTTTTACTCAATACAAACTTCTATTTCTCTAAGCATTTGCCTCCGTTCTTCATCATCATTTGAATTAGACGCTGTAATATGATTCTTGCTTTCTTTAGGCTCTGGCGACGGAGTTAACTTTGATAATCTGCATCGTTTCCTATCTGTTCGATCATCGTGATACCCCTCTTCTGAATCAAATGCTTTCAATTTTGAATTATTTTTGTTGTCTGTAATTGCATTTTGTTGTTGTTCCCATCGACTGATTTCAATTGATTCCCATTTGGATCGAGCATGTTGAATATCTCCAGATTTTTGTTCGACTGGTTCCAACTTAAAAATAATTTAATAAGCCAATATTCAAAAAATAAAATTAAAACCGTGCTCCATGATCCGGTTGTAAAACGTTTGCTGTCATCTTCTTCATCGTTGACAATCGGAATTCCATCCAAATCACCATCTGATCCAACATCATCAGGCATAGGCATACCGTCTATGTCATCATCTTCTTCCTGAATCGGCAATCCATCAAGATCCTCATCCTCTTCTTGTGGTATAGGCTCTCCATCAATTGAAGAATCAATTCCGTCGTCAGTCTTTTTAGTAACAATTTTGGATTAATTAAATTGAACTAACCTTTAAAAGGCCCAAGAAAACATTCTGCCATTTGATTAGGTCTTGTGTTGGGTAAACAGCATGGTCCTCCCAATTTCGAAAACAAAGCATGACGCGTTGTCGAAACTAAAATATTTAAACTCCAAAATATTTTTTTAAAAACCTGTTCAGCTTTCAACCGACTTTCAATTGAATCAAGTGCTTCATTGAGTTCAGAGAAAATTTTTAACAAATAGTCACCAAAATGTTGACGATAATAAAATGCATCTTTCACTCGAACCGCACAATTTGCTAAAATATCCGATACTAGGTAAATTCGAGCAATCTAAAATATTTTTGTATTAAATTCTTAAAATCTTTTTGATGTTGAAAAAAATAGAAAAAATTTTTTATTGAATTACCTTTCTATGTAGCGGTGTTTCTTTTATGCACAATGACTCAAAAATGCATTGTGTAATTTCCTTTGAACATTCTGCATGATCTAAACACCATACCATCGCATCACCAATAGCAATCTATTAAAACAAAATTTAATCAAAACAATTAAAAATATAATCTGTTACACTGCTAAACTAAATCCTTTCTGACAATTAACTTATATAAAATATAATTCTAGCAAACCTTTTCTGGTGTCAAATTCCTGAGTAGATTCTCTAATTCTTCTCGTGATTGATCATTCAACACACCTTTGAGTCGTTTTCGCTGTTCTTCTTTTTCGGCAATATTTTTTAAAGCTTTTTTCCTTCGTTCTACACGTTCCTTACTTTCATCAGTTTCTTCTTTTTCTTCTCCTATTTTCTTTTCTGTTGATGATGATCGTTTATGTACATTATTAGCTTGTTTTTTGTCATTAGAACGTCGTCTTTTCGGTACATAGGCGGTATTATAAAGTTGTGGAGGCATTCCTAATTCAAATAAAGCATGTGGGGGTGGTTGCCACCAACTTCCGCCCTCAAACATTTTAAATTTGTCGAGACGCCATTTAGTTCGATCATCGCCTTGCATAGTAGAGTAGAGACGCCAGCGATAATAAACGTGAGTTGGATGGTGATTGTCGAAGAGAAAACAAAAAAGAATAATTTTATTAAAAATTTTGAAATTATTTAGAGTATTTATTGTAACCCCTCAACAAACATTGAGGGGATAATTGGCCAAATATTTCGATATATTTGTTAAAAATCAGTACTTTGACCAGCCCGAAATTTTCGAATATAACTTTTATTATAACCATCAAAAAATTTTAGAGGCTATTAGAGAACATTTTAAATACATATACAAAAATTCTTAATTCATAGTCTTCTTATACCATTGAAATTTGTATAAAATACGAGGGTAATTAAGATCTCACAGAATAGTTAAAATTTTAAAAATTTCCAAAATAACCTCTTACCGATACATTGGATTTTGACGTTCCTTAGCCATTAAAATCGCTTCAAACAAAGGGCCAGAACGGACAAGGAATTCCACTACTCGATGAATTAGTTGCAATAACGGTCTAAATTTAAGAAAATAAATTCTAAATTTTTTCTACAAATTTTTAATATTTTAATATTAATTGAAAATTGTTGTTTATTTGTATTCTGCCAGTTGCACAAGAAGTCAAATAATTAGAATACCTTTCTGTGGGGACGACGACCCGAACAGTCGAGTTCTCTATCATCTATAGTTAGAAGAACGTGAACAAGTAATTTTTTTTTTTCAAATTTAGAAGTTCAATTATTTTTGTTAAAAACAAATAAAATACGATTGCATAAAAGCCAACATTTAACAAATTTGAAAAAACCTTTTTGTAGTCTCTGCACATTTCCACATCGTTAGTATCGAGCGTTGAATTCAATTTCGGCAAATCATGATATTTTTTGAGAAAAACACGCAATTCTTCCGTTTGAGGTTTCGCGTTAAAAGGAAGCCCGGATGGTGGATCAGGCATAGCCAATTCTCGGAGAGGTGGAGGAACATAGAAAGGCTTAAACAAAATATATATAGAATATATTTTTATAAATAAAAAAAGCAAACTAGTGGGGGCATTGTAACAGGTCTAGCCCATGAAACGCGAAGTTCGCAACCTCGATAAACATCACCATGCATAGAATACATCGAACGTTCGGCATCCAAACGGCTCTATTAAAAATTATTAGATAAAATAAAAACAAAAGACAACCATAAAAGCAACAAATCCACTCAATGTTGCCCTATAACGCTCTTCTTCGGGCTTGGGAAACAAAATTTTCGCTGAAGCAAGAGGGCTAAAAAAGTTGAAAATTTTTGACTTCTCTTACAGTATTCAAATTTTTTCAAATGAAATCGGTTTGCATCATTTAACAGTTTTTAATGAAAATCTTTCAGATAAATCGTTCAAAATCTTTTTTTATTAAAAATAACTATTTACCCAAATGATCCAAATGTTTCAAATATATCTTCAAGTTTACACTAAAAAATAAATATATTAAAAAATAATTTAAACAAACGTCAGGTGGAAGATTACAAACATAAAGATTTGTTGTTGTTGGATCATGTTCATAATCAACGTTTACAGGCATACCAGAACCAAAATAAGGAGCATCAAGTGTTGGGGCAATTCTATTTAATTCTTCTTCTGGAACACCCAACTTTTCTTTTAAATGTTGACGAAGACCTTTTCTTTCATCCCGCATTGCCTGCATTCTAAAAAAAGAAGAAATAATTATTTAGAAACAAAATTTAAAATAAAAACTGTTTAAGTTCTTCTTTGAACGCCTCAAGGTTTGTTAGTCTTGACTTTTCAATTTTGTTAGCTGTCCCAGGCTTTGATGGTCGATTTAAAGTAATATCTTGTTCAGGAAGAATTTGTTGTTGTTTATCTTTTTGTGGATTACTATCTACACTGCTCATTATTTTCTTCGCAGTTTCTTGAGCCAATTTTTTCGCAACTTCCAAATTATTTTTTATTTGAATAACAGGGGCTGGTTTATAAACTGTTGATTTTTGAATATTCGAATCTTAATTAAATTTTGTTTAAAATGATATGGTTGTAACATATTTAGTTGCCGTTTTTTTCAAGAAGGCATAAGAGCATAATATCCTTATCGTAAGTGCATGTTCTATATACCATTTTGAAGCGCTGGGTCTGCTCTCTAATCTTACATATGGTCTTTTCATGTTACATGTCTTATACTCGTTTCAGGACCTCTAGAATACCCCTAACTAGGAAAGTAATTTTTGAGCTTTTGCGGAAAATTCTATAATATAAGCAGGAATAAACCAATCCAAGTGAAATTTTTCTTATATGTTCGTCATGGGTTTGACCATCAAATTATCAAATTTGAGATTTTTTGGTTAGGTATTTCGAAAGTTATGGTCGAAAAAGTCGAATCTGGCATATTTTACAAATTTCAAATTTTCTTGAAAAATTTTTGAATTTGATATGACTTGTAATATACAATTCGAAAGCCCTTTTTAAGTTACATAAGTGAGTATGAACAAAAATTTATAAAATTTCTAAATAAGATTTAAAATCACAAAAAACCCTTGTGTCAACTAAAGGAAAAAACGAGTAGACATACCCCCAAAAACTCAAAATTTCGAACTTTGCGTAAAATTATCCGATTTGGATAATTCGAACGGTATTCAGAAGTCCTCGCAGTTCTATATGAGAAACTAACCCGAAAATACTTTTTTGGTACACAGGGGTCGAAAATACACAGGGGTCGAAATTTCGACTTTTTTCTCGTTCGAATTTTTAAAATTTTCTTTTTTCCGCTAGTTAGAGCATTTGAAGAGCTTTCGATTGATATATCACATGCCAACCATTTACCAATATTTTTCGAGATATTTTGATATATTTGCTAAAAATCAGTAATTTGACTACCCCGAATTTTTCGATCATAACTCTTAAAATGCTTAACAAAAAATTTTAAAATTTTAGAGTCTGTTAGAGGAAAGTCTATTTAATATATGTACAAAAATTCATGATCATAGGCCAAAAATCTATAAAAATTCAGACCCCGAACCTTTTAATAAAAAACGGCAACAAATATGTTACAACCAATATAAGGTTAATTTTACTCATGTAGTTAAACGCTTTAGAAAAAACCTAATCTAGGCACTTCTTCAACATTTCTTTTATGGGGAGATGAAAAAATGAGAAAAAGGAAAAACATAAACCCGACTATTATCACCGATTTTTACCCCCTATAGTCAACCCAATCCGTCCAGAAACAAAAAAGCCAAAGAAAACTTAATAAAACCTGTTTTAACAGGATTAACAACATCGCCACGAATGAATATTTTTGAGGTCTTGACAATTCCATCTTCGAATGTTTCACGAAATTCTTCATATGCCTCCTCCAAAAGTCCTTTCTCTTCCTCTTCCTGAATATAAAGGAAATATAAATAATTTAAAAAAATTTTTACTCTTTTGCGTTTGTATTTCTCCATGAAATAAAGAATATTTCTGAATAAATTATTATATAAAAGTGAACTCCTACAAGGTTTTTAAATAGTTATATAATATAAACTCGCAATCAGCGTGTGATAAAAATTACAAGACTTTAATGTTGTGAGGAAAAATTCTTTAATATTGCGAGGAATTAGGAACTGAAACGTCCTAATGCGCTTTAAAGCTGGATGTTTGGCTGTTCAAATACTAGCAGGAAAAGTCCAATGATTTAGGGAAACTGAGAAGATTCCATAACCGGATCAAATCCCAAATCCGGTGTAAAAAATTTTCCGGCCCGGATTTGGAGCCGAACCGGTCTCTTTGAACATGCCACGGGTAAAATTGAGGAAGAAGACTGACTTTTCTGTACAAATTAAGGAAAAATAGAAGATATACCCTGCGAATATATGGGAGGGGTGTGGCAAAACCGAAAAGTACCCTTCGGTATTTTCAGTTGATAAATCTTTTTCTTTCATTTTCTTTCTACTATAAATTAAAATCGTTTATGAACCATAATTTTTTATCAAAGAAAAATCTTGTAATCTAAATTCCATAACTCGCTGTATTAAACATTTTAATCTTCTATAATAGATATTTATTTCATGAAAATAAATAAATTTATAATTTGAAAGAATTAATAAAATGGAATTTTAAAAAGTTTTGTAATTCTCTAAAATAGGAAAATATAAAAATAAAATGGCAGGTTTATTAACGAAATAATTGGAATAAGCTGCAATCTTTTCATCTGAAAATTCTTCTTTTAAATTCCAGGCTTAACATGACTGAAAATATTTTTAAATATTACTTATTTTTTAAAGTAATATTTACGAATGTATTGAATGTATTCCCCCTTCGAGTTGTGCATTATGTGTTCGACGTTCCAATCTAATTTTTCCGCTGTCAATTCCCTTTCTAAATTATTATATATATTTTTTTGATATTTTATTTTACCTTAATTCATCAAAATTTCGAACACCAATATCTTGAAGTCCATGCTGGATACCACGAATAATATATGGAACATATTTGAAACAGCTACCTGAATAAAAAAATGTTATTTATGTATAGACTTATTCAAAAAAAAAAGAAACAGACCTCTATCACGTTGAGCTGCAGAAACCCCTTGTGCCACTTTTATATTTTCATTTCCACTAAAAATATAATTTTAAAATATTTAAATTTAAAAAACCCAGTAAAATATCTTTCTTGACTTGTAGCATTTGTCTCCATAGCATCCAAAGAACCCATTCCTCTGTATTTCTTTAGACGCACACCTGTTGATCCCCAGAAATATTCGCCTGGAGCTTCGTTTGTTCCAGCCAACAATCCACCCATCATTGCAGTTGAGGCGCCTAATGCCATTGCTTTTGTTATATAACTAGAATATATTTTTTGTTTGTATAAATTTTAAAGGAAAATAAACCCAATATCTCTAATTCCTCCATCTGCAATTACTGGCACTCCTCTTAATCTTGCATATCGAGAAACATTATAAACTAATTAAAAAATATTACTATCTATAATATTAAAAAACAAACCAGCAGAACCCTGTGCACGACCAACAGCACAAACCTAAATAATATTTTAAATATTAAATAATAAGTTTAATAATAATTGGTTCATTTAAATTAACAGGTAAAAAATTTTTTTAAAAAAATGAAAATTATAACTTGCAGATAAAACTTATCAACTTTTGGATGAATAGAAATACCAGAAAATTTTTGTATCACTGTTCCAGTTCCCTTTTATCATTATTCCAAACACTATACTTTTCTTATAAATAGTCACCATTATGACTCATACTAACCCGAAAATTTATTTAGAAAAAAACAAACTTCTTGTGTTGTGCAAATACTTCCACTACCCATTCCTACACGTAAAGCATCTGCCCCTCCGTCAATAAGTAATTTAGCTTGATTCATTGTTACAACTTCATTTAAAATAATAAAATTAAAAAAAATATTTCCAAAAAAACCATTTCCAGCAATTACTTGTGGCCATTCGGGAAAATTTTGTTTAATCCAGGAAAGTAATTCTAATTGATATATACTTGCACCGTTAGAAGAATCCTAAAAAATACTTTAAAAAAATATTTTTTCTTTTAAATTTTCTACAATAACAAGAACATCAACTCCAGCTTTAACCAATTCTTTAATTGTTTCTTTAGCCCCTTCTCTTGTATTTACAGCTGCCCCAACCATTAATTGTTTTTTATTATCAATTGAACTTCGAGGAAATTCTCTCGCCTTTTTTAAATCAGAACGAGCAATTAACGATATTAATTCATCATTTTCATTAACAATTGGAAGTTTTCCTTTAAAAAACCTTTATTTGTGTAAAATTCCAAAAAACCTTTCTTTTCCTTTTCCAAAATTGTGTAAGTCTGTAAAAGTGTCAAGTTTTTGTCTCCAACAATTAAACGATCCCTTGGAACCATTACATCTGCAATTTTTGTAGTGGCATAATTCTCCCTTCTAATAAAGTCAATATCTCTAGAAGTAACCAATCCTTAAAGAAAAAGTAAAATTCTTATCTAAATCTAAAAACTTTCTAACCAAGTAATTTTGACCCGACATATCCTGTTGAAGTAACTGGAGTACCAGTAAATCTTTAAAAGAATTATCCTAAAAATTAAACAAAAAATTACCCGAATTTCCTTTTAATTTCCATCAAATCCCAAATTGTGTCAGTTTCACGAATACATTGAGGACTTGAAATAAATCCTTGTTTATATCTTTTAACTTTAATGATTTCCGCTGCTTGGTCCTAAAAAAAATTTTTTTTAATTTTTTTAAAATTAAAAGGATGCCTGTGCAGATTGAAAATTTGCATGAATAATCCCAATTCCACCATTTAACTTTAAAAAATTATTTTTTTTTAATTTAAAAATAATCTAGAAACCGCCATTGCAATAGCCATTTCTACAAAAATATTTTAGACTAAAATTTAAAAAATATTTAAATTAACCGCTCTCAGTCACAGTGTCCATTGGGGAAGAAACTAGGGGTGTATTAAGTTTAATCATTTTAGTTAAATTTGTTGTTAAATCTACATCAGTTACAACAAAGTCAATAAATCCAGGAAGTATATCTTTTTTTAAATAAATAATTTTTTTTAATTAAAAAAATCTCAACTAAAATCATTATAAGTTAATCCAATTCCTTGTTTAAATAAATCATCAATTGTTTGTCCATCAACAATATTTAAATCATTTTCAGTCCAATTAGTATCCTCAATTTGTTTTTGATAATTATTATTGTTACCATTAATTGTTGTAAAATCCATTTAAAAATTAAATAATTTTTTATAAAAATAATTAGTAAATATAAAAATAAATAGAAACTACTAAAAATAATAATTTCTTTTTTTTAAAGATTATCAAAGAAAAGATTATTTTTTATTAAAAAATATTAAATAGGGATTAGTAAAAAATATAAAAAATATTATAATTAATAAAATAATTATAATATAAAGAAGATGCGGTTTTAACAAATCCTTCAGAAAAATCCAAACAGAAAACAACCTATTAATAATACTTTAATACTATTTACTGCTAAACATACTACATAGCAACCATCTTCTTTATATTTATTCAGACATTGATAAAAAAATTGGAAAGCCCCAATTCTCCCCTAGATTCTTGTTAGATAAAAAGTAAATTTACTTTGTGTAAAATAAACTAAACATTTAGTAATCTACTTTATTAAAATAAAAAATATAAAATTCTAGCGTAAAAATATCAATGTAAGAATGATTCTTCGTACAAAAGGATTATAAAAAAATTATTTTTAAGAGATTAGACAAATATTCTTATGGCTGGTAGTCACATATATGGGAATCAATATCTTTTTTTTCTAACTAGGAAATATATTTTAAAAAATTTCCATATTTTAACCAGCCTTATGGTTTATCAAAAAAAGAATTCCCCAATTCATTTTAAATTAATATTAGAGGGAAAGACTGAAATTAAATGTAAAATAGGGAAATACCAATGAGAAATTCTTTGGCCATTCAGTTTTTTATCTATTTTATGATTTATCTCACGTCTGTTCTCATAAACTTAAATGTAAATAATTTTGTAATAAATTTATTACAACAAGTAAAGTTTAAAATGAAAAGAAAGTATTAGAATTTAATACATTAATGTTAATTTGTTGTTTAAACAAAAAAATTTTTATTTAGATTCTTATGTTTAGATAAATGTATAGTAAATTCAAGTTATTTTTAATTGAAGTCTTTTTAATTGTCAAGTATATAAAATTCTTACTAATACATTTAGGATTGTTAAAATCACCCATTAATGTTGTTGTTCCTGCCATTGTTCAATATTCAAAGTCTGTTCTAAATTTTGATAATTGTGTAAATCTTGTTTTTGTTGATCCATATGTGAATGATGGGATTCTTGTTGTAGCTGTTGAATATTTACGTTACTACCAGCACCTAAAAAGAAATCTATACTTAACAAGTTGATCTTAAATCTCACCATAATTTGGTAAACTCATTGGCCGATTCAATTGCTGTTGCAGCTGTTGTTGCTCGTGTTGTTGATCGATGGGCATTTGTTGTTGTTGTGGCTGCTGATGTTGTGTGTTATGAGGATCGCAAAATAGCTGTGCACTCGAGAAGAGAAGACCAGTACCCAACATCTGTGGACCAACAGCACCAACACTTCCTTGGTATTGCTGTTGTTTATGGGGGTCGAATTGGGGAAAGAAGTTAGCATTCGCTAAATTTTGTAGTTCTCGATGAAATTGCTGCTGGGGTTGTGAACATGACCCATTATTTCCAGTATTATCAAGCATTGCCATAGAAGGTGGACCTGGAGTGCTTAATGCACTAGTGTTTGGAGTAGCTCTGAGAAAATTTATATTATTTCTTATCCTCAGTTACCTAGAATTTTGTTGACCAATGGAATTTGTAATCTGCGTTGGTTGCTGTTGTTGTTGCAATTGTACATTCATTCTAATCGATCCAGAATTGCATATATTATCTTGAAAGTCTGTAGCCATAGAAAAACATGAAGGGCTCACTAAATCAGTAGGACCACAATTATTAGTTACCATTATTGGCTGCACAGAAAGTGGACGATTCTGTTACAAAAATAAGAATTGAGAGAATATTTATATTTAACAACCATTTGATGGCATTGTTGTGGTTGTTGTGGATATTCCTGTTGACTTCCTCCAGAAATCATAGCCATAGATCCACTATAGCCAGCAACATTTAAAGCCTCTAAATTACTATATACATATCTATTATGAGGCTGTTGTTGTCCTAAAAATTGATTTTGATTTAAATTATTTTGACAAAATTGTCGGGATTTTTGGTGTTGTTGATTAATATGTTGTTGTTGTTGGTCATTAATCATTATAGGACGAAAGAAGTTAGTTTGTGAAGGTTGTTGAGGATTTGATGTAGAAGGCTCTGATGAAGCAGTAGATGGCAATAACTTAAAAAATCAAAATTCTTAAAAAATAATTTCACGTTTTTAACCTTTCCCTGTGCGATTAATTGTTGTAATTGGCGAGCACGGCGATATCTACGTTTCAAAAGTTTAGTATTATTTCCTTGATTATTGTGGTGTTTAATAATATGTTCTTTTAATTTGTCTCGTCTAGACGAAGCATAATCACAATTTTGACATTTAAATGGTTTTTCTTCCAAATGAATACGTTCATGTCTTACCAAATGAGACTTTTCAATGAAAGAACGGTGACACGTCCGACATTTATGTGAACGAACTAAAACTAGATTTCATTATATTTAAATAAATTAAAAATAACCATTTAAGTGAGTTCTTAAATGGGCAGCAAGTTGACTTTTCTTTGGTGATGAATAATCACAATCAGGAATATGGCATCGATATAAATCACCAGAACTAAAAAAAGATTTAAAATATAAAAATAAACTAAACTGAATTCGTTTATGAGATATTAAATGAGATTGATATTTAGTACTAAAATTGCATTGATCACAAAGAAATGGTCGTTCGTCTTGGTGTGTAATTGAATGATTTTCTAAAGTTCTTTTAAGAACAAAACGCCTATAAAATAATTTTATAAGTTTAAATTTTTTAAAATTTATTATTTACTTTGAACAAATATTGCATTGGAAAGGTTTCTCTCCAGAATGTAAACGATAATGGACAATCATGTTAGATTTGTTACGACATCGAAAAGAACAATCAGGACATTTAAGAGGTTTTTCATTTGTATGAATTAAACGATGAGTAAGCAAAACAGGAAGTCTATCAACAGAATAAGTACACGAATCACATTCTAAAAAATACTTTCATCAAATATATTTTATTTACTATAAACCTGAATGATAATCACATTGATATGGAGGACCTGGAAAATGTATTTGGCGCATATGTTGATAAAATTGTTTATTCCATCGACATTCAAATTGACAAACAAAAATTTTAATAAATTATTATAAATAGTCTACCTAAATTTAACTTACTATTACAAACGTAGAGAACATTTTTTGAATGTGTTGCAATTACATGCTTGCGTAAATGGACAATTCCATGGTGAGTAGAAAAAGAACAATGTGGGCATTGCATTGATAAAGCTTTATTTGAAAACTCTCTTTCAATTTCATTATTTAATGGATTTTTCTCTAAACTTTTTTGTTTTCCACTAGTAAATAAATTTTGGCGAATCTGTTGCTCATCCTAAAAATGATAAATAAGATCATCTGAAGTTTTTATTTGATTACCTGTGCCTCAAAAAATTCAACTCTTTCAGGGTCAAATTCATCTTCTTCCTCATCAAAAACAACAGCTGGAATTGATCCTTCTGTTTCTTCAGCAAATTCAAAAAAAATCGAATTAGGCTCCTCATCAACACCTGTAAAATCAGTGAGAGGCCGAGGTGGTCGTAGCTTTGGTGGTCTTCCTCTTCGTCGAAATGCTTTCCCAGTAGCAGAAGCAATTGATTTTCGATATAATTTTAATCCTAAAAAGCTTTCCTATTAAAAAAAGGTTTAAATTAACCTATTAATCTACGATTCATTGATTTATCGAGAAATTGTTTTTGTTTCACAGGCAAATGTATTTTTAATTTAAGAGAACCAGAAGGGCATTGTCGCATTGCTGAATTGCTATTGGAAACTGCAGTTTCAGATTCACATGGACGTTGAAGATTTGATTGAAAGTTTGTGCAATGTTGTGTTGAAAATTGTCCAATCTCTGACACAAATTCGGGATCAACTTCATCTTCATCAATACCAACATGTGAACGTTTTATATCCAAAGATGAATTTACATAATGTTGACTACCAGTAATGTTTCCACCTCCCAACCCAGTTACTGAACAACTTCGGCGTCGTTGAGTTACATCTGAATTTTTGTCTCCACAAATACGTTGTACAAGATTTCTATACCGCAATTCATATTTAGGCATTTGAATACCTTGATTATGCCTTTGGAAAATTAAATATATTAAAATAAAGAAATTAATTGAATACATTTCTTGCAAAATAGCATGAAGTGAAATTTCTGATTGATTGAAAAAAGGATTAAAATCCAAAAGACGTTCAAGCTTTGCAGGCAATATTTGCTGAATATTGCATCTTCCAAGTAAAAAGGGAAAAAGCTGTTCTCGCTCAGAAAGTTTATATCCAACCCAACGAACAATTAAACTAAAATTAATTTAATAAAAAATTTAATTAATCAACTCAAAAGAAGAATACCTTAAATAAATATCTGGAGGAACATTATTTATATGCTGAGCTTCTTCCAAAAGTGAAAGAAGTTGTGAAGCTTCATATTCAAGTAAATCTGTATTCTCTAACAAACATCCACTTATATTGCTATCAAAAAATTCAGAAGCTCGAGTATGTAAACGCGGTAAATTGTAACGAGTCGCCAGATCTCTAACACATAAACAATTAGATACATCAATATACCGCATGAGATAATCAGCACAGAGATTTTTAAGTCTAAGCATCTGAAATAAAATTTAAAAATTAAAAAATAACTGAAATAACCAATAAATTATTAGCCAACTTTAACATTTCAACAACAACGTCTCTGTCTATTTGCACTGTTCCACTATACATATAATTAAGAATCCGTTCAAATACCAAAGGTTCTTGACAGTTTACAACAATCTTTAAATATTTAAATAAATAAAAATGTAAAACAAACCTTTTCTTTTGCAATTTTATCAAATCGAAGAACAGAATCAAAATACGGGCTATGAGAAGCAAGTATTGACCGATGGGCACTGAACATTCTATCCTTCACAAAAATACAAGCATCACAAAACCTATAAAAATAAAAAAATAAATTTCTACAACCAAAACTAACCTTCCCGAAGCCCTTTGATATCTCAATCTTTCCATCATTGGATTTAGATTTGAATCACCAAAAGACATAGGATTTAAACCATCCTTAGAATAAGCCAAAGTCATATCGTTTTTTCAGCAAATTTAAGAAAGAAATTAATTTAATTTATAAATTATTAAGTATTTAAAAAAACGAACAAATTATTTAAAAAAATAAATTTATTTTTATTAAAATTTTATCAAATTAAATAAAAGGCAAACAGAGGCAATGAAAGTACAGCAATTATTTTATGAAAATAATTTGATAGGGATTTAAACAGAGCTGTTTCGAAACAAAAATTTTTATTTAAATATTGAAAGTCAAAATTTCGAAACAGCTCTGATATTTAACAATATTTTATTAAAGATTCTGATATGCAAAACAGAATCCAAAAATTATGACAATTCGAAAATAAATAAAGCATTAAAAGAAAATAAATAATTTATTTTATTGGTCAAATTATGATTTTTGTAAAACTTTAATTTAAAATTTGAGAGAATATTTAGATAAATTTAAAAAATTTTATTTGGCCAATAAAATAATAAGCACGAAAATAAGATTAGGCATTCCCTTTCACAATATTCAAAAATTAATAATTATGGCATTATTGTTTATATGGATAAATTTAATTTTAAGAGCACAATATTAAAAGAATGAATAGCAATTCGTTGATTTTGTGACAATAATTTAAAAAAATCTTTTTAGAAGACTAGCAATTTCAAAATTAAAACAAAATCTCTACAAATTTAATTAACCTACATTCAAATTACCTCTAATTTAAAATAGAAAAGTTGTTGTCGAATTCTCCTTTTTGGCATTAAATGTTTGTGAATTTGTGTCACAATTATTAATTACTTTTGTGCCAGCATTTAATTTTTCTCTAAATTTTTATTTTAAAATTTAAATCTTAATTAATTAAAAATACCTCAAAACATTTATATAACAAATATATCTTTCTTTCTAATATATTAAAAATATGTATTTTTAAACTAATTTTTATTTTAAAAACCTCGCTGTCCAAAAAACGTTCTTTATAAAAATAGTCATAAACTAGTTTTCCTTTCGATTTGATAGGAGGAGCACATTGTTGAAGATTTGTCAAACTTTCTTTTGTTTCTTCTAATCTTTGTTCATGAGCATGTAATTGGTCAACCTAAAATATTTTTAAATTAAATAAATTAAAAGATGAGATATCACCAAAGATAAATGAGTAGGTGTTGAAGAATATTTTGGTTTACAAAAGATAAAGGCTTTGTTAGCACCAACTAGAAAAATTAAAAATAAATAAAAATCTAATTAAATGTCTCTTCTTCAACTCTTATTTAATTAAAAAAATACCTGGGGTTGGCAAAACAGGAGCAGAAAAAGCAGCAGCGACATAATTTATTGCATCAATCCACTTATCAACTTCAGTTGAATCACTTGTTTGAAAAAGAAATTCACCAAAATTAGCAGTTTTTAAACGAAAAACATTCTTCTTTTTTGTATAATCTTTCGGAACCTAAAAATTAAATTTATAAAATCTTTTAAATAAAAAAAACCTCAGCAAGTGAATGATGGATTAAAATACAATTTTTATAAGTTAAATAACGATTTCGACATGAAAAAGAATTTTCATCTTGATGTAAATAAATAACCATTCCTCTAATTGTAGCATATAACATTTGCCATTTTCTTCGACCAATAGGTGCTAAAAATAATTTTCCTTTGTAAAAATCATTTTAAAAATAAAACTTCTTTTTCCATCAACATCATAAAGAGATTTTTTCATTAACCATCCACGTTTATAATCAACTTGTTGCTCCACTGGATTAACAAAGGAAGATGTTTTTATACTTGATTCACTTTTCTTATTAAAAATAATTTTACTTAATCTTTTTTCTTTAAATGTAGAATTTGTATTAAATTGAGACAACTAAAATAAAAAATTTAGAGAAAATTTCTTTTGATTAAAAACTTGAGTTTCTTGTTTATTAAAAGGCTGATTTCTAATTGTTATGAAAAGATCTTTTAACATTGCTGCATCAAATTTAAATCCACTATTTGTTAAATCATTTATAAAATCACGTATATTGACATTATTTGCCTGATAATAAATTTTTCTTTAAAATTAAATTAAAATTTTTTTTTACATTTCCTTGCAAAGAATTATTTAAAGAAATAAGAGCACAAGACAAAGCATGAACTTCTTCAACATTTTTAAAGATTACAGGATTACATTCAAAATATCGATGTGCAAAATGTGCCAATAATTGAGCTTTATCACCAGATTCGTCACAAAGCTGTACACGTGAAGAAAATGCCTGAAGAGCGGCATCAATTCGAAGACCGGCAAAATTAAAGAGATTAACAAATTCTCTGGCAATTTTCATTGAAAGATCATCGCTAAAATCAATAGACAATAAAAATTTTTAAATTATTAAATACGTTTTAACAAGAAAAGCAGCAATTTTAATTCCTTCTTGATGAGTAAAAAGATGTCTGGCAAGACGAGAAATTGTTTCTGGTGGGTAAGATGAATATAATAAAGGCATTGTACCGGCAGAACTTTGCATTGATACTAAAAAATGATTTTTTCGTGAAAGTTTATTAAAATTTTTTACATGAAGAAGAGCAAACTTGATTTGGAATTTCATCATCTAAATTTATAGTTTGACATTTTTCAGTAGCAGCAATAAGTGCTTGTTCAATTAAATTTGTTTGTTTATTTGTAAAAACTCTTGCTGGACTAGCAGGCATACTTTGTGATTGATTTGAAGAAATTAATCTTTAAAAGAAATAAATAGATTATTAGACAAAATACCTGGAAATTGTCGAACTGCTAATTAAAGGAGCATTAAATGTTAAATTATTTTGTTGTTGTGGAAGATTAATAGAAAAATCATTCCCAAGAAAATTATTCGCTGAATTTTGAAATTGTGGTATATTTGAAGGATCGGCAGGAATAACATTAATACACGAACTCTCTGACTAAAAAAAGATATCTTCAAAAATATTTTTTAGTTGAAAAACAAAACCTCAAAATTTTTATTATTTGAAGTATTATCCTGAACTTCTTTTAATATTTCAGAAACTTTTTCCTCGTCTTTCTCAGATTGTGATTCAGGTTTTGTTGAAAAATCAATTTGACTATTCTCTTCTGAAGTCCCAAGCATTATAGCACTACGTATACGTCCATGGCTGTTTTTGTGCATTGAAGGGAAATGATCAAAATGATTTTCATTTTTGAGCTTTTTTTCAGGTTCAACATGAACAGCAGGTGGAAGCTGATCATGACACATCTGACGTGAATCAAATAAAAGTGTTAACAATTAAAAACCTTAGGGTAATTTTAAATATTTTTCTTCCTAAATTATTGTAACCTTTTTCACCGTGGCATCCAATCAGTAAAGAAGGAAAACATGAGGAAATCGACACATTTTTATAAAGTGGAGAAACAAAAATGTCAACTATTTCCATCTACATGAAAAACCTTATCGAAATATCAATCATGTACTTAAAATAGAGAAGGGGACATAACTACCATTCACGAAATACTGAATGGAGCTGTACAACAAAAAACTGTCGCGCAAAACAAAAATTGATGTATTGTCTTGCACGGAGTACAAAAGATGCTGAATAATTATCTTTTTCTGACAAATTGGACGCCAAGAGATAAACTAATAAAAAAAACGAAAGTAAAAAGTACCAACCTTAGCATAACTTGGAGAAATTTTTGGATTTAAATTAAGCATCTTATCTCCAGTCATTACAAAAGCCTCGCATCGAGGTGAACGTGATTGAATACTTGAATTTTGTGAATCTGGTAATGTATTGTCAACCTCATAATCTGTCGTACAAAATTTATAACGAACTCTCTGATCCTTTTCCATTACAAGATGATGCTTATCTATTTGTGTATTGTTACTGCCCACCGCTAATTCCATTTTTATTATTAATCTAATCTAATAATTCTGCCACCTAAAATAAGGAATTGAAGTTTAATTTAAAAGAATTTGGGTTTTAAGTTAAATGCGTGCAGTTTTTCCTAAATAAAACCTTTTACAAATGTCTTATAATTAAAGCAAAAAATTGTTACAACACGTATTACAAAGATTAACAAATAAAAAATTTTCTTCCGCATCCACAATGCTTTTTAGTTTCCGCTTTTCAATTTTAAACAAAGCCACCCCTGTTATTTACTAATTTAAATGTAAAGGATATAGGTAACATAATAAATTAAACCAAAATTGTTTTTATCTAATCGATCACTATTATATCAAATCGTATCTATTATTACAACGTTAAATTTTGAACTTAAATCTTCACAGAAAACAAAATAACATCAATAATAGATTAGCTAGTCTAAAACCCCAAAAACAAATATAATTAAAAAAAGATACTTTTTAATTAAAAACCAGGAGGCAATCTACCCCTAAAACTGGTTTATGATAAATAAAGCCTCGAAAAATGGAAGAATTGTGCAAGAGCAAAATAATATATTGTTACATGCATCTAACAAAATAATTAAAGAAAGAATAAAATTAACAATTTATTTTAAAATAACAAATAATTAATTTAAAAGTGCAAAAATTTCAGAAATCCATATACTTATTAAGGTGACATCCGAAGACCACCATCTGAATTTAATACATATAAATAAATCAAAAATTAAATAACTTACCCAAACGAATAACTTCTCCATTTATATAGGGATTTTCAACGATATGTCCAACTAAAGCTGCAAACTCCTCAGGATACCCCAAACGCTGCGGGCTCAAAACAAGCTTTCCCAAAAACTTTTTCGCCTAATCAAAGAATTTAAAAGAACATTTTCATAAACCAAAACCTTATCTGGCAACGAATCCATAAGTGGAGTCTCAAAAAGTCCAGGTGCAATTGTGACAAAACGAATACCAGGTACAGCATAATCTCGTGCAAGTGGCAATGTCATTGAAGCAATGGCACCTTTTGTGGCAGAATATAAAGACTAAATTATTTATTAAAATATAAAGAAAAAACTGAAAACCTGTCCTGCCTGTCCTTCAAATGCAGCAATCGATGAAGTATTAATTACTAAACCTCTTTGGTTATTCTCATCTGGAGTGCTTGCAATTAAATGAGGCAAGCTATATTGAATTACATTAATTGTCCCGTAAAGATTAACCTTTAAAAACAAAGAAATTTTAAAACCACTTTTCAATAACCTTAATTATTTTATCAATTCGCTCGCGTTTCATAAAATCAGCCTTTGTGGTTGAATACAGTTTTTGGGCAAAGGCAACACCTGCACAGTTCACAACCAAATTGAGCTGACCAAACTGACCGGCTATCGAATCAACGGCTTCTTTCACTTGATCTTCTGACGAAACCTAAAAGAAAATATTAACGACAGCAAGGGAATAACAATTTGGTACTACATCGTTTTACATTTTGTTAGATTAGGAACCAATATGTATCCACATCGAGGGATGGAGTAAAGTAAATTTAAATTTTCCACGAATAAATCAAGTACAAAAAATTCAAAAATTTACATCCAAAGGTCGAAATTGCACAATCCCCGAGCCAATCTCTTCAGCAAGTTTAGAACCTTCCGAGGATGGCAAATCAAATAATCCAACATTGTAGCCTTTTCCAGTCAGATATTTAACTGTTGCTTTACCTAATCCAGAAGCACCTCCTGTAACAATTGCGACAAGTTTCTGTAAAATAAAGTCTCTTTAGAATATTTTTCAAACAAAACCTTAGCAGAAGCAGCTGCAGCACCACTAACAGATGCCATAATTTCTAAACAGTTAAAATAATTTGAATTTATTTAAATATAAAAATAAATAAAACTGCCAAATTTAAAAATATTTTCAATTTTAAGTCTACCATTAAAGCTCAACATTTAAAATAAATTAAAATTAACAGAAAAACACATTATTATGTAAATATTATCAACAAATATTTTTATCAACATTCATTTTAATTTTTAATAATTTAATCTTTCTTCACATGACCAACTTCTTTTATTCGTTCCTGAAAAATAAATCATAAAGTTACAATATTTATATGGATCCCATAATTTCTAAAGGTTAAAACTTTATCAACAGGAGCTTCTTATCCTCACCCTCATTAAAAACATTTTAATAACCTACCGCACTTTCAATACTAAAATCCAAACGAAACAAAATAATTGAAATCAAAAAGAGCAACAAAAATGCACAGATCACCATTAGCGGTTCCCGAATTAAATAAATACGATCAAATTCATAATAAAGCTAAAAAAATAGATTTTAATTTTTTGTTATAAATTCATTGTAATTTGCCGTAAATGTTTGGATATGGTTGTTTATCAAATTTTCCTTTTCAATCACTACGACAGGACGGCCAAATGTATCCAAATAAGTCTTATAAGTTTCGTCAGGCAAACGTTTAACAGAGTAGGGCGTAACCAATTTTATATTCCTAAAAACACAAAGAATGTATTTTAGATAAAAATTAAATAATTACGAGCTCATTTCTGGTAAAATAATTTTAAGACGAAGTTTTTGCACAACAGCATTGTCAAAAAGTCTGTCCATCATTTTCATTCTAAGCGCATAATTTGACCCAGAAGAGTGCAAAAATGAGGAACTTGGAATGTTATACCCGAGAACATAGTTTGTCTTATAAAAATATTTAAGGAAAAAAAATATATTTTTATATTACCCGCCAACCCCCAAACAAAGGAAAACGCGGACGAAGTTCAACTTCAACACGATCGTTTCGAGGATAAACACTGGAAGTAGATATATTACCGATTTCATCTCTATAGTAAATGTCACGTGTTGCTGGTGGAAGAATTGACTAATAATGTTATATAATTGATCAAAAATTTAAAACATAGAAACTGTAATTTACCTTAAAACTTCGAACTACAGGCTGTTTCATTCCTCGTCTGTCCATTTGAAAATCTAATCGAGAAAATGACCCCTTTAAAAATGCTCCTTTGTTAACAATTTCAACATTCTCCTCAACAGCCAAATTCCCACTCCAATGAGAAATCTAGAAAAATTATTATTTAAAATCAATTTGTGTTTAAAAAACCTCGATAACTCGATCAACCTTTGTAGCAACAAGGAAAGGAGAATTATTTTCACAATGAATAGTAATCGGTTTCTAATTATAATATTTTTAAAATTTTAAATAAAATTAGCACCTTCGTATAAGGTTTGGAATTCTCATAAGGTCCATAAGCGATTTTGCCTGATGCATATTTGCTCAAAGAAACATCAGTAAAAGCAATAGGCTGAACAGAACCGACTTTGTAAATACAGGTCTCTTTCAATAGCGAATACGCTGATGGAATGTTTGCCAATCCCGAATAAAGAACAAGCCTAAAATGAATTAGCGTAAAAATAAACCAAAAATAAGAAAATTTACTGATTTTCAGATTGAATAATTTCCTTGGGATGTGGCACTAAATATTCAGTCAATGCATATTCAACAGTAACTTTAATTGCAGAACCAGTCGATAAAAGATTAAGCAACTCCAATTTGTGGAAAATAAAACCATCTGGCGCACCTTTCACTTTAGCCTTTTTTAAAATTTGATTGAGTTTTAATTATTTAAAAATTACACGTGAGACACGGAATTTTCCTGTTTCCTTCCCAGTTTCAAAAGCAACCATCCAAGACAAATGTTTTGCTTCGTCCTCTGTAATGACATTTACAAAAAAAGAAATATCTTCCTTTCCCTCATTTTTTAATTCAAACTCTGTTTTAACCTAAAAATAAATTAAAATAAACACGTTGAAAAATAAGGGTGAAAATTGTTTGTTAATAATTGAAAGTTAAATTTATTTAAATAAACCTTGACAATTTGTGATGTTATATCTATATTTCTTGTCGCTGAAACAACTTTTAATCCATCAAACAATGTGAGTTCTGTCTGTTGCGCCTGATAAAATGGGAAAAATAAAGCGAATAATGCAAAGATAAACATTTAATATTGCATTCAAATATCTAAAATTGTGATATTAAAATAAAATTAATCAAAATAAAAGTAAATTAATCAACGTGTCAAAAACACAAATCAATAAACATACGATCAGAATTCCAAAATTTTCGGGGGTTTTAAAGGGTGGACATTTCGTGAAAGGCATTTTTGACATTTGGACATTACGCTAAATGTCCAACTGTGTCTCTAAATACACACTATTTTCTTTACTTGGGCATTCTGTCATTTTTAATAAAAAAATAAACATAATGCCAAACACATCGCCAAAAGTCTCACAAAATTCAAAGCTGCGCACAAACAAACAAAATAGGAATTCTAAAATTTGATATAGGATTATTGGATAATAGTGTCGTTTCCGGGCCTACTTTTTAGCCCAAGTTTTTCTAATTCATTCAGATAATGGTCGACTTTGTCCTTTCTTCCATCAAAATTGCCTTTTGCCTACAAACAATCAAAAAGGATTGTTTTATTACCCCAGTGTTTGGAAGAAAGGAAAAAGTCAGACCATTCTCTGTGTATATAGAAATAAACTTGTGGAGGAAAAAGGGGTTCGGAAACGACCTATTACCCATTATTGTTTTAAGTTTTTTGACATTTAGATATATTTAAATATGCGTGTTGAAAACAATTGTGAAGTTGATATTCTTAGTCGACTAGGAATTCTTGAACGGGAAACTCCTAATGATAATTTAACAACAAAAATTAAAAGTAATCGGTTTGTCGACAAGAAACGTAAATTTCATCGAGTTTCATTAAATGTTGCTTTAAATAAAATTTCTTTGAGTGAAAGCAGCACAGATGAAGATAAAGATTTTATTAACAAAACTGTTTGTTTTTTTTTTAAATATAAAATATATTTTTTTAATTTTAGTTATCTTCTGAAACAAAAAATGACCAAACAATTTTTTATTCTTCAAACAATAATTGCCATTCTAATCCAAATTTTTGTGAATTTATTTCTCTTCTCTCTGCTGCTGGATTTTTGGTATTTTTTTTAAATTATTTATTTTAAAAATAAATTTAGGGATTTTCATCAACGTTAAAGGAATCAAGTTTTGAAGCAAATTTTGACGGAATTAATGTAAATTTATATTTTAAATAAATCTTTATTTAAAATTATTTTTTAGATTTTAATTAATTCAATATTTATTTTACTTGGCTCTTATTTTGGTTTTTATTTTAAATAATTTTTTTTTTAAACTTTCTTTTTTTCAGCAACCTTGTGTTTATTTAAATTTAATTTAAATTCATTTTTTCTTTTACTTTCTGTGATGCTAACTTTTGTAACAATTTTTGCTTTATTTTTGATTGATAAAAGCGAGAAAATTTTAAATTTTGGTTATTTAAATATTATTTTATTTAATGCTAGTCAATCATTTTTAATTGCAACAATTGAAAGAGGTTTTTTCTGTTAAATAAATATTTTTTTAGAAATTATTATTTTTTAAAGTTATTTTATTAATTATTCCACGTTGGAAGGGTAATTTTGGCCGTGTTATTTTTATTGTTTATTCATTTATTGCTTTTTGTGCTTTTTTATCTTCTTCACTTCAAATTAATTTGGAAAAAAATAATTTATTAAATAATTCTGAAATTAATGAAAAACAAATAAAAATACTCAATAAAACAGAAAATTTTTTGGAAGAGGTTTTATTATTTTAAATATTTAATTAATTTGTTTTTCTTTAAATTTAAGTTTATTTTCATCAAATATTTATTTTTCAATGAATTTTTATTTATTTTATTAATTTTTGTTTTACCAATTTTGTTTGGTTTTTGTTGTTTTCTTGGTCAACCTTTGGGGTCTCCTCAACAAAAAATTTCAAAAAATAATTATTTTAATGAGGTATAATATTTTTCTTTAAAAATAAAATTTTTTAATCTTTTTTAAAATAGTTGCAAGTATCTTCGTCTTTTATTTGTCAAATTCTTTTATTTTTTATTATGACTTTACATTTTACTTCTTCCTTTATTGCTCAACATTCTATAAATTTTAATAAAGAAAATAATTTTGAAAATATTCAAAATGTTTTATTTTGGTTATTTTTGTTGATATTTAGACTTCCATTTGTTTTTTGGTAATTTAAAGAAGATTTTTTTTAATTTTTATTTTCCAGGCCGGATCTTTCAATACGCTCAAATTTATTTTATTTTTTATATTTTATTTTAATTACAGCCAGTATTTTACTTAAATTAATTATACCTGAGCATTTTAGTAATATTTTTGATTTGGTTATTTTGGTAAGAAAATTAATTTATTTTTTAATTTAATTTTGTTTTTTAGTCATTTTCTTCTAATTTTCCACTTTTTCTTTATGTTTGGTATATTAATTATTCAAAATGTTCACATTTGGATATTTCTTTTTGTTTTATTCTTTCTTTATCATTTGGAGAATTAATTGGGAAATTTATTTTTTGGAAACAAAGTTTTTTAAATTTTAAAAAAATAATTAATTATTTTTAGATATTTCTCCTTCCCTTTCATTCAAAATTGGACTTTTCTCAATTTCTTTTTTATTGTTTTTAATTTTATTTTTTAAAATTCAAAAAGAAGGGCGTCAAAGGCAAATTATTGAATATAGAAGTTCAATTAATGGTTAATCTTTTTTTTTTGAAATTTTTTTTTATTTTTAAAAAGGTAAAGGAAATACTCAAAACTCGTCAAAAATTAAAAAGAAATTAAAGAAAAAGGTCAAAACATCAAAAGGTGCTTATTCACTATTAGAAATGAATAGAAGAATTGCCAACAAAAATAACACAGAAAAACAACAAAAAACACTTATTTCCTCCAATGATGATAGGTCATCATTTGATAGTGAAGATGATGAAGACGAGGCTGACGTGGAAATGGAATCTGTGACTGGTGATTATGATGAAGAATTGGAGAAGGAAGAATGTAAAAAAATAAATGAATTATTATAGTTAAAAAATTTTTGTAAAAAATGAGAAAAAGGAAGGAAAATTTAAACATTTGATTTAAAAAAATTTATTTTTTTGTTTACATTCTGATTTGTTTTTCTTTACTTTATATTTTTTTAATTTACTTTAAAGAGCCATTAATGAATTTTTGTTTTTAAATAAAATGAAGGAAATGTGCGCGCCATTATTGTAAGAGCATATATAAGCATTAAGCAAAAAGTAGCTCCTGTCGGTCTATTTATGGATTAACAAAAAAAATATATGAAGAGATCAGCAAAGGAGAGAAGTGTTTTTAAGGATTAACGAACGATGATGATGTGCTAACATGTTTTTTTAATATTTTACAGATTTTCTCTGTACACGTTAATGGGTGCTTTAAAAACATTAAAATGGGTGACACCGTTGCTTTTTAATTTAACAAATTATTATTTTTAAATTTTATTTTTTCTTTTTCAACAAATTCCCTTAGTTTTTAAAACAAATCCTCCTAAACCTTGTAATTTTCATTATTGTGGAAATTAATTTTCGTTTATTTTTTCATTTAATTTTCATTTACTTTATGTACATGTAATATTTACATATATTTTCGTTTAAATTCATTTCACCCCAATGATTCAACATTTTAATTAAACTCATTTTTTTGAGAGATCATCTTTGTCCTTTCAAAAATATATTGACTAATACATAAATAAATAACTTCGCCAAATTGTCCTCTCCCTCTTTTTCACATATTTTTGGAATGCAACCGTTACTCAATATTTTTAAACATTTCTCTCCCTTTTTTTATTAAACTAAAATTCCCGGTCAGCTTTCTATTTAATAAAACCACAATATAAACGTGTATATAAATCTATAAATATATATTTTGTTGTGACTCATCCCGGATGCATTTATGGCCATTTTTGTCTTTAGTATATTTCTTTTCACTTTTCGTTAAGTTGGGTTTCTATTTAGTAGTTAGTTAGCTTATTCTGAAAAATTCCGTCAGCATTTAATTATTTACCAATAATTTTTAGATTTACTATTTTTTAATTATCAAATTATTTTAAACAAAGATATGCCTTTTTCCAGTGATCAAATTGAGCAATTAAAGGAACATTATCCAACGGTGTCTAATTTTATTTTATTAAATTTTTATTTTGTTTTTTTTTCAGTTAATACAAAATGGGGGTAGTGGATATATAACAAATGATGAATTAAATGGAGCTTTGAAAATTCTTGGAATTGATGTACCTGGTTATCAAGTAATATTTTTGAAATGAATTTTTTTTAATAAAAAAATTTTTTTTAGGCCAGAGATTTATTAGAGCGTTATAATTCTGGAAATAAACAAATAAGTTATGATAAATTTATTATTATTTTTGATGAAATTGATTCACAACGAAATGCGGAAATTTCGCGATGGAAGAATCGAATTGGAAGTGTTACTGGAGCTTATCAACTTCAAGGGATGGCCGAACATGGAGCGGATGAAATTGTTCATACAATTCGAGTTGAGGAAGAATTGGCATTTTCTAATTGGATAAATAGTAGTTTGTCAGAGGATTCTGATTTGAAATCACTCCTTCCAGTTAATCCAGAGGGAGGCGATCTTTACACAAAAATTCGTGATGGGCTAATTATTTGGTAAGGAAATGGATTTTTTAATAAAAATATTTGAGATATTTTATTTTTAAAGTAAAATGATTAATTTGGCTGTACCAGAAACAATTGATGAGCGTTGTCTTAACAAAACAAATTTGAATACTTATACTCGATTGGAAAATCTTACATTAGCTTTAATGTCTGCCCAAGCAATTGGTTGTAATATTGTTAATATTGATGGTGATGATTTATCTAAAGGGAAGCCACATTTGGTTCTTGGTCTTTTATGGCAAATAATTAGGGTTTGTTTGGTTGTTTTTTTTATTAAATTAATTAAAAATAGATTGGCCTTTTTCGAGAAATTGATCTTGTGCACGTTCCTGGGTTATTTAGACTTTTACAAGAAGGTGAAACACTTGATGATTTGAGAAAATTGAAGCCGGAACAGATTTTAATCCGATGGGTTAACTATCATCTTGAGAGGGCTGGAATTCAACGTCGTCTTGCTAATTTTACAACCGACATTTCCGATTCTGAAATTTATACTTATTTACTTCATCAAATTGCTCCTAAATCTGCGGGTGTTTCATTAGCTCCATTACAACAAAATGATGATATAAGACGTGCAAATTCAATGCTTTCTGAGGCAAATAAAATAAATTGTAGAGAATTTGTGACTGCAGAAGATGTTTGCAAGGGAAATTATAAATTGAATCTGGCTTTTGTTGCTAATTTATTTAATAAATATCCGGGATTGCCTGAACCTGGAGCTGACGAAATACGTTTGTTTTTAATATTTTTTGTGTAAATTAAATTCGAAATTTTTCAGCTGAAATAACTGACATTCAAGAAGAGACGCGTGAAGAGAAAACTTATAGAAATTGGATGAATAGTCTTGGTGTTGATCCTTTTGTTAATTATATTTATTATGATTTACAAAATGGATTGGTTATTTTTCAGGTTTTTAAAAGAATTTCTAAACATTTTTGAATACTTTTCCCTTTGATTCTCGGATCACATTTATTCTTTTAAATTTTATTCCTTATATTTTAATTTTTTTATAGTTATATGATGCAATTCGTCCAGGAATAGTTAATTGGAAGGTTGTTGTTCAAAAATTCCATAAAATTCGAGGAATGATGGATCAAATTCAGAATTGTAATTATGCTGTTGAATTAGGAAAACAACTTCGATTTTCTTTGGTTGGAATTCAAGGAAAGGATATTTATGATGCTAATCCGACTTTGACTTTAGGTTTTTTTGTAAAATGTTTTTTTTCTAAATTATTTATTTAATTATTTATTTAGTTATTTAATTAATTATTTATTAGTTACTAAATTATTTATTTAGCACTTGTTTGGCAATTAATGCGTGCATATACTTTAACTATATTGGCTAAATGTACACAAAGTGAGGAATCAATGGCCACTGACAAAGTTTGTTAAAAAATATTGTAAAGTATTTTTTCCCTTTTATTATAGGAAATAATTGCTTGGGTAAACCAAAAATTGGAATCTGTTGGAAATTCAAATCGTTTAAAAAGTTTCCAAGACCCGTCTATTTCAAATGCTCGTATTTTTCTTGATTTAATTGAAGCGATAAAGCCAGGCACAATTGACTATAATATTGTCAAATGTGATGGAAATAGTCAGGTTAATTTTAAACAATTTTTATCTAAATTAATTAAAATATTCAAAGAATAATTTGGACAATGCAAAATATGCAATAACTGCTGGTAGAAAAATTGGAGCAAAAATATATGCATTGCCAGAGGATATTGTGGAGGTTTTTTTTAAAAAATTTCTTTAAAATAATTTTAAGGTAAAATCAAAAATGGTTATGACTGTCTTTGCTTGTCTTATGGCCCGTGACTTTATGCCAAACGTTCGGGAAGTGACAAATGGAAATTGAACATAAAAATAAAAATTATTTTATTATTAAGTATTAAATTCCTCTTTTAAAAAATTCTTTCCTAAAAATGGAAACTAAAAAGTATATTTATTTTTATATTTTAAATTGCAAAATAATTTTAAAAGAATATATGGCCGGTCAAGTATTTATACATTCTTTCTTTAAAATAAATCACATAAACGCTTTAGAAGCATCATTTCTTTTATCTAAATTTCTCCAAAAAATTATATCAAGATATATTCAAAAATTTTGTTTGTTTTTTTTTCTTTGAATTATTCATTCCTTTTATTTTCTTATTCATTTCCATATTTCCATGAATAATGCAAATATACTATAAAAAGTTTAAATATTAAATAAATTAACAAAAAATTGTCTTTAAACTATTTTGGTGTAATTCGGGTCTATTTAATATTCCAAAAACAATTACAAAATTAAGACAAAAATACCTATAAATGACTTCGAGTACATTTTGTAGACAGGAATTTTATTTTCGAATCAATTCTTTTATCATTGTGGAAAAATCAAAAGATTGAGCACATCACACATAGTAGATAAAAAACGGTGCCTCCACAGTGCAACTGTCAGAGATCTTGAGAACTCTATACACCCAAATATTTGGAGTTGACCTTGTGAGTAATTAATTTTTTGTGAGTGGACCTTTAGGATCATTTGATCAGAGACCTTTTGGAATGGACCCGGAGTTAACAGTTTCACAATCACGGCAATCCTTCGGTTTTGTGTTCCCTGCCAAAAAATAAATTTAAAAATCTAACAAGCATATTTTCTAGGGTAGTTTTTGGTGCTGATCACGTATTTAAACTCAGATTTTAACTAACATTTTCTATCTATGATCTGGAACTTATGCACTTTACATAGTACACACCCCATTTATTCGCAAAACAATCACATTATTACCCCAATTATTCGCCAATTTTTGTTCTCATTACCCCAATTATTCGCCATTTATCCGCAGGCTAACAATAGACCTGTGTTGCTGCGTACAACCCGAGCAACCGTTGAACACATGCCGCAAAATAAGCAACTCGCCGGCTCCTAGTTTTACTTTGACCATTTTGAGCTTGCGAACAAATGGAGGTGTGTTCCTAATCTGCATAAGTTCCTGATTTTTTATCAGGCACTTAATTTTTTACAAAATTTTATTCCATCCTGATTTTCAGTCGATAAGCCTATTCCTAACTTCGCTGCAGTCGATCCCTGATGCTGGTAGAAACAATGCTAACTATCCGCAGCTAGAGATATTTTTATAAATTTGAGTCTGAGTTTTCTTCATAGTTGAAATGCTTGCTGCACAAAACTCAGACTCAAATTTATAAAAATATCTCTAGCTGCGGATAGTTAGCATTGTTTCTACCAGCATGACTAACTCTTAAGTTCTATCCGACTAATTGTCTTTCGGTGAACCGCTCCACATCTTTCGTAAATTTTTTTAAACAATGTAATAGAATATCGATTGACCAGGCGCACTAATACTTTTTTCGCTCGCTACCGCCATGGAAATGTACATACATAAAAGCTTTAAATGTTAGGGAAAAGAAAAATTAAATAGTATAGTGTCATACATACATTCACTAGTCATATTAATGGGGACGCAACCAAAAATGTTGTGTATGTAGAGGCTTGTTTATCATCCTGCTTCACATCGCCCACCATAACGTTGTCGAATATCGTTGGAAAATAGTTGTGTCCTTACTTTAGTTTATGGAGAAACCCGCCGAAAATCTTCTAAAAATTAATAAAATTAAATGAAATACTACTATAAAAACTTAAAAAATAAAAATTTGATCAGATTTTAATGTTTGGATCAAGAGTTTTACATAAATGAAATTTTATGGCATTTTAAGTAAATTTGGGGTTGGGGAGTAAGGCTTAGGTTGATGATTTACACACTTCATATTTATTTAATTTTTTTATTTTTAAATACTTACATATTTCAACTTCGAGATCGCAGGTATCTGGTTAAATTTTTGTAAGCATATTATGGGAAAAAATTCGGAGACATCTAACCACCGCATTTTCATCATTTTGAAGCGTATGTACATAATTTATTTAGCAACCATTTCTATCTAAAATATACATACTGCTTTCTGTTGGATTTTAAGCTCGTAAGATCCATGAAGATGAGGAAATTGCGTATAAAAAGCTTTCGAATGATATTATGAATTATTCGGAATGTTTGACAAGGGGAGTAGTTAACCACCCCACTTTGTTTCCCTTTTTACCGCACATTCCTAAAGGATGAGGAAGGGTCCGCAAATATTCCTATAGGATTTGAAGGGGTTGGGGGCGGAGTCAGTGGATTTTAGGGGACATTCCAAAAGGATTTGAAGGGGTCCCTTTGATCTTGCCGCTTTCCCGCAATCCCAAATTGTTTCCCCTTTGATCTTGCCGACAATCCTCAAGGTGTGAAAATTCACACCTTTTTGTTTCTTTGATCTTGCCGACAAAACCAATTTGTTCCAAGGTGTTGGGAAAGGGGTCCGACTAAAGCAAATTACCGCACTAGGATTTACCGCACTAGGAGTGCGGTAAATCGTCAAGGTGTGAAATTTCACACTTCTTTTCCTTTGATCTTGCCGACAAAACCAGTTTGTTCCAAGGTGACGGGGGAAGGGTCCGACAAAACCAACTTGTTCCAAGGTGTCGAAGGAGGGGTCCGACGAATCCAAATTTGACAATTTTAAGGTGTTAATTTTCACACCTTTTTTTTTTCTTTAATCTTGCCGACAAAGCCAACTTGTTCCAAGGTGTCGGGGGAAGGGTCCGACGAAATCAAAATTGACAAACTTAAGGTGTAAAATTCACACCTTTTTCTCTTTGATCTTGCCGATAAAGCCCATTTATCCAAATTATTGGGGGAGGGGTCCGATAAAACCAAATTTGACAATTTTAAGGCGTTAATTTTCACACCTTTTTCTTCTTTGATCCTGCCGACAAAAGCAGTTTGTTCCAAGGTGTCGGGGGAAGGGTCTGAAGAATATTTTTTTAATATTTTAAACTAAAACTTTAAAAATTATCCCTAAACATGATCGAACCCGTGACAACTAATGAATATTCCGAATAAAAACTACTACCTACTAAGCTACAGAGGAACATTTTTTATTGCAATTTTTTCTTTTTAAAGCTTTTAAACTATTTTAACATACATGCATATTAAATTAGTCAAATTTAAAAAGATGGCGCTGCTTCTCTTTTTTAAAATGGCGTCGCTTCTCTTATAATTAATTCATCGAGAAAAATAGTTTTAAACATGCATGCATATTAGATTAGTCACATTTAAAAAGAGCGTCGCTTCTATTTTTGATAGAGCGTCGCTTCTTTTTTAAAAGAGCGTCGCTTCACTTTTAATTGATTGAGTATAAATACCCGAATAAAACTTAAATCTTAAACTGAAAAAATGATTTTCAAAATAATTTTAATACTATATATGATTTATAATGTTACTAGCGAAAATAAAAGTTTATCTGATTTTAAAAGATGGCAGTGTGAGAGAGCTATAACTGTATTTCGAAAAATATCCCCATCTGTATATTTCACAGATATTTTAAATGTGAGTGTACCTGAAGACATGGATTATAAAATAACTTGGACCCCTTACGGTCATGCTTGGTACGTTTGGGATGAGAAAGCAAAATCTATTATGCCAATGTATATGGGATTTCCCATAAGACCTAAGCCAGAAAAAGATGGTATATTATATTCTGGATGGGTATTCATAAAAGAAACTAGCTCATCAGTTATTGAATTTTTCAAAACGATATTCAGTCCATTAGCAGAACTAAAATTCCAAAGAGGGGTGTTTAGAATGTAGACTTCAAATCAGTTTATTATTACCTTATCTAATCAGAAGGGGCGTGGTCTAATTATGGAGTATAAAAACAGAGCTGATGTATGAATTTTATTTCCTTTTGCTCATTTTTAAAAATTTTGTTAAGATGAACAATAATAAAAATCTAACTCGTCAAGTTTTACCTGAAGTAGAAATTAGCATTAATTTGAATGGAATAACGATTTCAAGTGAGCGTTTAACCCCTTCTCGTTTTGTACCATATGATATAGCTGGCAAATGTCGTGAATGTAAAAGTACGGAAGTTGAAGTGGATTTTATTGTCACCAAAGATGGCGTTACTATCTTTTGCACACGTATTTCAGGAACTCGTTATGTACCGTTTGATTTGACTTATGACTTACCAGGAATATGCTTTTTTCGGGTAGGTATTTTTTAGTCTTTATCTATTATATTCTATAAATTAAGATTAAGAACAAAGGCCGCGTATTCAATATCCCATATGGTTCTGTAAAACCACAGTCACTGCTTCCAACTCAACATCCGACACCACCAGCAACTCCAAGCCAAAATACAATGTCAGAAAAACAGAATAAACCAAAGCAATCTATTAGTACACAAAAATCTACAAAGCATACAATTGAAAATATCCTCAAAGACAAAAGTAAAGAAAATAATGAAAATGTTTTGCTTAATGAATTTTTTGATAGTCTCGATGCAGCAACAACTGGAATTCCATCACAGATTGATAAGATGAATAATTTGAAGAAACAGTCTACAAGGATGGAAGAAGAGGAGATGGCTGCTATCGAAACATTATATAACATACCTCGTTAATTTTTCTTATTTAAACCAAAAATTATTTTATTTTTCAATTAATTAAAATGGAAACTTTAACATTCTCAGATAAAGATTTGAAATTTAAAATTCCTTTTGGTATGATAATTTCTGGTCCTAGTTCCAGCGGAAAGAGTACATTATTATTAAGGTTTATTTCTGAAGCCTCGAATTTAATTGACCCCAAACCTAAAAGTATACTTTATTGTTTTGGTGAAATGAGTAATATTGTCCCTATTCTACAGAAATCAGGTGTCAGTGTTTATTCTGGTGTTCCTTCTGAGGATTTGATTAAAAAATATCAAAAGCCATTATTACTAATTCTTGACGACTTACTTATGTCAATTGATGAAAAATACTTGTCCGAGTTATTTACGAAAAAATCTCATCATCAAAATTTTGCTATTGTCTTTGTTACTCAGAATTTATTCGAACGCAAAATTAAAGTTGCGCGACAAAATGCTCAATATATTATTATAATGCGTTCTCCTAATTCGGTATTATCTGTACGTAATATAGGTGTTCAACTATTTCCACAGAAGCTCGATTATTTCCTCGATGCATATAGACAAGCAACAAATAAACCTTTTGGTTATCTAGTTATTGATATGCATGCTTCATCTGACCCAGGACTGAGACTACGCACAAGTATATTTAAAGAAGATGAAGAAAAAATTATTTTTATTCCAAAAAATAGAATATAAATAATAATATGGTTAGCCAGATTATTCACGAAAATTTACAATTTTTACGATTTCTTGCAAAAACAAAATCGCATCGAAAATTGCAACGACTGTTAAGGCTCTCAAATACAAACCAATTATTAGCTATAACCGAAATTTGCCTGAATATTATAAAGGCTAGACTCAAACTTACTCCTCGGCAAAAGAAACGACTGATTCCATATGCTGACTTTGTTCGTAAAATGAGTAGGATAAGAAGTGATCTTGGCGCTAGAAAAATTTTAAATCAAAAAGGAGAGGGTGTGGGCATGTTTGCAGCGCTATTGACACCGGTTCTTATGGAATTAGCAAGATCTCTAGGAAATTCTATAAAAAGCAAGAATTAAACAAAAAGCAACATACCTAAAATTATGGCAAACAAATTTATTCTTGTTCCTGAGGAAATTTACAAAGGTCTAACTACATTTGATACGGGGGAGCCTAATCTAGATTTAATTAGAAATGATCTTGAAAGAATTAAAAGAAAGAAAGATACTCCAAGTGCAAAAAATGTAAAATATAACCAAGAACTGAGACGGTATTTACAATTAAGAAATGAACAACAAAATAGACCAGTTAAAGTAGAGATGGTTGCAACACCTAAGGGAGCAATAATGAGTACAAATTCTACACGGCCGTCGTCTAATATAGTCGAAGATGATGACGAAATTTTGACAACAGATGATATTTCTCTCCCATCTTTTCCTCAATCTACTAAAGACGTTAAATCGATAATTAATTTCAAACCCAAAAAACTACCTCATCCTCCATCTTTATCATCTTCATCCACATCTGACCAAAAACGGTTTAAAAAATTGAGGGGAAGCTCACCACCTCCTCCTCCACTACCGTCAACTACAAATCTTAAAATAATAAAGAAGGAAATTGTGTCTGAGCCAAAGAAAAGATTTTCAAGACGCAAAAAATACTCGAAAACTGGGAGTACAAAAGAAGACTCTACAAGGCAAGACTCTATTATATTATCCGAATATGTGCCAATAATATCAACTCATGTCTCACCTCAACAACGAATTATTAAAAGAGAATTTGACCAGGGTGATTTTGAAGGTATAAAGAGAAAAAAGATATATGACAACAAAAAGGAACAAGAAATACGACAAAAAGTGAATAAATTGAAGGAAAACGATAAGAAACGATATGAAAAAAGACAACAATTATTAGCGAGACGTCGAAAGTCGCAGAAACTTAAAGTTCCAATAGACCCTTATGTTATTCAACAATTACGTAATGAAAAAAGTGTGGCATCAAAAGGTTCAAGAAGGGTTTTAAGAGAGGGAAGGTCACCTTCCCCACCATTGAGCCGTCAAAAAATAAAACGAAAAGCAGAGTGGTCTCAGGTAGAAGGACATACAATTGCAAAAGTCCAGAGAAAAGTCAACAAAAAACAATCACAAAAAGCTTCAAGATTATGGGTTAAAAATCTGAAGAAAAGAAATTTAGAATTTCGCTCATATAAAACAAAAAATAAATGGGCAACAAGAAAACCGACACAAAAGGATATCAACAGATTTAAACCATCTCTTTGGTAAAAGATGGCTGATTACACTAAATTTCTTGACGATCTATACAACAACCCTGAATCCCCTGCAGCATTTTCAGGAATTGACAGACTTTGGTATGAAGCACGTAAAGTTCTCAAACATATACCAAGAAAAGCTGTTCAACATTATTTAGAAGGACATAGAACATACACACTTATGCGACCCAAACGTATTCATTTTAAAAGATCAAAGACTGTAGCAGCCGGGTTTATGACAGATGTACAAGTTGATTTGGCAGATTTCCAA